ATTGTTGAAGTGCTTAGTTTCTGTGAGGTTGTTGATTGATTCTGTAACACATATGAGTCTCTTTAATTTGTCGAAATTACACGACTCTAATTAGAATAACTCTCTGATATGACTGTGTTGTCATCAAATTGCAGACAAAAGTAACTCCGATTGTGGAAGGCTATGGAGGATGGGCATTTAGGTTGGAGATTGTGCCAATAGAATCAGCATACCCAGGATTTGGTGAACTTGTTGTAAGTAGCTGCATTTAGAAAAACCCATTAAAAAGGCTTGAACTATAGTTTCGAATTGCAAAACTTGTTGGTTTGACATGGTGAAAACGTGAAACAGGTGTTGGAGTCAACAGACCATATCAACTCATGTAAACCACTGAGCCGGTCGGATCCTTCATATACAGAGGCGTTGCGGTTCCTGCGCAAGCTCAGCGCACAGAGATCAATATCTCATGTCAAACCGGAATCTGGAGTACATGATTGAAGAACCACGGGTTAGGGCAACCGAAGAAGAAGGATCAAGAATGGTCTAGGCTAATTGACGTAACTAACTATCACTAAAGTTTTTGTTTTTTCTATATCTTCTGTGTACATACATTTACATACATAGAAAGAAACAGGCGTAGGTCATTTTGTATTACTGAACTACATACAACTTGAAGTAAATATAAAGATTCTTAAATTTCATTGCCAGCTTTTTAGTTATGATCAATCGAGAACCCAAATAACGAAGAATATTCAAATTTGCAAGCTTTTCTGAAAAAAAAAAAAAAATCACGTGACTTGTGGAAGCAAGCAAAGCAACGCAACGCGTTACAAAAAAAAAAAAGCACGTGACGTAGCGTGTTGTTGGCGAGTTCCTATTTTTGCTCGCAATGCTTTCGTAGTAGCAACCCAATAATCATATGACGCGTGTTCCCGTCGTACTGTAATGTTTTCGTGAAATTGACGTAAAAGAATGTTGCAAGTGTAAAATAGAGAACGTTAAAACGTATCCTACATTATAATATCAAATTGGTTTTAATTGTCACATTTGCCTCAAGTGATACATTATTTGAGAATACATTGTAAATTTTCTTTTAACAACAAATTAAACTATATATATGTTCATAGAATCATAGATGAACTCATCATATATATATGTGCATGAAATGCTTTTGCAAATTTGAAAATATTTTTAAAAAAGAACAATAAAAAGAGCATGAGTAAGGGTAGTTTGGACAATGTCAAAGAGAGATAGCTGAGTTCAAGAATCATGACTTGTCCTCCAAGTTGATCTCGTTAAGTATAAAAAGGAGAGAAGCTGAGGAAACCACTTTGATACTTTTGAGACGAGTTTTTTTTGGGCGGAAAGAGAGAAACAAACTTAGAAGAGAAGCTCTATTAACGTTTTCATCTCTGCTCAAACCTCAACACCAGTACTGCGCTTAATCAATTCAAGGTAAATGATTAATGGGTTCATCTCTTTTGGTTATTTGGTTTAGTCTTACTCATCAATTATTGCATCCTTCGAGCATTATTGATGGCATAAACTATGATTAAAGTAGAATTGAGTATGAAAGTGAGAGATCTAGCCCTAGGGTTAATATATATATATGCGACGCCGGCCGGTTCTGGCATAATCAGTTAATGAATATTTCCTATGTAGTTTAATTAATTAGTAGTAAAGGCAGCTACCGTTACTTAGTGTGCCTTTCATTACAATTTTATAGCCCCCTAATTAAGAAGAATTAATGGATCTTCAAACCTCAAAAGTTTTTTTTTTTCTTGGTAAAAAAAGATGAAAGTGAAAGCTTGTCGAGTACCCTCAGCTACTCAACCATCAAATTTTTTTTATTTTTAAAATATTTTTATTTTATTTTACCTTGGGTATAGGCTAATCCTGTTTTTTTTTTTTTTTTTTTTTTTTTTTTTTTTTTTCACACGTTGATTTTATCAGATTAACCTATTTTCGTAGTGATGATATGTCATTGTTTTGGATTATATATGCACACTGTAACACTAATAATGAAATAAATTTATGACCACGTCCACGTACTGTTATATAACAACGTAACTATGACAACGTAATATATTACCCAACGTAACTATGACACATTTGTTGGCAAAAATTCGTAAACTAAAATTAGTGTTTTTCTTTTTTTCCTTTGTGTGCCCTCGTTTTGTTGTTTGTTGCTTAATCTACATTTTATACTCAACCCATTTAGCCGCCCTATAGTAAACACATAATATTAATTAAGCATGACTTTTTTTTTATTGATTATGTGATGCCTCTCGTTGCTTTTAATCTTGAAACTGTTAGGATATATACATGAGAATATCTAACGAGCTGGGAGAACAAGATTACATATATGCTGCATTTTTTTTTTAATACTGTAATGTTTAAAACACAAGTCAACACAAATTAAATACGAGAGACTTAACGTGTAAGAACTTTAAGTAACGCATAATATATAACATTTCGGGTAGGGCCATATATAATACACATTAATCATCACAAATTCACATCGTCGTATCGTATCAATTATGTTCACTTTTGACAATAGATTTTTTCCAACTTTATTTCTCTTGATAAAGGACGTTTAGGAATATCAGAAGAATAATTATACTACTACAACTAATAAACCCCTGTTTGTACCTAGATTAAATGAATTATACAAATACTAATAACTATTAAGATAACGAGTTAGTGACTCATCACATGCATATCTATATTGTCCAAAGCATGAGACAACTAAAATTACAATCCCTATATTAGTAAAAGAGAAGTACAAAATAGAATACGGGTCGGGTCAAAATTAAAAAATTAATCCGATTTTAACAATTGGATACTTCAAAACTGGATATTAAATTGGGTTTGGATACATGCATCGGATACTTACCATATCTAATATTATGATTATATTATTTCCATAACTAATTATAGAATTTACTAATATTTCTCTAACTAATTTAATATAATATATTAAAAAAATATTATTCTTCTTTCACTTTTATTTGATCTTATTTTTAATTTATGATTTTATACTATATAATACAAAATATTTAATAAAAATTTCACTTTTTTTTTGTATATATTGCAATTTGAATTTTTCAAAACAGACTTATAATACTCAACTACACTCGGTTAAAAAACTTTGGGCAATGGTTTAAAATCATTATAAGTATAACCAATATTAAAACCATTGTTACATGATCATATTTAAAATTTCAAAAAAAATCAAAATATTATAATTAAAAGGTTCAAATATATAAAAATTTTAGAATTTAAATATTGACAATATTGTTTGAAGACATAAATGTAATTCTGGAGACATAATTTTTATTAATAAAATATATTATATATCAAACTATGGAAATTTTATATACTTCACGGGTAGTTTGTTAAAATCACAATTATAATGATAAAGCGAGATATGAATAATGTTTTTTACGAAATGAATTCTGTTACGGGTAGGTCCTTCAAAAAATATATTGTAAATATGTAATTTTTACGTATATTCCTACTTATACTACAAAAATGATCAAAATGAATAATTTATCGACAAATATTTTTTCGTGCTGTTAAATTTTCACCGTGATTTTAATTGTATCAAAACTCAATATATGATTATTTACTCGCTTTTTTATTATTTTATTAAATTTATTATACAAATATATGATTCACCGTAGTTGACTGCTGCAAAAAATTAAAAATGTAACATATTATATTCCGTTAAAAGTTATATATATATAATCATTTCACCCGCGCTAACCTAGTATGATATATAGTTGTTGTCTTGTTGACCATAAATATCTTTTTTTTTTTTGTTGAATGCTATGGCTAATGAGAGTATCGAGTAAGTAATATGTCATATTTTTAAGCCCTTTTAATGTGTGTATATATATAGTCATTAATCACCCATATATTGTTAATTGCTTGCGTAATTGTTTATTTCTTCTTGTAAACATTTAGCGCATGTTTCATTCAAAAAAAAAAAAACAGAGATGACTCATCCATCACATATATCTAGGCCTAGCTATATCTATATTGTCCAACTCCGAAGCATGGAAAACTAAAAGTAGTACGGAACATTATTAGCCATTAATTACATCATCATTATATAGTTTAGTTAGTAAAATATTAGCTTGTCTTTGCGTAATCTATTTTTCCAGAGTTACAAATTTTTACACATTTTCCATAATATCATACTTAAGATTCGTTTTTTTTTTTTTTGCCAAACTTAAACTTAAGATCATTTTGCCGGTATTAATGTAGGTAATAAAAAGTGTTGTGATCTGAGTATTAAAAAATATATAAGTAATTTATTTTTCAACCACAAAATAAAAATATCTATAATTCTATTAACTATTTCAAAAAGTGTTGACAAAAAAATACTAATTTAAAAAGAAAATTAATTAAACATTTGTTTGGTATATATTTCGTTGTAGGGTGCAATCAACGTTGGTAATACGTGACACATATATGATAGATGTGATATTATTGTATGTACTTTTTTCTTCTTAAAGTTTAACATTAATTACGGTTTAAATCCAGGTTTTGAGCAAACACGGATATGGAAATTTTGTATATACGCTAACTATCATGAATAATCATATAGAAATGCAACAATTTGTAGTGATGACAACATACGTAGAAAGATAATAGATATCCTTCAAAGTGAGATCCAGTATTGTGAATACGTTAGGGCATCCTCATTGGGGGTATCTTAGTTGACTAAGATACCCCCACTTTTTCAAAAAAATTATGTTATATAAAGATTTTCTTTGGAAAAGTGGGGGTATCTTAGCTTCATAAGATACCCGCAATGAGAATGGTCTTACATATTCGTGACGCACACAAAAAAACAAAAAACAAAAAAAAGTTTGTAATACGTTTTTGACACGCACACAAAAACAGTGGCATATAGAAAAATGGAATGAATTAATATTGTAAGCATTTGGCGTAGTCGAAAAGGCGGCTAATAAGTAGAGAGAGAGTAAACGTTTGCTTCCAGCGTTATACAAAGCCCTAATTCTAATCCATCATCATGCGTGCAAGCTATTTTCCATTTCCTTTAACGATTCTCATTCTTACTCTCTTCAAGCTTCTTCTTTCTTCATCTCCTTTTTTCTTTCTTTTCTCTCCCAAATCTTTTTTTCCCTTTTCCCGGAAAATTCTCTTCTCTCTTGTTTTTTTTTGTATCTCCTGATAAGCCCGACCAAGTTTATCTCTTTCTGATCACTAATTTCTATCCTCTCATAATTGAACCCCTTTTGTGTGTGTTTTAGTATATTTCTTTCAATCTCTTGTACGCATTTCTATTTTACAATTGAGCTTTTATATCATAAATATATCATCATTACTTGAGCTCAATCTTTATATTTTTATTCCTATCTTCAGAATCGAATTCGGTGCAACGTTCTGATGGGAAACCAAACAAGCAAAAGGCCACAGGAGTCTTCGACGTCGGCTAAGAGCGTGCACTACACCACGGAGCTGAGATCCTACGAGGCTGCGTGTAAAGCAGACACGGAGCTTCAGTCTTTCGACACGTGTTTGCAAGCACGGACGAGTCACGTGATAAGCACGCTAGCTACGGGGGTTGAGGTTCGGGCGCTCTCGTTCGATTCCTTGAAAGAAGTGACGCAGTGTTTGTTGGAGATGAACCAAGAAGTTGTGAAAGTGATCTTGGATTGCAAGAAAGACATTTGGAAGAATCAAGAAATGTTCGACCTCGTCGAAGATTACTTTGAGAACAGCTTGAAGACGCTTGATTTCTGTGCTGCTTTGGAGAAAGGCTTGAGACGAGCTCGTGATAGTCATCTCTTGATTCATGTTGCTCTTCAGCAGTTTGAAGATGAGAGCCTTGTTCAAGGTAAGAGACTTTTATTGTTCTCTCTTTGTTTTCTTGGTATTAATTAATAAGGGATGAGAAAGATAAAGTTTCTCTTGTCTTGTCCTGATCACGTTTTTCTCATATGGGAATCTAGTTTCAATTGAAATTTCTTATTTCAAATAAAATCCTGACTTTTTTTTTGTTTAAGTAATACTATAATCATTAGCATCGGCAAAAAGTAATATAACTATTAGTAATAGTAAATAATTTAAAATTACAAGTATTTTCAATGTGTTTTCTCCTATTTCAATTTTTTTGTTAAAATTCGACACGTTTGAAACATGATTTTGATGGTGGGCAGTACCTGTCGAAGCTGTCCTGACTTTAAAACGAAACTAAAATGGTCAAACAGCAATTATTCCTGATTTTTCGTTTTTTATATTAATTAGTACCATTGTCATCTTTTGTACTAATTAACACTGATGATCATTGTTTTGGTTCGTAGGTGGGAACGGATACAAGAAGACACTTGAAGAGCTAAAGAATTTCAAAGATGCTGAGAGTCCTTTCAACGAAGACTTCTTCAAAATGTTCCAATCTGTTTACAAACAGCAGATGCTGATGCTTGAGAAGCTTCAGCTTCGTAAGAACAAGCTTGACAAGAAGCTTAAATGCATCCACACTTGGAGGAAGCTCTCCAGCATCATCTTTGTGGCTACCTTCGCCACTGTGCTCATCTGCTCTGTTGTAGCTGCAGCCATGGCGGCTCCTCCTGTTGCTGCGGCTCTGGCTGCAGCTACAGCAGTGCCGCTAGGCTCCATGGGGAAGTGGATCGACTCGCTGTGGAAGAACTACGAGAATGCACTCAAAGGGCAGAAGGAGGTGATCAGTTCCATGCAGGCAGGGACATTCGTGGCGGTTAAAGATTTGGATAATATCCGAGTTTTGATCGAACGGTTGGAGATTGAGATCACGGGGATGGTGAAGAGTGCGGAGTTCGCTGTGGAGCATAACGCAGTCAAGATTGGGATTGATGACATTAAGAAGAAACTTGAGGTGTTTAAGAAGAACGTAGAAGAGTTGGGGACTCAGGCTGATTTGTGTAGCAGGGATATTAGAAGGGCAAGGACAGTGATTCTTCAAAGGATCATCAAGCATCCTAATAATGCTAGTAGCAGCAACTGAACTACACAAACAAAGAAAACGGAACGAGCCAGTTTCTCTCTTCTTCAGCACCTGAATTTGATGAAGACTATAAAGAATAGTACAGATTCTCTTTGAGTTTTTACTATGAATTAATGTTCAATAACTCAAAACTACTACTTATAATATATAAATTGTTGCAATTTCTGTATTCTTTGATGATTGAAAACAATGCATGGAAGACTAGTCTATTTCACATTTGAGACTATCAGTAACTAAATGCTTCGGACATGCGTTTTGTATCAGTATATAATATGCGCAATGAAAAGCTAATTCAACTACTAAGATCACTCTTAAGTCTTAATTAATTAGCCAAATCAGATCGCTAAAACCTCTCTTACGTGATCGCTACTTCTTTCTAATTTTCCTTTTCCTGATCCTTATCAATATGCATGAGAGTGGGATAATATACTAAAAGGAACTCAAAAGTACAAAACTAGATCATTAGAATGGAATCTGAAAACTATAGGGCTGATATAAGAATTGAATTAGATATAGTTTAATGCAATAGCTTTTAAGTTTTGTTAATTTAAAAGATATGGATTTTTATTATTCTAAAAATGATATGAATTTCAATACCATTAAATATTAAAATAAATAACAATAATCTAAAACATTTATCAGTAGCTTTAAAATTTTGTTAATACTTAAAATCTAGAATTCTTATTATGTTTCCTCTTATCTGTATGTATAAATTACCACTAATTATAAATTAGTTCTGTAAGTAGAAAAACCCGACTTATATATGTTAATCACTCATTATATATTGGTTGTTTATATGTATAAATTAATCACTAATTATATATGTATTAATCATGTGGATGCATATTACTTCATGAGTATAGAAAAAAGCAATATTATGTAAAATATATCTCTCTATATATAAGACAATATGCAAGGTTTCCTCTCTTTGTCTCTCCCAAATCTGTTTTAGTGTTGTTACCTCCTCTGGTACGTCCGACCAATGTTTTTTTCTCTCTCACTAATCATTTCTCTCAGTCTCGACCTTTTGTTTTAGTCTGTAGATTCTTCTTCAATCTGTGTAGGCATTTCTATGTTTTAAACGCATAATTTTTTACCATAAGCTATTGATTTATCTGTCTAATTCATCTTCAGAATCGAACTCAGAACGGCGTGAATAATGGGAAACAGAACAAGCAAACACTCAAAGACATCGCTTAGGATCTACGCGAGGGAACTGAGAACGTACGAGGCTGCATGTGAAGAAGACAAGGAGATTCAGTCTTTCGACAAGCGTATGCAGGCACGGACGAGTGACGTGATAAACACGCTAGCCACGGGCGTTGAGGTTCGAGGGGTCTCTCTCGATTCCCTGAAAGTAGTGACGGAGAGTTTGTTGGACATGAACCAAGAAGTGGTGAAAGTGATGTTGGATTGCAAGAAAGACATATGGAAAGATAAAGAAATGTTTAAACTCGTTGAAGATTACTTTGAGACTAGCATGAAGACACACGACTTCTGTGATGCTTTGCGGAAAGGCCTGCACCGGATTCGTGATAGTTACCATATGATTGTTTCTGCTCTTCGGCAGTTTGAAGAAGAGAGCCCTGTTCAAGGCAAGAACTTTTCATATATTTTCGTGGTACGGTCGTCTTAGGTATATACTAGGACTAGTCTTTGGATGGGAACTTTTAACGCACTTGGTTTTATGTTTTCGGTTGGCAGGTGGGAACGGATACAAGAAGACACTTGAAAAGCTGAAGAAGTTCAAAGACGCAGAGAGACCTTTTGGCGAAGACTTCGTCGACATGTTCCAAATTGCTTACAAACAACAAATGCTGATGCTTGAGAAGCTTCAGCTACATAACTACAAGCTCGAAAAGAAGCTCAAGCGCATCCGCACATGGCGAAAACTCACCAGCATCATCTTCGTGGCTGCCTACGCCGCTGTGTTCATCTGCTGTATTGTGGCTGCGGCTATGACGGCTTCTCCTCTGGTGGAGGTTCTCGCTGCTACCGCAGTGCCAGTGAGTGGCATTGCGGGGAAATGGATCGACTCGCTGTGGAAGAAATATGAGAATGAAATCAAAGGACAGAGAGATGTGGTCAGTTCGATGCAGGCTGGGACATATGTAGCAGTGAAGGAGATGGATATTGTCCGGTTTTTGACCGAACAGCTGGATAATGAGATCAGGAATTTGGTGAAGAGTGCGGAATATGCGGTGGAGCATGGTGCAGTCAAGATTCGGATCCATGAGATTAACGAGATGCTTTTGGTGTTTAAGAAGAATATAGAAGAATTGGAGACTCAGGCTGATTTGTGTTGCAGAGATATTATAAAAGTAAGAGAAGTGATTCTCCAGAGGATCATCGATAGTCGTTGCAATAATAATAGTCCATCACCGGATAAAAAATACAAAGAGAACTCAATTCTCTCTTCCTGCTTCAAACAATGAAATGCTCAAAGACTATAAATAAACACTAGCTAGTGTTATATTATCATAAAATGTCGTTCAAATATATAACTCAAACTGTTTATGATGACTGTTGCATTTTTTTTTGTATTCTTTCATGATTGAAAGTTGAAACAATAAAAGAAGAGTTTTTTTCACATTTGAGACTATCAGTATATGATGTTTCTGCCGGGAGTTTATATATACTGGTGGTCTTATTAATATACTGTAATATGAATTCAAAAGTACAAAATTAGATCATAACTTCATAAGCATGGAATGATGAGGAATTGGGGACTCAAGCTGATTCGTGTAACAGAGATATTAGAATAGCAAGGGCTGTGATTCTTCAAAGGATCATCAAGCATCCTAATATTAATGCTAGTATAGTAGCAGCAACTGAAACACACACAAACAGCAAAAAGTAACTAGCCAGTTTCTCTCTTCTCCAGCACTTGAATGGTGAAATGCTTGATGATGAAGACTATAAAGAATACTACATACATATTTTTTTTTGTCTTGAGTTCTTACTAATGTTTAAGAAAATTCAAACTACTTTTTGTGGTTAATTGTTGCAAATTCTGTATTCTTTGATGATTGAAAACAATAGAAGATTAGTCTCTTTTTTCACATTTGAGACTATCAGTAACTAATGCTAAAATTTTCCGGACAAGAGAATTATCTCCGGACTAAACCGTATGGAAAAGCTAATCAAGATCGATCACTTTATTAAGACTTAACCAAACCACTTCTTTCTAATTTGCCGATCCTGATCACGAACATGAGAGTCATGAACTGATATGCTAAAATTCTAAAACGAACTCAAAAATACAAAAATAGATCATGAGTTTGGCATCTGAAATCTAGGGATATTATGTGATTCAAATTTTAAATTTTAATAAAATTGTGGCAACTATCTAGGGGGAATTTCAAAAATTCTCCTTTTCATATACCTCTTTTTAAAAATACCCCCTTTTCAAACTTTATCAAAAAACCCACTAAAAATATTGAAATTTATCCAAATATGTGTGCAAGCTTATAAATATATACACAAATTACCTTTATATGTGTATAAAACTTTATATACCTTTCATAAATAGCGTAAAAATAAATTACAAAAACCTTATAAAAACCTTATAAAAACTGTATAATCCCTTTTAAAAACCTTATAAAACTTATAAAAATGATTTAAAACTATTTAAAACATTTTAAAATATTTGTATCGAATCTTGCACTAGTAGTTATTATATAGAAGTACCTTATAAACAATATAAAACTTTATAATTTTTTCTATTTAAAAAGGGGTATTTTTGAAAATGGATAGATAAAAGGGGTATTTTTAAAAAGGGGTACACCAAAAGGGGTACACCAAAAGGGGTATTTCTCAAAAATTCTCAACTATCAATGGCTTTTGAATGTTGTTAATTAGTTTATGAGATATAAATTTTATGATTTTAATATTTAAATGAACTTTGATATCAAATTAAATATATGAAAAATATCAATAGCTTTTAAAATTTTGTTAATATCTAAAATGTAGATGTATAAGTTAATCATTCATTATATTAGTTATATACAGTAAAACTTCTTTAAATTAATACTCTATAAATTAATAAACACTATAAATTAATAAATTTTGCTGGTCCCAACTCGGGCAGTGTAAAAGCTAACCAAAATTCGATAAGATAATAAGATAATAATTTGTTTGAAATTCCTATGTAAAATATTGTCCCAATAATATTATAAATTAATAATCACTACATATATGATACATATATATATATACAAGTATATATGCTGACATATGGTCCTAGTTTTTTATAAAAATGAATTTTCTCCTAAATCTCATCTCTATAAAAAAATATGTATGTTATATTTTAATCTATATTCTTATAATATATAGTTATATACCATAACATCATAAAATAACTAAAATTTTCTCTATGTTTTCTATTTATATATGCATCATATTCATTTTTTGTCTGTTTTTATAGGATGTTAAAAGATAACAATTGAAGTATTAATCATAAATATTATATATGTAATTTGTATATAAGTGAATTTATTTATAATAATTTTAATTTATTGTTATTTTTTTCCTAAATATAGAATTCAGTTCCAAACTAAAAAAAATTATATAATCTTAAAGACTAATCTTAGTTTTGTAAAATTGTCCCAATCTATATTTTCAAACAAGTTTAAGAGTTAAAATTACCACTATAAATTAATAAAATATTGTAATCCCAACATTATTATTTTACAGAGATTTTACTGTATATATATAAATTAACCACTATCTAATATACGTATTAGCCATGTGGATGCATATTACATGAGTATAGAGAAAAGCTATATTATGTAAATTATATATACCGTATACAAGTTTGTTATCTTTGTCTCTCTCCCAAATCTGTGTTCTTCTACCGTGTTGTTGCCTCCTCTGGTACGTCGTACGTCCAACCAAGTTTATCTTTTTTTCTCACTAATTATTTCTTTCAGTGTCGACCTTTTGTTGTAGTCTATAGATTCTTCAATATGTGTAGGCATAAACGCATTTTAACCAAACGCCATTGGTTTATGATATATCTGTTTTATTCATCTCCGGAATCGAAGTCGGAACTGCGTTAAGAATGGGAAACATGATATGCATAAAGTCAAACGAGACAAGGCCTAAAATCTACACAAACGAGCAACTGAGAGCGTACGAGGCTGCATGTAAAGCAGACACAGAGGTTCAGTCTTTCGACACGCGTATGCAGGCACAGACGAGTCACGTGATAAACACGCTAGCTACGGGGGTTGAGGTTCGAGCGCTCTCGCTGGATACCCTGAAAGTAGTGACGGGGAGCTTGTTGGACATGAACCAAGACGTGGTGAAAGTGATCTTGGATTGCAAGGAAGACGTATGGGAAAATAAAGAAATGTTTGACCTCGTTGGAGAGTACTTTAATACTAGCTTGAAGATGCAAGACTTCTGTAATGCTTTGGAGAGAAGCCTCAAAGTGGTTCGCCTTAGTCACCTTTTGATTCGTGGTGCCCTTCAGCAGTTTAATGAAGAGAGCCTTGTTCAAGGCAACAACTTTTACATCTCTTAGCTCTTTTTTTCGTGGTTTTTTTTTTTTTTTTTTTCATTTTGTAACACTTGTTGTCTATATTTTGGTTGGCAGGTGGGAACGGATACAAGAAGACACTTGAAGAGCTGACGAAATTCCAAAACGCAGAGAGACCTTTTGGCGAAGACTTCCTCAGCATGTTCCAGAATATTTACAAACAGCAGATAATAATGCTTGAGACGATTCAGGTTCGTAAGAACAAGCTCGACAAGAAGCTCAAGCGTGTCCAGACATGGCGAAAACTCTCCAGCATCATCTTCGTGGCTACCTACGCCACTGTGCTCATCTGCGCTGTTGTGGCTGCGGCTATGTTTGCTCCTCCTCTGGCTGCGACTCTCGTTACGGCCGCAGTGCCAATGGGTGCCATGGGGAAATGGATAGACTCGATGTGGAAGAACTATGAGAAAGGACTCAAAGGACATAAAGGGGTGATCGAGTCGATGGAGGTGTCGACAACTGTAGCACTCAAGGATTTGGATGATATCCGCTCGTTGATCGAAAAGCTGGATAATGATATCAAGAGCATGGTGAAGGGTGCGGAAGATGCGGTGGAGTTTGGTGCAGTCAAGGTTCGGATCATTGCCATCGAGAAGATTCTTTCGGAGTTTACCAAGAAAGTTGAAGAATTGGAGACTCGGGTTGATTTGTGTACCAGACATGCTACACGGGCAAGGACTGTGATTATCCAGAGGATCATCAACTACCCCAAGAAGGATAGTAGCAAAAAATAAACAAAATTAACTCAAATTTCTCTTCTAATTAAGCTTTCAGCTGCAAATTATGTAATGCTCCAATTCTAGTAATATCAATGTTCAATAACTCAAACTGTTGCGTATTTTTTGTATTCTCTGATGACTAAAAGTTGGAACAATGGGAGAAGCGTCTTTTCACATTTGAGGCTATCAGTAATTAATGTTTCTGCCAGGAGTTTATGTATGCTGAGATATCAGAGTATGGTGGTCTAATATACTACAATGAATTCAAAACTAGTTAGATCATAAAACTTCATAATAAGCTTGGAATCTCAAAACTAGGTTAGTTTAGTTATAGGAACTGTGCATGATAGGATTGACTTCTTCTAAACTCCCTTTACTAAAAGTCTGAAAGTAACTCAAAAGTACAAAACTACAGATCATGAGTTTGGGATCTGTCGAAAACTAGGGCAAATTAAGTTACTGTACGTGATTGGAGTACTCAAACTGATCAAACTCCTCATAAGTAATATGTGAATTATTTTTTAAAAATTTCATAATTAAAACTATTAATTTTAACATAAAATTGTGACACATATATATATATATACATATATATATCCATGGCTTTTATTTTTATTTTTGTTAATTTATGGGATATATATGGATTTATATGATTTTTTAAATGATATGAGATTCAATATCAAATTAAATAAATAATTTATATATAAAATATCCATATCTTTTAAAGTTTTGTTGATATATAAAATCTAGAATTTTAATTATTGTTCCTCCTATGTATAAATTAACCACTAATTATATATATTAGTTATTAAGTAAAACCAACTTTCTTTTTTGACATGTATAGGAAACCCAACTAACATATATTAATCACTCATTAATTATACATAAGTTATATAAATGTATATAAATTAATCACTAAATATATACGTATTAGCAACTTGGATGCATGTACATTATCTCACTAATAGTTTCTCTCATCAGTCTCGAGCTTTTGTTTTAGTCTATAGATTATTTTTTTTCAATCTGTGGACGCATTGGTATAATTTAAACGCATTGGCACGATTGATCTGTTTTATTCATCTTCACTGCGTCAATAATGGGAAACAGAACAAGCAAAAATTCAATAAAGACATTAGCTAGGACCTATGCAACGGAACTGAGAACGTACGCGACTGCATGTAAAGAAGACACGGAGATCCAGTCTTTCGACACGCGTGTGCTGGCTCGGACAGGTCACGTGATAAACACGCTAGCTAAGGGGGTTAAGGATCGAGCGCTCTCGTTTGATTCTTTGAAAGTAGCGATGGAGAGTTTATTGGAGATGAACCAAGAAGTGGTGAAAGTGATCTTGGATTGCAAGGAAGACATATGGGAAAATAAAGAAATGTTTGAGATCGTTGAAGATTTCTTTGATACTAGCTTGAAGACGCAAGACTTCTGTAATGCTTTGGAGAGAGGCCTGCAACGGATTCTTACTAGTCACCTTTTGATTCGAGGTGTTCTTCCGCAGTTGGAAGAAGAGAGCCAGCTTGTTCAAGGCAAAACTCTTTTATATTCCTTCCTCTCTCTTTTATTAGTGGTTTTAAACTTAGGATGGGAAAACTTAAATATAAAACTTTCTTACTTTTAACACCTGTTTTTGGTTGGCAGGTGGGAACGGATACAAGAAGACACTTGAAAAGCTGATGAAATTCAAAGACGCAGTGAGTCCTTTAGGCGAAGACTTCGTCAACCTGTTCCAATCTGTTTACAAACAACAGATGCTGATGCTTAAGAAGCTTCAGCTACGTAAGTACAAGCACATCCACACATTGCGAAAACTTTCCAGCATCATCTTTGTGGCTACCTACGCCACTGTGCTCATCTGCTCTGTTGTGGTTGCGGCTATGTCTGCTCCTCCTGTGGTTGCGGCTCTCTCTACTACCTCAGTGACACTGGGTATCATGGGGAAATGGATCGACTCGCTGTGGAAGAACTATGAGAAAGCACTCAAAGCACATAAAGACGTGATCAGTTCGATGCAGGCAGGGACATATGCAGTGAAAGATTTGTATGATATTCGGTTTTTGATCCAAGAGTTGGATACTGAGATCAGGAGTATAAATAAGAATGACGACTATGTGGTGGAGCATGCTGCAGTCAAGATGGGGATCAATGCCATTAATAGGATTCTTGAGGTTTCTAAGAAGAATATAGAGAAACTGGGGATTCTTGTGGATTTATGCAGCAGAGATATTACAAGGGCAAGGACTGTGATTCTCCAGAGGATCATCAATCACCCCAATAATGGTAGTAGCAGCACCTGAAAAATATACACATCCTAAAAGAACTCAGTTCTCTCTTCTTAAGCTTTCAGCTGCAAATAGTCAAATGCTCGAAGACTCTATAAACAGTCGTACAGATTCTTTCTGAGTTTATAATATCAATGTTCAATAACTCAAACTGTTTATGATGACTGTTGCATATTTTGTATTCTTTTATGATTGACATTTGAAACAAAGGAAGACATGTCTTTTCACATTTGAGACTATCAGTAAATGATGGTTCTGAGAGGAGTTATATATGCTGATATTGATGACAAAAAAATAAATATATATATATATATATATATATATATATGCTGATACCAGAGTGGTGAACTAATATACTAAAATGACAAAATGAACTCAAACGTACAAATCTAAATCATGTGTAGAATCTGAAACTAGGGGAGTTAGTTAAAGGAACTGTGATAGGATTCAGTTCTGCTAAACTCTAAAGAACTACACGTTAGAAGAGACTTGATCAACGAGAGAAGTCTATAACTCTCAACCAGTGCCCAAACCAAAATCGTACATCAATCCTCAATATCTCAACTAATTGACATAAGGTCTGTTACTGAGCTGGCAAAACTACACTTCCGTGTACCATCCCTAGGATATTTACAATAGTCACGCACTAGACTTAACAAGATCACCTTACCAAAACTGTCAGAAGAGAAACAACCACAATACTGTTTACAAGGTTTATAATGTTAGAATCAGGAAAGACAAATAGAAAGTTAAAGCCTTCAAAGCATAATCTTACATTGTGACCAAGACAAACACATGTCAACTAGAGAAAATTTACTTACCTCAGTTTGGCTTCGTTTATTATTTATTGATGGTAATAGAAAATATCTGGAGGTAGCAATGCAGCAACGGCATTAGTTTTAGCAGTTGTAGAATCCTACATATCTTTCAAAAAGACCCATGTCATTTAACACATTTCAAATTCTTTCTAGACCATATTACATCCAAATCTCAATGCCAGGGCCTCAGAGGCATTTATCAAAAAAACAATTCTGACAGGAGAAGCAACCATGATCACAGAAAACAAGGGAGACCAAATCTTTCAGGAAGGTTTTCGTTCTGTTAGAAAGAAGGTAAGGACATATACTAAGCATAAACGTCATGAAACAAAACACATGTCGATAAAAGAAAATAACTTACCTCAGAGCACTTGACTTGGTTTAGAATCATAGTAATGATACAAGGGTAAACTCTTTCCACAATGGTCCCTGGCTCTCACTCATAGGCATGAAACTGACACTATGATAAAGTTATGAAACAAGCATTTCCATGAAAAGATTTATCAACTGCTTAAGATATAGGTTAGCAGTTCTCATTCTTTCAATCATAGCATCGTATCATAACATAGTCCTGTAAAGAAAGGCTACAAATCACAATTTTTAAAACTACGCTACACAGACTGTAATGAATCACTTATTTTACAACTGATTGAGGTCCACTGGGTTCTCCATGCACTGTCTCAAAATGAACTCCGCTCTCCTTCTTTTGTCATCTCTATCCTCATCACGCACAAAGGATATGGGTCTATTTTCACCCTTCATCTGTAGACTCAGATCCAACGGCTCCCCGAGAAATTTCTTCTCGCTTCTGAGCTTAGAAAGAGCAACAGGTTTTTTCTTCTTCCATTCAGTGTGAACTTCATTGCAAAAACCATCTCTTGCAGCCTCCATGGCAGGAGCAAATGCCTCTACTACTGATAGGGCATCTCTATTCAGTGATTCAACTTTCTCCCCAGATAAAGAAGGCGATACAGAAGGCAGTTCAGCCTCGTCTCCTCTGATTTCTTCTTTCACACCATCCATATCTCCCCACACACGATTCCCTGAGGAGATTTTACAGACAAGTTTCCTTTGCAAACTTAGCAAAGCTCTCTCGGCCTTACGCCTCTGCCTGGCTTGTTCAATCTTATCTCCCCTGGGATCTGATGCCCTTTCAATCCACATAGGTGTTTCCTTATATGTATGCGGATCAGGAAAAGCTGGTAACCAAAGAGGAATATGATTCCCAGGTGGAGTTTCACCAATTTCAACAAAGCTTGGAATCATCTTCTTACTCCTATCACTTAGAGCTACAGGAAAACGAGGCAATGGCTGCGAAAAAGGGATCTCTTCACTCGAATTCACAAAATCGATAATTTCCCTAAGTTTAACCGAACGCCCTAAAGAGCAACTCTCAGACGAGACTCCCTCATCGCCATTCCCAGTCAAATCTTCCAAAGCGAGAATGATATCGAACACGTTACAGTGACTCCTACCAGTTAGATTAGCAAAGGAAGTAGCAGTTTTACCTAGCTGAAGAATGTACTGAAGTGCGAATCCAGCTAGAGATTCCAGAGCTGGATCTTTGAAATGCTCGTAACCGACGCTCTCGCAGACCTGAGCTACTGCAGCTTTAGCGGCAGCGTGGCTAAACTCGTAGGACTCTGAACACCCCGAAGACGAAGCAGGGTCTTCTTGTGTTCTCTCTCCGCTCATTTCTCGAATCTTTTTTTCGTCAAACAGCTCTCTAATCCCTAAAGTTAGGGTTTTTTTCTCATCACTCAGACCACATTGGCCGCCGACAAAATTCCAGCGCAGAAATTTACCTCCGTCAACGGAGAAAAAGAACTAAACGACGACGAAGCACCGGCGAAGTTAGAAGAAGAAAGAATGAGAGGGATGGTCTCCGATCTCTCGTTTATATAGCTCCAACCCCAAAACCAATTTTTTTTTTATTTTCTCCGGTTAAATTGTAATTACCATTAAACTATTGAAAAGGTTCAATATTTGGAGGAAAAAATAACCACAACCCAAATATGTAAATTCTAAATCATAAATTAAGGTCCTTTACTCCCATACTAGTGACAATCTCTACAGAGTCATACTAAGTAATACTATACCAGTTTAAATACGATTTAGGGTAAGAACATTCAGTGGAGTAAGATGAAGAGGAATGTTGACTTTTTGGATTACAAAACCTTTTACAATAAAGTTACAGATATAACTACAATGTCATTTATTACATAGTACACACTCTCGAGTCTCGACATAATATGTTCATATCTGAATACGATCACAAGACTGAAGACTGAATCAAGCCGCCAGCTGCAACAACTCTTCACGTTTTATATCGAACACCTTCACCAATACATCCTCCACCACCTGCCAAATTTGTTTTTACAAAAAAAAGTTATACACGGCATGTCTGTAGGAGAACCAAGAGACCAGAAACAGCTGCGGATGTGTTCCTACCTTATCTGGGGTCGATGCACCTGACGTCACACCGATGGTTATCGGTCCCTTTGGAAGAAAATTCTCCTTCTCGACCAGCTCTCCGTACTATCCAATGTAAAATAGGAAAAATCAGTGTAAGCAATTTCGTAAGGAATGAGTTAGTTTTGAAATGCACTTACGTGGAGCTTCGAGGCTATTTTGTTCCCAGGTCCTATCCGTTTCTCACTGTCGATCCAGTAAGATGGGATTCCCCGTGCCTCTGCGATTTCCTGAAGGTGAGAGGTGTTACTTGAATTCCACCCTCCAACCACTAGCATGAGGTCAATCTTCTCTTCCACTAACTCATAGATTGCGTCTTGTCGCTCCTGAAAAGATAATAAAATTGATGAATAAACACTTTCTTTAAGTGTAAAAACAGAAGATAGCATTATCTATAAGCCTGCTTTTGAGGTCTGGGAAGTTTTACTTGAGTAGCGTCGCATATTGTGTTGAAGCTGATGAAATGTCCATTTACATTTTCCACTCCATATTTGCGCATCATTGTTCTCTCGATTAATTTTCCTGTGGGGATTTTAGCATGAGACTCAGACTAAGGTGCTTTTGTCTCCAAGGATAAAAGATGATTGTCATGTGAAACACGGTAGAGTAACTAACCTATTTCCTCTGTTTCTCCCTTGAGCATCGTTGTCTGGTTTGCAATACCGACTTTGATAAGGTCATTGTCGGGGTCGAAACCCTTTGAAACGGCGTATTTGAATTTCTACAATGCCAACATAGAGATTAGAACGACCAAAATTGATTTAGAAATTTTGCAAATAAGCTCATACCTCCATGAATTCCTCTTTTGTGGAGCTAGATCCATCGAGTTGGCCACCGAGAATGTAATCACAAACGTAATTCGCCTGTGCTCAGTAATAAGGTACCCGTCAGAAAAAAGTCTTGGCAAAATTTCACAAATATCCAAAGTTTGACAGTAGAAAAAGTCAGCACCTCTTTCATGTTCTTTACAATGATGTACTTTCCTGCAAAAGAAGCAGTTGCAATTGTCTCTTCGTGATTATATTTACCGTGAATGACTGACGTGTATTCCCCCTTCTTGTGCTTCTCAACCATGTTCCAGACCTTTAGAGTAAAAAAAGGAAGAAATCAATAACCAATTTGGTGCATGATATATGAGATGAATGCAAGAAAAAAAGAAAAAAAACAGTTTCAAAGATTTATGTAGACTTAAAAGGAATGTACCTTTGTCACCCAAGGACAAGTGGTGTCGACAATTTGCACCTTTTTGTCATTTAGAACATACATTTCATCAACCCCAGCTCCAAATGCAGGAAGGATAACTACATCATCTTTCTCTACTACATCAAACTGCTTCTTTGAATCTTCAATTGGAATAATTTTAACATCCATATCTTCCAACCTCTGCCAAAAAGAATCAATGAAACTCAGCAAGGCCCGTGAAGAGCAGATAGGCAAGTCATCAATGTTCAATGCTATTCAAAATTGGCCACAAAGCAACAGCATCTAGCCAACAAAGATATAAAAGGAGATTCAAGAAACTAGTAATACATGCAAAGCGGAAAAGAAGAGGCCTGATGAGAGTATAGTGAGTAGAGACCTTATTGACGGTCGGGTTATGAATAATTTCGTTAGTAATCCAAAGCCTCTCCTCAGGGAACTGCCTTCTTGCTTCATATGCAATCTGAACAGCACGCTCAACCCCCCAGCAAAAACCATATGCTTTTGCTAGCTTCACAGTAACATCTCCCCAAGAATAAGTATACCCGTTTGTTTTCAGTGTCTCCAATATATCACCTGAGAGTGTCAAATACAATACAACAGGATAAATAACCATCAAATTGATTCTGGTTCCTCAGAAAATCTCTTATAAACACAAAAAAGATACAACTTTGTCCACTTCATTCTTGTTAGATTTGCCAAATTCAATTACTGACCCAAAACCCAACATTGAGGTTTTTACTATAAAGGATAAGACTTTCAATTCGCAAGTCTCACAACAAACACAAAATTATAAAATTTCATAACAGGTCAATCATCAAACGATGGATTATTTCCAAAACAGAGCACGCAAATCAGAAAAATTTGAGGAACAACATACTGGTGTACTCTCGGTTCATGAGCTTGAGAGTCTCCTCCTTGTAACCAAATCCTTTACGGTTGTAGTTATCGCTTCTCGTCAAGTTCTTACGGAACGACTTGGCGTCAAAATCGGAGTCCATCACCACCGATGGGGAAGGAGCGTTCTCATCTCCAGAAGAGCACCGGACTGACAAAGCTTTCCGGCGCCGGAGAGATCCAGATCCAGAGAGATGATTCTCCAGCACGAAAGTGTCTGGCCGCACGCATAAACGGCAGAACTGGAGGGCAACAGCCATGGCGAGAGAGTTCGAGAGAAACGCAGAGACAACAACGACGCTTGACTGAGAATTCCAATGGATGGATGGTCCACGAGTTATCTCAACACAAACTTTTTATTCAATAAAGAAATTTAATTAAATATTGTAATTTGGGAATTAGATGCAACCAGTCACGTGGTGACATGTAATTTGATGTCTTATTTTATTTAGGATTCGATTACATATTTTGTGAAAATAATGGAAAGAGAGAGATAGACAATCGAATGAGGCGTACCTAGGCCACACAAAAACAATGCATGGGACACGAAAGTGAAGTCTTGCCACAGTTGCAAAATTATGGTTAAACTCTTTCAGGATATGTGTGATCGGTATGAATGTTAATTTGGATTCTATTGTTTCACAATATGTCAACTGCACATGTTTCATGGAGAATGAACAAATTTCTTAATTTCAATTATTTGTAAATTTGTAATGAAAAACAAAAAATAGTCATTTTGAGATACGGCATATTGTTTCTTACGTGTCGTAATTGGATAGGATAAATGTCGTACAAAACGAGGAAAAATATAAAGACTTGAACCGATGAAGAAGCGACTTTTGCAAATGAATAGCAAAATGACTCCCTCGAGAATAACTCAAATGGGCTTGAGACATTGCCCTAATTACTATGCCCTCGAGCACAAGCGTCGTCTGTTACTGGTATATCAATAACAATATCACATATCGAAAGGTAGAGGCAATGGCGATATGCATATTACAATCACTAAAGTGATACTGAATTTAATATTCATGAGTTTCAGTAGCTTTTGCTTGCTTGCACATAGTTAAATTAGAGTTATATATTTTGTCTTCCATATGGTCTCGTTGAGCAAAATTTGAACCGAGAGATAACCGAAGAACCTGCGAACCAGATCTTATATACCTAACCGAACTATCCGGAACTGAAAAGAACTGGTTTGAACCGTACCGACTATCCGAATGTTATGGGGCTTCATAATTGACTCGGCTGAGTGAGAATTGGTGTATGTATTGGAGATTAGCTTACGTCCGTTATTAATGGTTAATGTCCGGTTTAGTAACTACAGCATATACTTCGTGTATATTTCTCATCTTCTCAAAAATGGTTCCGCATATAACTCCTTTCCTAGATTGTAGATTATATATTTCGATTCTCTCTATTTATGTAATCGTTAAACTTCAGTATGAATACACAAATTCATCAACATCTATTTATTTTAGTATGAGCTATAGAGAGAGATATCCTCTGATCTGATTAAATGATTCTGTTCTTGATCCTCGTCGAGAAGACGAGAAGGTTTGATCGGTCCTCCAAAACCCTTGCTAATCACTCTCATCTTTCTCGGTATGGAGTTTTTTTTCTCTTGTAGCATTTCTGCATCTGATTTGATTATAGAGTGCGATCTTGTGTTGCATAGATTGAAGTTATTTTGTGTATGTAGCTATGGTCAGTTAGCAACGATAATTTATGGAATTTTCGTTAGAATAGTTATTAATAATTCTTGTTGAAATTATGAGCCCATGAATTTAGTCAGGTATGGTTAGGTTTCATTAACGATTTCTTCAGATGCATATAGATCAGTAACTTTATGTCTTATATAGTATTATGTGTGTAGCTCTGAGTAATTAATTTCATTAGCGATTTCTTAAGATGCATCATTGATCAGTAACTTTATGTCTTGTTATTATGCGTGTAGCTCTTGAGTAATTAATTAGGATGAGAGTTTATGGGAGTTATAATAATGAACACATATCTCCCTACCAAAAAAAATAAAATAATAAACACACATCTCTTACAACACCATCGTTTATATGTTCATATAGGTTTACCATGGTTGATTTCGAAAGATGCTTAGGACGTTTGGGAATATTTCTTGGGCTCTTGGTTCTATTCCTAACACATGCAACATTATCTTACTCTATGGACCTTACAAAAGAAGCAGGTTCCAGTGCCCTTTTCTTCATTCCTGGCTTCTCTATTTTTCTTTAATTTGTCTCTCACGTACACTTTGTATTTACTAGTTCTCACTTCTGTGTTTTTTTTTTTCAGAAAGCGTTCATTTGTCCGGATGTGTTTGTCCGTGTCCGTGTGCGCCGAGCAACCTTATCGATCCGGTACCATTGCCTGAAGGCGAATACGTCCTACCTTCTAATTGGTGGATTATGGTTCTGATATCCATGGCTGTTGTGTCAATCGTGAGTTTGTGCTCGATGGCACAGTTGAATGCAGTTAGTCCAGCAGTAGCTACTACAACTGAACATAGCAACAACAAATTATTATCAGCTGAAGAGAGACACAAAAAGATTATGTATGAGCACATGGAGAAGATGTCGAGCCGAACAAGAAGCTAAATCATCATATGCTTTTTAAAAATGCTTGTCATGGAAGTGTCTTTTGTTGGAAACAAAACGTTTGTCATCTTATTATGACTGAATAAGGGAAAATAAGTGTAAAAACGCAACTAGTGACGTGGGGACATATAATTTCATCTCTGAATTTTTTTAGGGTTTAATTTCATACATTATTTTGTGAACAATAAATGGAAAGAGATAGGTAGAGAATCGAATGGGAGTACCTACTAGGCCACAGAAAAAAAAAAAAAAATGAATGGGTCGCAAAACATGCACCGATACACACATTCTTAACTGGATGTGTTGGGCAAAGTAATCGACTTGGAGTAAAACATAGTTTCACATGGGCTTGAGATATGTGCCCCTTTTTATAAGGCCCATATAGTACAACAAAGGCCCCTTACCATTTAAGCTTCTTATGCCAAATATCCAAATCCAAGTGTCAATTCAATAAATTGACTCGGTTCTATAGAGAGTTGAAAAGTTAGTTTTTCTTTTTCTTTTTCTTTTTCTGTTTCGTTTCTTTTATAATTAAACATGCCATTTTGATAAGTGATTAGTGAAAGAGGGGGTTTACTTTAGGGTTTATGGCAGAGCAGAGCTGATAAGGAGAATCAAATCAACCCAAGTGCTTTGTCCAGCTATGGAGAATAGATCCGCCACTCGTAATTCGGATCCAAATTCCGTCGGTCCTCCTTCTGCTCTGACCTACCTCGATCCTCACTACTGGTATCGTCAATTCACATACTAGCCATACAATCTCTCTCTCTCTCTCTCTCTCTCTTTACTGTGTGTTCTGAATGTATTGGAAAAAATGCAGGGATGAGAGGTTCTCTTCCGAAGAACACTACGAATGGTTCAAGGACTACTCTCATTTCCAGCATCTCATCAAGTCCAACATCAAAACCTCTTCTTCCGTACGTTTCCCTCTCTGACTCTTGATAAAATATTGCAAAAAGATGTGATTTTGAGTTTGCCATTGTTTGTTGTAAATGTAAAGGTTTTGGAATTGGGATGTGGGAACTCTCAGTTGTGTGAAGAGTTGTATAAAGATGGGATTCTTGATATTACCTGCATTGATTTATCTTCTGTTGCCGTAGACAAGATGCAGAATCGGTTGCTATCCAAAGCGTACAAAGGTATTGTGTTTTGACTATCTCCCGTAGCCATAAAATGTAACCAAGTACCACTACTGTAGTTGACATTTCGAAGTCTTTGTAAAACTGACAACTTCATTAGTCTCTGCTGCGTTGTTTTGCTCTTTGAAAGTGGAAGTTCATTGGATCTTACTCTCGACGTGTTTAGTATTTGACCTGAAACTTTGGTATATTCAGAAATAAAAGTGGTGCAAGCTGACATGCTAGACCTCCCATTTAACAGCGAGTCTTTTGATGTGGTTATTGAGAAAGGGACCATGGTAAAACACCTGTAACTGAGCTCAAATTTTCTTCTGACTCATTGTTTGTTTAGGACTTTTGTGAATTTGCTTTTGCAAGTGTACATAATCTTGAATTTTAACGAGAGAAAGCTCACGAATTTTTTCTTTGTTTTTGTAAAGGATGTACTCTTTGTGGACGCTGGTGATCCATGGAATCCCCGTCCAGAAACTGTTAGCAAAGTCATGGCAACTCTCGATGGAGTTCACCGCGTTTTGAAACCAGATGGGATTTTCATTTCCATTACTTTTGGCCAGGTATTAAAAAGCGAATATCTGCAGATCATACTCTTGCGTTCACTCAATTATTAGCTCTAAAAGACTCTTTTTTTGGTCATGCAGCCGCATTTCAGGCGTCCTTTATTTAAGGATCCCAAGTATTCTTGGTCCATGGAATACAACACTTTTGGTGATGGGTTCCACTATTTCTTCTATATCTTAAGAAAGGTCAGTACTGATTCAAGAATCTTTGCTTAATGGTTTGAGTTTCTTCTACTGTTTTAATTGCCTTCTAATAGCTCTTTAGAAATCCCCACAAGCTATTATTTCATATTGCCAAAAATAAAATAAAAAAGAATGAGATTGAGAAACTGTTTCAAGTTGTCTTCTTCGAACATGGAATGCTAATAAAAGCTGAATGGTGAGAATCAAAAACCTTATTCCTAAGATCTGAATTCTGATCTAGAAGGTTATTAGGATGCTACTTTCAACCAAGTTGTATGGGTCAAAGTTAGGCGTTTCTATAGAGATTGAATTCCTTCAATTTATTAATGAGTGAAGCCTTAACAGGATGGTCAAAAGTAGGATATTGCATTTACCTTGTCATGAATAAAATAAACTTGTGATGATCTTTTTAGAGAGTTAAGAGTACTGAAAACACGACATTTATTTATCAGGGAAAAAGATGCAATGATGAGGAAGAAAATGAGAAATGCAATGATCCATCAATATCCCTGTATCAAGATGAACTTGAAGGGGAAGACTACCTCTTCCGAACACGCATAGATGATGACGAGGATTAGGACAAGAACAACGCTAGATTAGTTTTTGTTGTTTGCTATGTAAGTGGTTCTATATATTCTGTTTTGTAATTTTAGAATCATTCTTCTTTACAAAGAATATGATCGAATAGAGTGGAGCTTTCTATACTAAAGTGAAGTGTGGAGGTCAAGCTTTGAAAGTCAGTTTTCTTTTTCGGACAAATGGTTCAATGAATTTGACAACTTTGTAATAATTTCACTAGAAACAAACAAGTGTACACTGAAACAGTGAAATGAAAAAGGCCCAATAATAGAAAAAAAAAAAAAAACAATTGTCTTAATTATATTTAACTTTCATTGTGTACAATGTGTTTAAATGAGTATAGAGAAAAATTACAAAGTTAACGAAACAGTGAACCATAATCGCAATTTGAATCGTCATATTTGATTGAAAGAAAAACGAATCTGAACTGAAAGCTAATAATCATAACGAAACTAATCCTCACTTCAAAGAAGATTTTTAATTTCACTTCTTTTTCTTCTTCTATTTTTTTTTGGCAACAAATTAAAATATTACTTTGAGTCTTTGACTATTATTTAATAATCTTCCAAAACTCTTCTTTGAAAAAATCCAAAACCAAATCTTCAAATTAACTATAATTGGTGAATACACTGGAAAGAAATTGAATGTCAAACAAAAATACCCAAAATAAATAAATATCATTAAAATTGCATGTACCAAAAAAGAAAAAAACTTTCACAATTATGGCAAAAAAATAATATTAGAACAACATCTTCAAACTTATTTTCTTTAGGACCAAAAACGACGACGTAGTTGGAGTGTTTTGCATAAAAAAGTGAGTGAGAGAGAGAGAGAGAGAGAGAGAGAGAGAGAGAGAGAGATAGGAATCTTTGAGCGATTCGTCTTCCTCCTCTATCGCCTCTACTCTTTTATACCGGAACTTCTCTGTGATCTCACCGGAATATTCATATTTCCCCCACCCCCACCACCCACCTCTCTCCTTTTTTATTCTCCGTCATCCTCACCCTCCCCTCTTCGTCGATCATCTCACTCTCGATCACCTCCTTGTGCGCAACGATTTACATCGATAATTCCGTTGTGGTTTCTTCCAGAATTGTTTTGATCGATGGATGATTATTATAGCGCGGAGGAAGAGGATTGCTATTACTCATCCGATCAGGAGTCTTTGGATGGGATTGATAATGAAGAGTCTGATTTGCAGCCTGTCTCCTCCAAAAGATCCAATACTCAGGTTCCCCTCTTTCATACAACAACACTCTTACTTCCTCTGTTCCTTCCTTTGTTCTTGTCTTTATCTCTCTCTGTTCTCAATTCTCTGATTGATGGTTTCGTTGCTATTGGTGATTCTCTTTTTCCCGATGGTTTTTTGTCTCCTGTATATGTTTATTGAATTTATTTCAACTTTTTTAAAGAATTGAATTTTCGATGATTTCATTGCAATTTTGAGTTGAGAATCTGTTTCTGGCATCGTTGATCATCTGAATTTCTCAGTGTTTCACAGTGTGTAGGATTATTGAAACTGTAATCTATTGGACAATTGGCTCTGTTTGAAATTAGGGTTATCTCTCTTTTACGGATTTGAGAATTATACTCAACTAGTCTCATGGCTTGTTTGGTAACATTTATCAACAAATTTTTGCAGGTCATCACTCAGGAATCGCTACTAGCAGCACAGGTATATGACCGGAGATGATTCTTGTCGTTGGGTTCCATTTTTTAAATAGATTTTTTACTTTGGCTGAGTTGTTGGCTTTCTGATGCAGAGAGAAGATTTGCTAAGGGTGATGGATTTGTTGTCGATTAAGGAGCACCATGCGCGGACTCTTCTTATTCATTACCAGTGGGATGTTGAGAAGTTGTTTGCTGTGTTTGTTGAGAAAGGAAAAGATAGCTTGTTTTCTGGTGCTGGTGTTACCGTGTTCGACTGTCAATATGACAACTCTTCCTTTCCTCACTCTTCACAGATGAGCTGTGATGTCTGCATTGAGGATGTACCTGGTGATCAGATGACGAGAATGGACTGTGGCCATTGCTATTGCAATGATTGTGAGTCCCTGTTGCTAGAATTTGTGGTTCGTTTTTTTTTTTTTTTTATAGAAAATGTATATATCCATCTGATTTAACACGGTTCTTGTTTGGTTTAGGTTGGACGGAGCATTTTACTGTGCAGATAAATGAAGGTCAGAGCAAAAGGATTAGATGCATGGCTCACCAATGCAATGCTATTTGTGATGAAGATATTGTCAGGAATCTAGTCAGTAAAAGGCGTCCAGATCTAGCTGAGAAGTTTGATCGCTTCCTTCTTGAGTCATACATTGAAGACAACAAAATGGTCAAGTGGTGTCCGAGCACTCCTCATTGTGGGAATGCAATACGAGCTGAGGATGACAAGTTGTGTGAAGTTGAATGCTCCTGTGGTCTTCAGTTCTGTTTCAGTTGTCTGTGTCAAGCCCACTCCCCTTGCTCTTGTTTGATGTGGGAGCTTTGGAGAAAGAAGTGTCGAGATGAGTCTGAGACGATTAATTGGATAACCGTCCACACAAAGCTGTGTCCCAAATGTTACAAACCTGTGGAAAAGAATGGTGGATGCAATCTCGTAAGATGTATATGTGGGCAGTGTTTTTGGTAAGAAGTCGAGCATTGTTTCTCCATTGCTTTCTTTTCCTATTTTTCATTTTCTTTTCTATGCTTTGAGACAGAAAATGTCATATGGTGAAGTATCTCATCTCTCGTTGTTATCATGTACAGTTGGCTATGTGGTGGAGCTACTGGAAGTGATCACACATATAGGAGTATCGCTGGTCACAGTTGTGGTCGGTACCAAGATGACAAAGAGAAACAGATGGAAAGAGCCAAGAGAGATTTAGACAGGTATACGCATTACCATCACCGGTACAAAGCACATACAGACTCATCAAAGCTAGAAGATAAGCTTAGGGATACTATCCTTGAGAAAGTGACAAAATCAGAGAAGAGGGAGCTGAAGCTTAAAGACTTCAGCTGGGTCACCAATGGAGTTGACCGGTTATTCAGATCAAGACGGGTCCTTTCATATTCGTATGCTTTTGCATATTACATGTTTGGTGAAGAGCTGTTCAAAGATGAGATGACCCCTGAGGAGAGAGAGATAAAGAAGAATTTGTTTGAGGATCAGCAGCAACAACTTGAGAGTAATGTGGAGAAACTTTCCCAGTTCCTTGAGGAGCCCTTTGATGAATTTAGTGATGACAAAGTCATGGCGATAAGGATTCAAATCATCAATTTGTCTGTTGCAGTTGATACCCTCTGCAAGAAAATGTATGAGTGCATTGAAAATGACTTGCTCGGATCTCTCCAACTTGGCATCCACAACATTGCTCCTTACAGATCAAAGGGAATAGAACAAGCAACTGAGTTTTATGCTTCGTGGAATTCCAGCGGTGCTGACAAAGTGCAACCTTTCGATAGTGGTACAAGCGGTAATTAACTCTCGATTGGTTGTGATCATAACATTCTAGTAATGAACCAGTAAATCAAATCCTAATGAGTGGTATTGTTTATACAGGAGTGACAACGAGGCCTGAGCAAGCTTCAGGATCAAGGAGCTCGGAGGACACTATTTGCTCTTCTTCACAGAAACGTCCCAAAAAAGAAGGAAGTTTCATAAACAACAAAGTCACTTTGTTGGATTTGAACTTGCCAGCTGATTTCATCGACCAAAATTGAACTAGTCAAATCCTCACTTGCTTTGTCCAAAAGATATGACAATAGCAAAAGGTGTTAGGCTATATCTCCTTGAAGATTCGTGACTGACTGGTTAACCTGTCTTCCTTATAGTTTTTGGACTTTTGGGGTTTTTGGACTTTTGGGGTTTTTGTAACAAATTATAACTATGACTTATATTGTTGCTTCTTTAGTTCTAGACTTCTAATTATTTATAGATCTTTGATTCAGCCTATATATATGAAACTCTGGTGCTTCTCAATGGTCCTTTGAGGTCAAGTGGAGTTATTTTGTTTTTAGTCATTAATTTAATAAAATTAGTATTTACCGGTAAGTCGGTAACATGTATCTCGTTGCTCATTGGTTTTATGCTTGGCATCTCATTTTTACGATTTGGACCCCCCAAATAATATCTAGAAGCAAACCAACAATTTGTAATTAAGAATTAAGACAAAAGAAGTGAAGAAACTGAATTGTAGTAATGATGAGTCTTGTGTTCGCTTCTTTTTTTATGTAGTTCCTAAGATTTTTGAGCAAGGAAGCAAAAGAAAAGAAAAACAAAAGAGAGAGGAGCTTTATGTATTTGTCTTGGAGTGGCCAGGGAATCTCAATCATTCAGAATCCCGTGTTCAATTCGTACAGTACCCTAAATCAGATGCTACTTCCAGCTTACGTCAAAAAAGCTACTTCCAGCTGTTTCCTCTTCTTTTATTTCCAGTTACCTCTTTACCATATATACATACATACTAGGTGGGTTTACAAAAAAAAAATTAAAAAAATAAATAAAAATAAAAAAATACATACATACTAGATGAAATTAGTGTCAGCCTGTCAGGATATTTTTTGGGCTTAATGCTTGATAATATACCTAAGGTAAGGGGAAAATGCTTGATAAACCAAATAATTGAATTAAGTTCTCAACTTGTAGCAAGAACTATGTACGTTTCAATGGTTAACAATAAACAGATAGTGGAATCGTGCCTAAAATAATTTGCCTAATCTTTTTCAAGTGGTGCATAGTCTTTTCTTATAAATATGAATAACTAATTAGTTCTAATTCGTTATTGAGAATATATGTCTGGATATATCAAGTGTTGTGGCCTTGTGGGACAAGGACAACAAATGCTCGACAACATGGTACATATATTTTATTTATCTTTACACCAAACAAAAAAAAATAAAAGAAGAAGAAGAAGAAGAAGAAGAAAGTGTCTTAGGCAGTAAAGCTATGTGAAATGAGCTTATATGGAGGAGATTTAAGTACCTTTCGGTTGCGTGCCTAATATTCCAATGTACCTACAACCTCAGATGCATTCTTCAAAGTATGTCATAATTCAATGTAACATAGTACTTGCTACACAATTAATCGATTTCAAGTTTTGTGATTCTCAATATATTCACGGTGTATATTTATTTCTATCGAAATATGGTGTTAGTGTGCTTTTTTTAATAGTATTCTCTCCATTTAAAAAAATAATAATTCACATATTCTCTCATTTTTTGGCAAAATAAATAAATAAATTATATTAGTCTTAAGCTTAGTATTTATATACTCTCTTTCGAAATATCAACGAAGCTTCATCTAGTAACAAGCAATAACCACGTGTGAAGCACCCCTATCACATATAACAAATGGTCAATCTTTTTGAATATTTTCGTTTATGTGTATATAAGTGTGCATTTATAAGATCATTTCTCGTAACACCCATAAAACAATTCTCCAAGAGTCGTTGACAAAACCAAAAACATTTTTAACTTCTTAGAAAGTCAGAATTTGCTCTACACCCTCCATTTCCCCGTATAAATCTCCATAAAAATCTCTGTCCTTCTTTGCCAACCAAAATCTACAAACACACATTATCTTTCGACTTTCTTATTCATAGCTATCATAACCCCAAAAAAAAAAAATCCCTCGACCAAAAAAATTAAGAAAGTAAAAAGGAGATTCTATCCATTATTCTATAATCCTTATTTTTAAATCCAAGCATTTTGACTTTTGTGATAAAGATTAGAAGAAAAGAAAGCGATGAGGAACGAAACGGGTGGTACCATGGTCGTTGATCTCCAAACCGATCCATATAACAATAACCTCAATCGCCACGACCTTAGCGATGGTCCCAAACCGAGACCTAAATTTGGTGATCTCTTGAAAGCTGATCACGACGGAATATTCCCTCCTGACGATCCCATCATTGTAAACAGCAACTTAACTCACCAGCGATTCAGCAGCGTCTCGGCCTCCACCATGAGCAGCGGTCCGGCCAGCGGAGAAGGTTCTCCCTGCGTAATGTCTCCTTGGGCTCGCGTGTCTCCCCCTTGGGGTGCGGATTTCAACGAAGACAATGTCCTCGAAACCAACGGTCTCATTGGATCCATTGTAAGGAAAGAAGGGCACATATACTCGCTAGCCGCTTCTGGTGACCTTCTCTACACGGGCTCGGACTCGAAGAACATTAGGGTTTGGAAGAATTTGAAGGAGCATGCCGGGTTCAAATCCAGTAGTGGGCTCATTAAGGCCATTGTGATATTCGGAGACAGGATCTTTACCGGTCATCAAGACGGGAAGATCCGGATTTGGAAGGTTTCCAAGAGAAAACCGGGAAAACACAAGCGGGTTGGCACATTGCCGACTTTTAAATCAATGGTCAAGAGCTCCGTAAACCCTAAGCATTACATGGAGGTACGCCGCAACAGAAACTCCGTGAAGACGAAGCATAACGACGCCGTATCTAGTCTTAGCCTCGACGTGGATCTTGGTTTGTTGTATTCCAGTTCTTGGGACACGACGATCAAAGTGTGGAGGATCTCGGATTCTAAATGTTTGGAGTCGATACATGCACACGATGACGCGATAAACTCTGTAATGTCCGGTTTCGATGACTTGGTGTTCACGGGATCCGCGGATGGCACTGTTAAAGTGTGGAAACGTGAGATGCAAGGCAAAGGAACGAAACATGTGCTAGCTCAAGTTTTGCTCAAGCAAGAAAACGCAGTCACGGCTTTGGCCGTAAAATCAAAATCTTCCATCGTATATTGCGGATCCTCTGACGGGCTAGTGAACTATTGGGAGCGTTCAAAGCGGTTATTCACAGGCGGAATACTAAAAGGCCACAAATCCGCAGTACTATGTCTCGCTATAGCGGGGAACTTGCTGCTGAGTGGTTCAGCCGACAAGAATATATGCGTGTGGAGACGGGACCCGTCTGAAAAGTCCCATCAGTGTCTCTCTGTTTTGACGGGACACATGGGACCGGTAAAGTGTTTAGCGGTGGAAGAGGAACGGGCTTATCGTAAGGGGGCAAAAGCCTCTGCAACGGCCGAAGGAGACAGGAAGTTTATTATATACAGCGGAAGTTTGGACAAGTCGGTGAAAGTGTGGCGAGTGTCGGAGAGGATGGCCACGTGGAGGGAGATGGACGAGCCAGCAGCATCTTCCGGACGGAAGAGCTCTTCCTCTCAGCATGAAGGGAGTGGCGCGTGGGGTTCACGGGACATGGAAAAATAAAAAAAGAGTGGAAGGAAGCATATAGATTATAGAGTGTGATTATTTTCAAAACTGTCCCGTCGTTGCTCAGTCACGCCGGGAAAGAGTCACAAAGGATTGATTTCAATTTCATGACCAAGTCAACTAAGAGGTTTGTGCCGCGTTAGCATGGTGAGAGAATCCAAAGTCGGGTTCATGGTTTTCACGTAGTGAGTTTTGCTTTTTCTTCTCTAAACGAAAGTGTAATCTTTATTTTTTTCCCTAAATTTGTAAAATAAACAAGGAGAAAGACGGATTCAAACGTGTTTGTTTTATTTATATTTTCTGTCGTGGTTGCAACTTTTACAATTTGGAATTTTGATGAGTCGTTCTCCTCTTCATTAGAATTAGTCTTTCTATATTATATATATAGGATTTTAATTGTGTCTGGCAACATGCCATCTTAGATTTATATGTGCATAGTCCATTACATTGGAAAGCAAATATATAAAATGTTGTCAAGTAAACTAGAAGTTACATGCCCTCTTTGTGTAACAATGTGTTTTGTGAAGATTGTTACTAAACCCCTATCTTTCATACAATGGAACGGTGATCAATTTAGAGACATATGAACAACGAACATCTTTACGTGCAAATCTCTATCTTATAGCTAGGTGAGAGAGGTGTTCCAAGATTATTATTGTCTAATTGTCAATTATTTTTCATTTTGGGTAAGTGGTGTTAGATAATGTCTTGCCAACAAGTTATAATGTAGACGTCGATCTTATTAAGTATTAACTAATTATTTACCAAAAAAATTAAGTATTAACTAATTTGCATATTTTCAAAAATTAGCAAGTAAACGCGCACCACCAAATATCCACCCAAAGTTGTTAGAAAACCAAATTTTGAGAATTTACAGTTACCATATTTTAGACCTAATCAATCTTTATGATTAAAGAATGAAAATTTTACTAGCGAATGTTTTAACTTGTATGTACTTCCAATTGCCAAAAAGATCGTAATCATATCATTAAACCAAAAACATTTCCACAAACCAGAGCATCATATATGTAAATCAACTAATTAAAATCTAGAAAGTAGAGTAAGTCAACACCACCGGTCTCCTATGTACCGTGTAATTCCGGTTATTGCAACATTATTGCAGGAATGAACACGTATTTACGAAATTGCCCTCTTTCTTTGACTCCCTCAACGCCTTTCACAACGCATCGTTTTCAACTCTCCCAACCCGCGTTGACGGCAAGAATTTTCCCGGAAAATTAACTCTTTTTTTTTTCTTTCCTTTTTGTTTCAGAGAAAAGAGAAAACAAAGAGAGAAAGTCTTCTCTTTTTGTCAAGTCTTCGTCTTTTACTAGTGTGTGAGATAGAGAGAAGACGATCCAACCAATCTCTCTTTCTTCTTTCTGTTCACTTCTTCTGCAAATTCCTTTTTTATTGCTCTCAAAATTTGTTTTGCTGATTTTTCTTTCTCACATCGCCACTTTTCTGAAAAAAATCTCTAAACCAAATTCGAATAGTCTCATTTTTCAAGCTAAAGGAGCTAGCTTTATGTGATCAATTGTTTCTATATATATATATCTGGAGTTGGGGGCTCTTGTTTCACGCGGTTTGTGATTTTGATTATTTAAGCCCCTAATGGCTTAGGGGGGTCTTTATTCTTCTTATCCTTGTATATTGCTGGTGATAAGTAGTTTCTAAATCAGGGAATTTTAGGAATTGGGGCTTTTGTTCTTGTGTTTTTGTGTGTTCGATTTGGTAAAAGAAGATGGCTGCAGTGTTCACAAAGTTTTTGCCTATAACATCACGGAATCCTAAGAGGGATAATAACCGGGAAAGTGAGGATGATGATGAAACTAATAGTAATTATCGAATTGATTATTCATTCGCCTCGGAGTATAAAGGCCCTCTTATTGCTAATGTGCCACGAGCTCTTCCCGTTGATGTTGATGAGATTCCTACGGCTCATCCTGTTTCATTTTCTTCCTTGTCGAGTGGTATCTCTTACCCAGTAGCTCAACCTCTCGTTAGGACTAACAGAGTTTCCAAGAAACCACCTGAATCTGCAATTCAGAATGGTTTGGTTGATTCCCCTGGTGCCTCTAGTGTGGTTTTGGTAGGGCGTGATGTTGTTTCTGGCTCATCATCGTCGTCATCATCATCAAAGAGATCAGATGAAGCGAAAAGTTCGGTTGATTTGCCCTTATCACCATCACCACCATTGTCTGCAGCAGTGAGAGAGGAGGATACATTAGGTGATGGAAGAGCTTCAGATGTGGGATCAGATTGTACCATTGGAGAGGACGAGGCCGATGGAGAACGTGCAAATCGTGTGAGATTTGTTGAACCATTTCAGAGTAGTGAATGTGATGAAAGCTTCTTTTCTGATGGAGAGACTGTAGCTGCAACGCCTAAAGCTGAAAGGAAAGGCAAAAAAGGATCCTGTTACCGATGCCAGCTGGGGAACCGGTTTACTGAGAGGGAAGTCTGTATTGTCTGCGGTGCCAAATACTGTTTCAACTGTGTGCGCAGAGCCATGGGTGCGATGCCTGAAGGAAGAAAGTGTCACACTTGCATTGGTTTTAGGATCAATGAGTCCAAGAGAGCAAGTCTTGGAAAGTGTTCAAGAATGCTCAAGCGTCTTCTCACCGATTCTGAACTTCGACAAGTCATGAATGACGAGATCTCCTGCAAGACGAATCAATTGCCTTCACGGCTTATCATTGTCAATGACAAGCCTTTAAGTGAAGATGAGCTTTACACGTTGCAGACATGTCCAAATCCACCCAAGAAGCTAAAACCCGGAAGTTATTGGTATGATAAGGTTTCTGGCTATTGGGGAAAGGTAGAATTTCTTGTATATGTCTGAGTATCTATTCTCGGGATTGTATTTTTTGAGTCCTCAGCTAAATCAGAGCCTCTACGTGTGTATTTACTCAGGTAGGAGAGAAACCTTGTCAGATTATAAGTCCTAACAATAACATAGGAGGTAGTAACATCAGGAAGGACGCAAGCAATGGTGACACTGGAATTTGTATTAACGGCCGGGAAATAACCAAGCCAGAACTGATGATGCTCAAGGTTCTTTTTCAGTTTTCACCCTTGTTTCTGAAAAAACAAAACATATGCTTAGTGTTTGTGTCATGTTCTGAAGTAAGGGCTTCTTTGCTTTGATTTAGATGGTGAGTGTGCAATGTGAAGGAAACCCTCATTTTTGGGTCGATTCAGAAGGTACATACCAGGAAGAGGGTCAAAAACGTTCCATCGGGAACATCTGGAATAAGGTATGATTTCTTGTCACAAGGTTTTCTCGTTCACAGGTTTTAATATATATAAACTAAAGACAATTATTAATATTATTTTCATAGAAAAGAGCAAAAATAGCGTGTACTCTGTTCTCTCTACCACTTCCTCCGGCTTCATCTGCAGTACAACCATGTGATGTGCCCTTATATGAGCAGAAAATGCTTAACAAGCTTCTTCTGATTGGTAACGAGAAATGTGGCTCCACTACAATATATAAACAAGTGAGCTATTCATCGTAATGTCACCCACTTGAATATTTCACGTCTAGTATGGAATTGAAATTGACTTCTTCTGTTTCAGGCAAGGTCTCTGTATGACGTCCCATTCTCCGTAGACGATCGTGAAAGAATCAAATTCATAATCCAAACAAATCTCTATACCTATCTGGCAATGGTTCTTGAGGCACATGAGAGGTTTGAAAAAGAGATGAGCAGTAACCAGCCTTCAGACCAAATAGGTGATTTTTTATTGACCGAACAAACGTCAGTTACCAATTGATTATTGAAATTTAAGGAACACTAATTGAGTTCTTGTGATTTAGGCAATATGGGAGATGAGACCAGTGCTAAAACAGTTAGCTCGATTAACCCGAGACTAAAACATTTTTCAGATTGGCTTCTGAAAGAAAAGGAAGAAGGAAACCTGAAGATATTTCCACCATCAAGCCGCGAGAATGCACAAACCGTTGCAGATCTCTGGAGAGTACCGGCGATTCAAGCCACCTACAAAAGGCTTCGTGATACACTTCCCCAAAACGCCGTTTATTTTCTTGAGCGAGTGAGTTTACATCAAGCGCTTGCTTGTCCATTCAGGACCTTCACACTTTTGTTTAAGGGGAAAAAAAGAAGACTGACCAAAATTTATCTCTTCTCAGATTCTTGAAATCTCGAGATCAGAATATGATCCTTCTGATATGGACTTATTGCAAGCGGAAGGACTCTCCTCTATGGAAGGACTTCCTTGTGTGGACTTCTCATTCCCATCAACTTCTCAAGAAGATTCTCTTGATAGCGATTATCAACACGATCCAAACATGAAGTTAGTTCTATTCTTTTTCCTTGTGTTGCATTCCTGTTATATGAGAATTCGTTGAACTTACTCTCTCTCTCTTTAGGTACCAACTCATCCGGTTAAATCCAAGAAGCCTTGGTGAAAACTGGAAATTGATGGAAATGTTTGAAGACGCTGACTTGGTGATATTCTGCGTCTCACTAACAGATTATGGAGAATTCATAGAAGACGGTGACGGGAATCTTGTGAACAAGATGATAGCAAACAGACAGCTTTTCGAGGACATGGTGACCCACCCGACCCTGGCTAAGAAAAGGTTCCTTTTGGTTCTAACGAAATTTGATCTCCTAGAAAGAAAAATTGAGGAGATTCCTCTACGAAGCTGTGAGTGGTTCAAAGACTTCAACCCATTGATCAGCCAGAACCAGACAAGCAGGCACAACCCTCCAATGGCTCAGCGTGCTTTCCATTACATTGGTTATGAGTTCAAAAGACTCTATGATTCACTCTTGGAACCGTTTTCGATGCGTGGAAGGAGCTTTAGGCCAAAGTTGTTTGTTTCTCAAGTGAGCTTGGAGAGTGAAAGTGTGGACAATGCACTGAGATATGCGAGAGAGATTCTAAAGTGGCATGTTGAAGAAAGTTCCATGTTCCAAGAGATGTCTACTACTAGCATCGAGGCCAGCTCGTCCTCTTGATTTTTTCCTAAAATTCTTTCTTTCTTTTCTTTTACATAGTTTGTGTATATGTTTATGTGTGTGTCAGTGTGTGTGTGTATGTTTATGTAGTGTCAAGATACATTCATGTGATTGATTTCTCAGGGTAAAAAAAAAAAGAGAGAAATAAAGTGCTTACAGTTACACATATACAGTGAATTTCCCCTCCCTTTGTTTTCTTCTATATTCACTAGAAGCCGGTTAAACCGGACCGGAGTAGCATTAGATTCGCGGTTTAAACTTGGGGAGATAAAATCATTTAAAAGAAGAAAATAAATATTTTGAAATTGTCACGCAGAATACGAGGGACTGAGGATTGTACTTCTTTCTCTGCAATAAACTTAAACGTTGATTTGACTCATCTTCATGGTACCCTCTTTTCATATTACTTTTTGCTGTTTACTAGTCTGCACTCTCCCTCTATTCTCACTTTCTCTCTCTCTCTCTCGCTTCTTGACAACACAGATCCAACGTTTCTCCTCTTCAATGGCTACCACTGATTTCCAGTTTCCCCCACGTTTCTTCAAAGTTTTCGTGTCTCATTTCAGTTCAGATTCCATGGTAAGATTTCAGCATCTAGGTTCCTGTATAGATGTTGCTTTTTCCCGTTTCTAGGGTTTTGCTCTGTTTCTTCTTACCCTTTGGTTTCCTCTGTGTTTTCTGACTAACGATTTTAACTTTCTGTATGGATAAGTTTAATTTATAGACTTAAACTCTGGAAATAATGTTTGAATACTGTGACTGGATTCCATCAAAGTAGATGTCGTTTTCCTCAGATTCTGTTGAATAGATATATATATATATATATATATATATGTTGTACTTTCAGAAGCTTGTCTGCTTAGTTTAAATACTCTCTGGATGCTGAAGCTGTAAAATTTTACTCAGAAGCTCTTTTAGGGGTTTGTATTGACTTATTGAGACTGTATAGTGTATGCTTTGAATTTGTCTGGTTCTGTACAGTTGACTCTTTTCAAGTTTTTAACTGTCCGTCCCTACGCTTTGATTGAGAAAAAACCAAATATCTTGTGTGTAAAAAGCCTCTGTTATAGGCAGAAGTTTCAAGCTGACTTTGAATTTGGATGAGTCTTTCTTTTGTGAGTCTTTCTTGCCTATCACTTTGAGTGTTGTTGTAATTTTTTGCTTTGAGTAGGTGATCCCAATCTCCTACTACGATCAACTTCCACGTGTTTTGCCGAAAAAGGTGATTCTCCAAGGACCTGGTGGAGGCTCTTGGAACGTAGCCACCAAGATAAGGGGAGAGGAAGTGCATTTAGCACAAGGCTGGTCCAAATTCGTCGAGGATAACACTCTTAACGACGGAGACTTTTTGACCTTCATTTATAATGGAGACCGCATATTCGAGGTCAGTATCTACCGCAGCGATGGATGTAAAGAGACTTGCGAAGTCACTGAAGTGGAAGACGAAAAAGTAGACAGTGTTTGTTCTCTGAGCAGTGACGACACAGACACTTGTCCTAAACCTGAGATGAATAATACAATCCCGAAAGGCAGAGACAAGGGTTTGACACATTCTTAGCTTTTCTTCATCACTTAGATTGTTTCATGTGATTCTTTTGTTTTGAATCTTGAGATCTTTTTTCAGGAAAGTCAAAAGTGCAAGTTGTGGAGGATTCTGATGAACATGAGAATAGTGTTTATTCTGAAAGCAGCGACGAAACAAAAACAGACTCTGACACTGACTCTGAGTTTAAGATAGCCAAGAAGACAACCCCCAAACGCATGAACAAAGGTTTAACCACCACCCATTGTTAGCTCTCTTCATCACTTGACTTGTTTGATGTGATTTGCGCTTTATAGATAAGCCTGTTTCGTTTGCTGTGATGTTTCCAGGAAAGAAGAAAAAGGAAGCTGTGGAGGAGTCTTTTGATGAAGACGGTGACGGTGACAGTGACAGTGATTATGTTGAAGCGTTTGGTCAACTGGATGTTGAAGAGAAATCCGACAGTGAGGACAGTTCTTATGCTCCAGAGAACGAAGACACTGCAGCCACCACTTGTGTCAAACCAAAGGTGCCAAATCTGAAGAGGAAAGGTAAAAAATACATTAAACTTTCATCAGTTTGATTATTGGTGAGATATGCTTATACAATACAACATTGTTTTGTCTCTTCTTCTGTTGAACCAGAGGCGGCAAAAAAGAGGAAGAAAGGTAAACAACTCATATTCTTAGTTTCATCACTTCATTAGGTAACTAATTTTAGTGATGCTAATATATAAATGCTTTTGTCTTTTGAGATTTTTACAGTAGAGCCTAAGATCAAAAACCCTGAGACCTATCTTGATGATCCAAAGAATATACACTTCGAGACAAACGTGAAGAATAGGTTATATGAGCTAGTAAGAACTCTTAACTGGTCCTAATATACTACTTTTAACCTCAACTGATTTAACTAAATATTTGTTTGCTATTGTGTACCTTTTCTACAGTTGGTTCATGCACAATTGGTGAAAGACTACTGCCTGACGTTTGGAGACCACGTCGACTACATCGACAGATTCGGGAAACTTAGAGCCAAAACAGCAAAATGGAAGGATCAACGTGTGTGTATCAAAAGATGGATGCGCATATGCAAGAGGAACGAGCTGAAGAAAGAAGACCGCATCTTGTGTGAGCTCTTGCGCAGGGGTTCTTTCGTTTACGCGATCAAACTCCATGTGATCCGCGGGGAAAATCTGTAGACACCATTAGTATGAGTAGAGAGAGAGAGAGAGAGAGAGAGAGAGAGAGAGAGAGAGAGAGAGAGAGAGAGAGAGAGAGAGAGATTAAGTTACTCCTTATGATTTTATCTTGTTGTGGTCAAGCAAACATCGTTCTGAACTAAACTTAAGAGTTTCATTATTGTCTACATCAGATTGTTAACTGTTTTCTTGTTCTATGATGAATCTAAATCTAAACTACAAGGTCTAATCTTTGAGCTCCAGTGTAGCTATGTTGTACCGATTCCAGTTTTTTAATTTACATAAGTACTTATATTTTTCAGAAAATGTTGTGCTCCTACTGCTATCACCATAACATCAGAAAGGAATACATAACGCTGAGAGAATAAGCAAAAAACATAACAAGGACTGGAATCAATTCAGTCTTAAGCGAATAAATAGATGGAGAGAGATATATGAGACAGTTTCCATGTTTGAGCTCATTTCTTTGCGCAAAACTCTTCCAACCATCGTCTAGAAACACTTTGTTCATGACAGTCTTGATTGGTATGCTCCAAGTCTCTCCTTTTTGGTTTCTTTCTCGGGGATCGGTTTCGCTAAGAAGCTCTTGAAAGCCAATGGAAGTTCGTGACACAAAGTTCACATGATTTTAGAAAAAGTTACCGTTGTGAAACTCAAACGTACAATCTTAAGTCATACAAAGATTGACAAAATTTTGCAGATTAAAAAGACCTTTAAGGAGAAGAAACAAAAGGTGGAAATACTGAATTTGTGTCTTAGATTTTGTTTTAGTACCTACCACCTGTTGTTGGCACGACTTATTCTTGAAAATTCTGAAGAATCTTGGATACTGGTTTCCACAGAAATCCTCTGTCACAAAGACTAAAGATAAAGAAACAGAGGAATCATTGACTAAATACAGGTGCCGTTTAGGAGAAACTAAATAAAACATGTATGTACCTTCCTTTTTCATCGTCCTCGTGAGAGATATCCTTGTTGATTCTCTTGGTTGGAAGATGGTTCACCAGAAGTAAGAAGAAGAAACAAAGAAGACATGAGAGTGGGAGAGAGAGAGAGGATGAGAAATGACCTTGAAAGCTTTTTAATTGTGTGTAAAAACAGAGGAGCAGAGCTACTCTGTTTCGAGTCCCCAAGAATAGTAAGAAAATAAATTTAACAACGAATGTAAGAGTTGATTAGTATAATTGAAATACTCAGATTTGGATCATAATTATTTGAAGACAAAAAAAAAAGAATCATAATTATTTAATAGTTTAGATTATACAATGTCGACGTTGAATAGTTTATCTTTAATGATTTGGGTCCTTTTTAGTTTCAGTTTTGTGGGTCCTTTCTTGCAGGACCTTTTTCTTTTTAGGCAAGAAATAAATATATAAGAAAACAAAAGTTATGTATAAACTGTAGTTTTATTGGAGCATGATTTTATCAGACAAAATTGCACACGAAATAAATTTTATAGTATATTTTTATAAGGCAATATTTATATAATAAGTGCTATAACAACATGAGGACAATTTATTGGGAAGTCACCTAACACATTGAAATCCCAAACTACCGTCCTGGATTCGAATTTAAACCACTTTAGATAACTCAATTTGATAGTCTTTCTTTTTGTGTTGAAAAGCTGACTAGAGTGGTAGCATTAAGGCTCAGCTAGTTGAAACATTAGATTCTAAAACAAAGATAAAAACTACTATGAATAACTCTTCTTTTACACATTTGATCGAGTTGGAACGTACGTTAGGCTTTAAAGGAGTAAAATTAAGATTAAGAAGTAAAAATAAAACTGGAAGAATAAAAGATATGGTATGAGAGTACATATAATTTTTACTACTCAAAAGAAAAATACAGTGCAGTCAATGATAATACAGAAGTTTAGAGAACCATTAATAGGGCATGGGACAGTACTGTTACCAAAACTAAGAAAAATACAAGAAGCTAGCAGCAGAAACAAACATATCGTATATCTTTTCAAGTAGAGAGAATAATGGTGCATGAAGACCTTCCTTCTTCACCAGCAGTCCACACGCACGGCCACACTTTATGATGTTACAAAATCCTGTTTAATTACTCTGCTAAAAAATACATTTGTTGGATAGTAATTTTCATATTCCGATCCTCAGTTGCTTGTATTCGATCAACACCGTACCTAATGTGAAAATGGACGGTTTCCAGTTGTTGAGATATTTTGTAGTTAGCAAAGGTTAGGAGTTGGTGTCTTGGTGATTAGTTATTAATTAAAAACAAATAAATAAAAAGGATAAATCAGTGATTTGTAGTACTAATCCAAAGAATCTAATACTAATAAGTGGTTTGGTTAATGGAAAAAAAGAAAGAGAAAAGGTGATAAAGTTGGAAAACAAAAAGTAATGACGCGGGCGAGATAGTGAAGAAAAACGTTTTTGGTCAGCGCAATGAAAACGTGTTCTTATCATTACAGCACGTGTTCAACGTGTGTGTCTCTCTGCCTTTGTTGTGGGATTCCCTTTTATCTTCTACCATTTTCCTTTTTACATTGCTTTATACGTCAGTTATTTTCTTACTTTGAAATAAATTTACTTTTTTAAAGGTTAAATTTTATGCTTTGTAAAATAAAATAAAATTCACAAACACATTTTTTCAGAAAAATGGATAATTGTTGACTTTTTATAATAATAAAAAAAAGATAAATAATTGGTTGACTTCAGTGTCAATGTTAGTACTTAAGTATTTTATTGGTCAGGATGACTAGCCACGAATTATATTGTATGAGTGTTTTTCTAATGTCTTTAATTTCTCAAAATATTTTTTACCATGAATTTGTTTTAATAGTTGAGGCATTTTACAATTGAGACTCAAAATTAAATTTGAGATTTCATTTTTGTTTTCATAGTTCTAAATTTTAAATTTACTATATATAGATATAGATCCACATATATTGAAAAAGGAAGATATAGAGATAATATCGTTTGTTTAAGAATCTTCTATTCCTACCAAAAAAAAAAAAATCTTCTATAAATAAAGGGGAAAAACATAATACAAGTGGATATATACATATTATAATATATATATATATATGTGAAAAAATTGTGACTCTATGAGATCAAGTAGAGTCAGATATACTAATAAGAATGGGTACGGACAAAAGTCAAAAAGACTAAATATGGATGGCACGTGAAGAAGAGTCTTCTTCAAAGCGAAGACGTGGTGGGTCAGCGTGGAGAAGTGTCAACACAATTTTAAGTGAGTCCAGAATTAGCCAGCTCACCTCATCCATGATGATGATTCCAGATCATTTGATCTATCTTACTTACTACTTCCAACTTTCTAATCCAAAATCATTGAAAATATCTGAGTGACCATTTTTAGGAAACAGTCAACAAAACTTATATGTTTCATTGTCTTAACCTTTGACAGGTTATTATTATACCCCTCATTTTCTTCTTCCTCCATTTCTTTTTTCTTTCTCTTCTTTCTTTCCCAACAAAGGTCTTTTTGTCTTTTTGTGAAATATATATTTCTTATCCAATCTCTCTTTTTAATCTTGGATTTCATGTATATATATATACTAAAAAAATATAATTATGAATGTTTGTGTTTTTCTTATTTTTTGTGGTACAAATACCAGACCAAAAAAAAATTGGTTTTTTGAGACATCAGATTCTAAAAAAAGGAATATATATTTTATATGTCAAAAAGACTATACTGTAGTTGACTAGTAGTGACCATAGTACCCAATATTGAATAGTGTTTTTATCAGTTTTTGGCTGTTAACAGCAAATTTATGAACGTTTGCATACTTAATTAGTGAATAAACATGAAATCCATCGAATTTGAAGAGTGGTGAGAATATGCATGTAAATCTTTCGACAATTTAGTTTTTAGGATGTGAAAACTTATATATTTTGATCATATCATTCTTTAAAAGAAAATAGTTTCTGACCAATTTGCAATTTAATCACATCACATAATATATTGTATTTTACCATAGTTTGCTCGAATAAAAATGTTATTGTAATGTTACACATGCCAATTTGCATAAAACTCAAAATTGATTTTCGATTTGAGTATAAAGAAAGGCAAAAGATAGATGTATACACTTTTGAGTTTTGAGACGATGGATCTAGTCATCAAGTACAAAGACAAATTTAATCCCTCTATTCATGAATGTGAAGGCCATCATTGCTCAAATAATAAATAACATGTGAACTCATAAGCTCTTTTTTTTAAAAAGGCACGTGACTTATTCTAAGCCAATTAATTACGTACCTAGATGCTTATCCCATAAAAACATGTTTAAATTTCAATTTGTATACTGTGTTAAAAAGGAACAATTGATTAGCGCAATCTTTAATTAATTAGATTAGATACTACCAAACACACACAACACACACATACAAGAAAAAGCGTCATGTATGATGAAATGACTAAATACTAAAAAGAAATGTCATTATCATCTATGCACAGAAGAAAGGAAAAATAAATATAAAAAAAAAAAACAAAGATGTCGTTGTCGACATCAAAAAATATTCGGAGGCAATAACGCACGTGCTTCCAAAAAGACCAGATGATAAAACGACCCCGTGTCTGAAGAGTGTGCCAGTTAGGCAAGCCACGTAGATATTTGAAAAACACGGAACCATCATATAAATAGAGCTTCTTTCCACTTTCAGTTTCCCAAACCAAAACAAACAAAAAAAATCAAATCTTTCTCATCCATCTCCCAAAACGAACACTCAACTCACAGAGTCGCAACACACACACAAGAACCCAAAACAAAAGATTGCGAAAACTCAAGTTTTTTGAACTCGAGGCTTGGGTATGCATTATCCTAACAACAGAACCGGATTCGTCGGAGCTCCATCTTCAACCCGGATCCGGTACCAGAAGGAGCAGTTGTCACCGGAGCAAGAGCTTTCAGTTATAGTCTCCGCTTTGCAGCACGTCATGTCAGGTGAAAAAGATACGGCGCCGTTTCAGGGTTTCTCCGGTGACAGCACAGTGATCAGCGCGGGAATGCCTCGGTCCGATTCCGACACTTGTCAAGTGTGTAGGATCGAAGGATGTCTTGGCTGCGACTACTTTTTCACCCCAAATCAGAGGGTTGAAAAGATTCAACAAGAAGAAGAGATTACTAGCGGTAGCAGAAGAGAGAGCCCGACTGCCCCGGCGGCGAAGAAAGCGGAAGGCGGCGGGAAAATCAGGAAGAGGAAGAACAAGAAGAATGGTTACAGAGGAGTTAGGCAGAGACCTTGGGGTAAATTTGCAGCTGAGATCAGAGATCCTAAGAGAGCCACACGTGTTTGGCTTGGTACTTTCGAAACCGCTGAGGATGCCGCTCGAGCTTATGACCGTGCCGCCATTGGATTCCGTGGGCCGCGGGCTAAACTCAACTTCCCCTTTGTGGATTACACTTCTTCTGTTTCATCTCCAGCTGCTGCTGATGATGTGGGAGCAAATGCGAGTGTAAATGCGAGCGCGAGTGTAAGCGCCACCGACTCTGTTGAAGCAGAGCAATGGCGCGGACGAGAAGGAGGAGATTGCAATATGGAGGAATGGATGAATATGATGATGATGATGGATTTTGGGAATGGAGATTCTTCGGATTCAGGAAACACTATTGCTGATATGTTCCAGTGATAGATTTGATTCTTCAGGTTGCCAAAATTGAGCTCTTTCTTGTTGGCATGTTTATATAGTTGAGTGCAACAAGAGTGCCACTAGCTTGTTCGAAGTGAACAAACAAAATTATTGGTTTTTTCTATATGCATTGTAATTACTAGTCCAATTTTGTGTGTTTGTAGTCGATTCTATGTTTATCTCATAACACAAAAAAAGAACTGAGCTAAACTTATCTGAGGAGAGTAAATAAAAGAGTTAAGAAAACTAACTTTGGTCTGAAATCTCAATTACAAACAAAGAGTCAAATTTGTTTATGAAAGAGAAAACTATACTGTATATTGGTGATAAAAGAAAGAAAGAAAGAGACATCTGCTCTTTTACAATGTGTCGCGTGCAGCGATCCGACAAACAATCGCATCTCCGAGAGAGGAAATTCCGAGTTCTTGACTAGTTATCTTGTAATGCTGAAAACATAAATGTATGAGATTATTTTGTAACATTGGATGCGAACTAAAGGGGGCTTTAATTGTTACCAAAACATTACCTTTAGTATATTGGCTTGATTTGCTTGTGTCTTCAATTCCTCCAAATCGACCTCCTTCCCGTTGATCAATTTTGCGACCTCTTCCATCTGGTTTCCATCTCAAGCATGTCATAGGTTGATAAAAATGAAAAACATATATTCAATCTTAAAGAAGCAACGACATTTGCACCAAAAAAAAATAAAAATAAAGCAACGACATGGGAAGTTAGTTCTTAGATGGTTGAAGAGATTATGACCTCGACGGGAGAAGCATTGAACCGGGCAGCCAGAATGTAAGTAGAACTTTCAGAAATCCCACATCGTTTCAATGATTCTGTAATCTAGTTGAAGAAGAAATGAACAACAACACTAGAGAAGTCAGAAAACTGCTAATCTACTCTTCTTATGACAATTCACCAAACCAAAGAAACTTAATTGATGAGAGAGACTCTCAAGTATCAATACACAACAAACTATTTTCTAACCAACTCACAACTGCTAGAATCTGCTGCATTAAGTCCTAGGCTAGACCTACAGCTAAGGACTGAACAACAGAACCAGAGCCATTGCTTATGAGAAGTAAGTAGAGAGGAATGGCTAAAGAAGCACAAGAAAGATTGTCCTTACATGCTTAGATCCCGAGTAATTGTAAACGAGCTCAGAATGAAGGGTTCTGGTTGATAAGGAATCGCGTGATTTGGAGATAAGTGCTTTCTGAGCAGCAGCCAATAGAGGAAAAATATCTGGAATCTGATGATATAAAACTTCGTTAAGCTGAAGAAATCTAAGTCCTTTAGAATGTGAAAACTGAAGATAACAACAAACAAGCAAACAAAAACAAACTTACAAGTAATGCATTGAGAAATGAGACCTCAAGCTTCAGACTTCCATCCAGCATCGAATTCAAGAGCTCCCTGAAAACACAATAAGCCCACCCCAAAAGTGTTTATTTCAGATCTCACCAACACAAATCAAAACTTGCGGGAAAGGTAAAGGAAGAGGCTTTAGCTTCACAGAGACTTGAATTAAACAGAGTTTCCCTAAATTTTACAAGTCTCTGATTAACCTTTGCCGGAGAGAATATCTGACTCCAGTAGACAAACACAATCTAGTTACGCAGATTTTATCTTCTCATAACCAAATCAAGAATTTGCTTGGGTTATGGAAAAAAAAAGGAAAAAATTTGAGGGAGAGAGTACTTGGAGTTGGAGACATCGGAGAAGAGGGAGACAGAGAGAGTGTTTCCATGGTCAAGATGGAAAATCTTCATAGCTTCAATCGGCGGGGGAAAAAAATAGAGGAAGATTTAGGGTTTTAACTTCGCCGGAAGTCGACACAGAGATGATGATTTCATTCGGCGAACTCAGATGAACATCTTTTTTAAAAAAAATAGGAAAAAAAAAAGGAAAAAAAAAAAGGAAAAAAAGGAAAAACAAAAAAAAAAAAAAAAGGGAAAGAGAAAACAAAAACGCGCCAGGAAGGGGTCGAACCTTCGACTTTCTGCTTAGGAAACAGACGCTCTATCCACTGAGCTACAGGCGCACGTTACGGTCTCAATTCTCATATTAGAAAATATAAATATATTTACATAAAAATGTGGTTGTTAGGTGTGAGGAGAAGAGCAACGTGTGGTGATGTATTAGCCTAAGTTGCTGCACTGTTAGATCATGAATAGTGCTGCTCCAATTAGAAAGTACAAGGCTGCTGGAACTAGAGAAAGGTTATATTGGTGTTCTTTGGGTCAATGGATCAGTTCCAAGAAGTAATGAGTATGTGTTTTCTGACAAACATTCTCTTAAGGAAGAAGTCATGGCTAACAGTTGTGACTCATGAAACCATGTGAATCAATCCAAGATCTGGGGAATGGTTTTAAGAGTTGAGCTACAGAGACATATAAACGCATAAATGGTTTTTTCTTCCATCAATTTATCCTAAGCTTAACAGATCCATCGGGCCTCTTTATACTAATGGGCCTAGAGGCCTGTTGTGCTCCGAAAAAAAAGACACAGCATTATATATATTTTGTCATCTATTATATTTGTTATCTCTAAACGTCTAATGAATCTTCATACACTATATACAATTCGAATATAATATGTTGGATATCAGTAGAAATATAATAAATATAAGATGCAAGGTTTAAAGTATTCATGATGTTAGTCAAATTTATTTCTTGTGATAAAGGACACTTATTAGATAGTTAGATTTCAAGTACCCGTGAAAAAGGATATGGAGTAACGTACGATCTATAGAAAACTAATCGAGCTGGATATTTTAATTTGGATAGTTTTTGGAACATCATATCCAGCCATATATATAGCCAGAAACTGGAATCATCACGATTGCTTCGTTAGAAGACAACACCACCGACACATTGACTAACGAAGTTGGTTTTAGTGTACGAACGAAATGGAAACTGGAAAGCAGCACGAAGTTCACTGAATCCAAGATCCGACCTTGTACGTCGAGCCTCTGGTTTTTGTTACGTTTATAATAATGCTGTGGGATGCATTAATCATTCACAACACGACAAAGTTTTTTCATATTTTTGTGAAGTGCAAGAGACAACGCTTGTTCTCTATATGGGAGACCATAGGAGAGCAACCCTTTCATATATATACACAATTAATTAAGCAGACGTCACGCACATCTTAATATATTATTTTCTTTTTCTTTCCATCATCAATGAGATAGATCGATAAAACTTAGATATAAATTAACAAATCTATCAAAAAAACTGGCAAGCTTCCTAATAAAATGAAACTCTATAGACGATGATGAGAATAACAATACTGTATATAGAGATCAAGTACGTACTAAATACGATATACAAGAACACCAGTTAATTATATAGGGGTTAGTTGTCTGCAAAATTGGGGTCTCTTGGTTGTTGGTGTTAGAAGAAGAGCAACGTGTGTGTATAAATTACCAGTAGCGGCTTGTCGGAAACCTAGTTGCGTGGGAACTCAGATTAGTAATTACATTGTGCAATTACAGCTATATATCACTGTCACATGCAAGGGTCTTCTAAGATGTGTATATATATAAGTATGAAAGTTAACTGTTTTATATATTACTCAGCCTCTATATAGTTTATCTGTTATTTATAACTTTAAAAAAATCTTGAAAGACCTTTGGAGACTTTGGAAAGCCAACTATTATTACTAGTTTTATGTACCATTTCTATTAAAAGCATAAAACAACTGAGTTTGGGAAATTTCTCAGAAATTGCATGAGACTATTTTGGAAATGCATGTGCATAAAATTAAAAACGTTCATGTGCTTAAAACATCCCTTTGCGTTAATTTAGGGTTTTATCTTCTCTAACAATTAAAAAAAAAAAAGTAGTTTTGCTTTTTGTGATCTTAATTATAAATGGCTCTTCTTGTGTATCAAGAGACCAAGCTTTTAACTTTTCCCCGCTGTTGATCCCTAAAACGGGTTATAAGTTATATTGAAGATAGTGTAAATATATTAAGAATCTAGTCTTAGATCTCTAAACTCAAAAGAGACAACACTTATATGTCTCTTTGTGTGTGCGTGAGACTATATCAACACAATAATAAATATATATATCTAAGAAGATGTGACTCCTAAATGTATCATATAAATAGAAACATTTCCCCTATAGAGACTACAACAAATACACAGTAGAATACAAAAGAGAGGAGAGAGAGAGAGATAGAAATGGAGTGTTCGAACATGAAGCAACATCAGTACGGTTCATACGCAGAGCCGAGGATCTCCTTTTCGAGTGGTTTTGCAGCGAGTAAGCACGATATGATCAAGTACAAGGAGGCACCTGCGTCGTCAGATGATTTTGAGTTCGGAGTCGAGAACTTCTCCATGACCACAGCAGATGAAATAATCTTCGAGGGAATGATCTTGCCGCTAAAGGAAGAAGTTAACACGACGAAGAGAATGTCAACTCTGAGGGAAGAACTCAGCGAAGAGGATGATGATTCACCGAGAAGCAAATCGTCAAAAGGGTCGAGTGGTTGGTGGAGAGAAAGGTTAGGATTAGGATTCGTGAGGTCCAAGAAAGATCATAAGAAAAACTCTTTTTATCACCAGTAGAACCAATTCTTCCACTACTCAACGGCTCTTTTCTAATTATATTTCTTTTCAACCATTTTTTTGCTTTTTTCTTCTTCGTAGCTATAGGGTTAATTTACTCTGTAATGTGTGTGTTTCTCTCTTCTTCGCTGTTCCTCGCCCATGTAAAAATTGTTTGCGGTCGAAGATTTTTTTCTTTCTTTTTTTTGTTGTGTGTGTGTTTTGGTGCTTTCTTTAAGGGATAATTAATGACGACATAAATATCGAGTTTATTTTCAAACTTCTCATCACTTATTTTTGGTACTTTCTTTTAGGGAAAATTAATGACGACATAAAAATATCTTAAACGAAAACAACTTTTCTATGTAGTTTCTACAACAACTCAAGAGTGAGTGTAGTTTTCTTCTCAACGTACTTGTAGTTCTTTCTTCTGTTTATGGCAATTAATGTTGAAGAGACGTTTTGACAGCAAGTTCATAATATTTATTTGACCAAATGTCATTTTAAAAACATACACAACCCATTTAGCATTGATATCTATCTACTAAATAGCAAAAGAATCGAATAAATTGAAAGAAAAGAAAAAAAAAAAAAGCACAAGTCAAACCGATGAAACAGGGCATGTGTGTCACACGAATTACTTTAAAAAGTACAAATAATTTGATTAAAGGATTTAAAACCATAGAAAAGATAAAAAGGAGCCCATAGTGTGAAGCACGGTGCATGTCAGGAAACGACACCGTTTTTGTAGCTCGACCTGTTTCGTCTCTAGGTGTTTATGTATTTTGTTACTATTTTTCTGCAAATGCTTGTGTTTCTGTACATCATCAACATTTAAATCCCAATGGCGCATTTTAAATGTTTATTAATGAAACCTGAGATCCGTAAATTCGAAGAACTACCCAAATTCAAGCTAACGGTCTTGGGGCTCCCTTCTTTAATCATTGCGTTTTTTCTCTAAAAGTTGTTCCTTTTTTTTGGGCATAAAGTTGTTTCTTTGATAGTGTCTGAAAAATTCAATGTCTTTCTGATCTTTCATCTCTCTCTCTCTATCTCTCTTTTGTCAATCGAGGCAGCCATGGCCGAAGACCCGTCTTTCCTCCCCAAGGTACCTTTCCTCGTGTTTGGCTTTACGCATGTCCTGCTTTAATCTGCTCGTGAGTGGTCTGATCTGATTCGGAGTTATCTTCAGCTGATTTGTTCTCTAGTTTTAATATTAGCTTCTAGTTTTTGTGTCACAAATCTCTAATCTCTAAAATTTGATTCTTTCCGGCATTATAATATAAAAGATTCTGAGGTTTTCTTGATTTTTTTATACAGACAAATCTTTGGTACCCATTTGACTTAAACAAACAAACATACAAGCTTATTAACACGAGTACATATATAAATGTATTGTCTTTTGCAGGATAGTTTTGTCTTGAAGCTTCCTAAAAAGTCCTCACTTGTATTGAGAATGGTCGTTCTCCTCTTTGTAATGGTATGTGCTGTGTACATTTGCTCGATTTGTCTTAAACAAATTGGAGTCAGCCCAAACTATGGTTTCTTGAACGTTGAAGTGTTTGAGAGGCCTTGTCCTGAGCCTAACATTGAACCGTGGGACATTCCATTTGTGCATTATCCTAAACCAAAGACATATAACAGGTAGAATATAGATCAAAAAGTTTTAGCCTTTATGATTCTTGGGTCTACGGTTACATTGATTAGTGCTTTGTGGGTTTTGAACGTTTCAGGGATGAATGTTCTTGCCACCCGGTTAGGTACTTTGCGATTCTCTCGATGCAGAGATCTGGTAGTGGCTGGTTCGAGACTTTACTTAACAATCATACTAATATAAGTTCCAATGGAGAGATATTTTCTGTCAAAGATAGGAGGGCTAATGTTTCCACCATTTTTGAGACTCTTGATAAAGTCTATAATCTAGACTGGTTGAGTAGTGCCTCTAAGAACGAGTGCACTTCTGCTGTTGGCTTCAAGTGGATGCTTAATCAGGTAAAGTCACTGTTATTCCCGGACATTGTGACTCATGTTTAGTCTTCCTTACTCGCCATGTTTTCGACCTGCTCTGGTTCTTTTTGAGTGCTTTCACAAAGAAATTGCTAGATCCCATCCTTTCTATTGGTCACTGTTGCTTATAACTAACTACTTATGAGTTGAAAGTGTTGTTTTCTAGATAAGAGCTGCAATGTTTAAATTTGAAAAAGAGATACCTTTGGTTTTGCAATATAGTAGTCAAATTGATAAACATGTTGTAAGGATTGGTCTTAAAGAAAAGATAAGGTTGTAGCTTTGAGTGATTACTTTCCTTCTCTCAGTGCTCTTCCCTTAGTAGGGAATCTCTGAGTAAATGTCATTCGTGAAAGAGAAATGTATTGGATTAGGGAGATTATTTGTGGCTGTTGGTGATAATAAATTGGGCCTGAGTAAAAGTTTAGGCTGAATGAGTCTGTGATTTGATATTGGAGAAGTGAAGGAAGTTGCTGTTTCATGTAGTAGTAAGTGAGCTAGCAAACATCCAAGTTACTAATCTTATGATGGATTTTGCATTGCTGCAGGGTCTAATGAAACATCATGAGGAAATAGTAGAATACTTCAAAACCCGAGGAGTCTCTGCAATTTTCCTATTCAGGAAAAACCTATTGCGCCGCATGATATCAGTACTCGCAAACTCTTATGACAGAGATGCTAAGCTACTAAACGGGACTCACAAGTCTCACACCCATTCGGCCAAAGAAGCTGAGATATTGGCGGGTTACAAGCCAATGATCAACACAACACTTTTGATAAATGAGCTGAAGCAGATTCAAGAAATGACTTCAAAAGCATTGGCTTACTTTAATACCACTAGACATATCCTTGTCTACTACGAAGATGTTGTCAAGAACCTCACGGTGATTATTACATCTTTCCTTACTGAACTATTTTCAGTCATTGGTTTGTAAAATGATCTTATATGTGTTGAGAATGATGCAGAGACTAGACGATGTACAGGAGTTTCTAAAGGTCCCAAAGCGTAAGTTGAAGAGTCGGCAAGTGAAGATTCATGGAGGTTCATTGTCACAACATGTACAGAATTGGGAAGAGGTCCAGACTACACTAAAAGGAACCAATTTCGAAAATTTCTTACTCCAAGAATACCGCAAATGATTTTTGAGTTTTGTATAGTATATATCAAGACCAACCTTGTAGGATATTTTTTTTGTTTCTCATTCTAATTTGATTCAGTTTAATCAGCGGCATTCACATGAAATTGTGAGTTTTTCTTTTTCCAATCTTTTTTGCTATATGATTTGACATTGAGCAAAATCATATTGATCGTTTTAAGAGCAAAAGAAGAAAGTCTCCTCAAAATTGCTTAAACCAGAGCGTGATTTAGATATTTTGTACACCTCAATAACCTGAAACCGGGTAAAACCGAAATTTATTTCTGGCAAACCAGATATCTTAGTCTAACCGGAAGGCTAATTCGAGATTGATTGATTTAAACCGAACAAAACCACTCAGGAATGCGGAGTTCAACACATTTCGATACAAATTTGCTGATTCTCCCCACTCGAAGAAGCGAAATTGGGATTGGGAATAGCAACGTTTTGATAAAAAATGGTCTCTTTGTAGCTGCAAATTGCAAAGACCCACTGAGAGAGAGAGAGTGAGGGAGAGACCTTTGAGAGAGATGGAGGAGAAACGACGCGATTCCTCTGGAACCCTAGCTTCTGCTGGTAGCTCTGGAGATTCTCCGGCCTCTGAGCCGATGCCGGCGACACGGCGCCGTGGCGGAGGTTTGAAAAGGAAAGCGAATGCTCTCGGGGGTTCTTATTTCTCCTCTTCTACGCCGTCTAAGAGGATGTTGACGCGTGAGAAGGCTATGCTTGCGTCTTTTTCTCCGGTTCATAATGGGCCTTTAACTCGAGCTCGTCAGGCACCGAGTAATATGCTCTCGGCGGCGGATGGGGTTAAGTCGGAGCTTTTGAATGTTGCGGTGGGTACGGATGGAGAGAAGCCCAAGGAGGAGGAAGAGCGTAATAAGGCGATCCGTGAGTGGGAGGCTCTGGAGGCTAAGATCGAAGCTGATTTCGAAGCAATTAGATCTCGTGACAGTAATGTTCATGTAGTGCCTAATCATTGCGGTTCGTTCTTCTACTTCTTCCTGTTTTTGGTTGAAACTGAAAGCAAATTATTTATCATTTTAGCATTTGTCACTGTTTTGCTTTGCAAATTTTGAAACTTAATAGGAGAGACTTTCCAAAGTAGGCCAAGTAAAGTATTTGAGGTAGTCTAGGTTTTAAGTATCACGTCATTTGGAAATGGGGAGAGATTTGGTTCTGGAACTCACATTGTGAATGTATATAATGGGTTTGATGCATCGTGATGAAGTTATACTGTCTCACCTTGCTATACACGAGCAAATTTCATTCTCTAAGGCTGATTAAAGTAGAATGTGGATGCTCATTTTTATCATGTAGAATCTCCATTGAAGAACCCCAGGCTATGAACTGATGCTCCTAGCCCTAATCTTGTGGTAACATTAACCTGGAAAATAATATGATACCAAAATTTAGATTTTGAGTCTGTTGGTGTTGTTTAATCTTCTCAAATTTTCATCATCCCATTTTGAGTAGTCTGTGATTTGGGTTCATGTACTTCAATTTCTTTGAAGGTTGGTTTTCATGGGAAAAAATTCACTCTCTTGAGGAGCGTTCATTGCCCTCTTTCTTTAACGGCAAGTCGGAAGGTCGCACTTCGGAGTTATATAGGGAAATACGGAATTGGATCATGAGAAAATTTCATTCCAATCCGAACATACAAATAGAAATCAAAGACTTAACAGAACTCGAGGTTGGAGACTCAGAAGCAAAGCAAGAGGTGATGGAGTTCTTGGACTACTGGGGATTAATCAATTTCCACCCATTTCCACCAACAGATGCTAGTTCAACGGCTTCTGATCATGATGATTTAGGGGATAAGGAGTCACTGCTCAACAGTTTATATCAATTTCAAGCTGATGAGGCTTGCCCTCCTCATGTTCACAAACCTCGTCTCACAGCACAAGCTACGCCATCAGGGTTGTTTCCAGATCCGATGGCTGTTGATGAATTGCTGAAGCAAGAGGGTCCAGCAGTTGAATATCACTGCAATTCTTGTTCAGCTGATTGCTCTCGCAAGCGCTACCACTGCCCGAAACAGGTGTCTTATCTTTTTACTTATTTTCATTTTGAATATAACTGCAGTATTTTTACTACTTTTAATAATCGTTTTTTAAAACTGAAATGCTAATATTGAGTTTTTGACAGGCAGATTTTGACTTATGTACGGAATGCTTTAACAGTGGCAAGTTCAGCTCAGATAATATGTCATCTTCTGATTTTATACTAATGGAGCCTGCTGAGGCCCCTGGCGTTGGTAGTGGGAAGTGGACTGATCAAGAGACTCTTCTTCTCCTTGAAGCTTTAGAAATCTTCAAGGAAAATTGGAATGAGATTGCAGAGCATGTTGCTACAAAAACAAAAGCTCAGTGTATGCTTCATTTTCTTCAAATGCCAATTGAGGATGCATTTCTTGACCAAATTGACTACAAAGATCCGCGTACAAAAGACGCGACAGATTTAGCTGTGTCTAAAGATGATATTTCTGTTCCAAAAGATGCACTTGAAGAGGGAGAGAATAAGACACGTGTTGATAAAGATGAGACTATGAAGGAAGATCCAGTACCAGAAGTTGACAATGAAGGAAAAGTCTCTCAGGAATCTTCCAAGCCTGAAGAAACTAATGATGTGGAAGCAGACCAGAAAACACCCAAACTAGAAACCGTCGCTGACGAAAGATGTAAGGATGAAACTGACGAAAACATTGCTCTGAAAGCTCTTGCTGAAGCTTTTGAAGATGTTGGTTATTCCTCCACACCTGAAGCCTCGTTTTCCTTTGCTGACTTAGGAAACCCTGTCATGGGACTGGTAAGTATTTTATGTAACCCAGAGAAATTTTGCAGTAATGGGGACTGAGCTGAGATTCTTCTTAATTTACACATGCACCCTCTTCCCTTTCTGATCCTGCAAGGCTCTTTTTTTGTAGGCAGTCTTTCTGGTAAGATTGGCAGGATCTGATGTTGCTACTGCGTCAGCCCGGGCTTCCGTAAAATCTCTTCACAACAATTCTGGACTGCTGCTTGCGACAAGACATTGTTATATTCTGGAAGATCCACCAGACAACAAGAAGGATTCAACTGAATCAAAAAGGTTTTCCAATTATACGATAATCTCTGTCAACATTTTATGTTTTTGTTCTGCTCTCAATCTCTTGGAGACATTGGTTGCTGTTCCTTAAATCTGAAACTAGCAAGCCATTTGCAGTGCCAATGCAGAGGGGAATGATGATAATAATGTCCATAAAGATGAGCAACCAGAAGAAAAAAGCCAGAAACCAGAAGATGTCTCCTTGAATTCAGATGATAGGGAAATGCGAGATACTGAAACAGGTAAAGAAATTCTGGATTCAGTCTCTGAAGAAAGGCAACCTGGTTCTCGAAATGAAAATTCTACTACAAAACCAGATGCCGTACAAGAAAAAGAATCTAGTAAGCCAGTCACAACTGACAACTCAGAGAAACCAGCGGATAAATGTCCATCGCAGGACAAATGTTCAGGGAAGGAGCTTCAAGAACCTTTAAAAGATGGTAATAAGCTTTCTAGTGTAGATAAAGATGCCTCTCAAGCAATGGTCTCCGAGGCAGCTGCAGATCCTTCTCAGCCAGAAGCATCAAAACATGTGGAGATGAAGGATATGCTACAGTCAGAGAAGGATTCTCAAGATGTGGTCAAGACAGTAAGAGAGGAGGTTCAAGAGGCTAAAGAGGAGGGTGCAAAGGATGTTCTTAGTACTCCAGACACGTCTGTTGTCCAGGAGCCCATTGGATCAGCTTCTGCACCGGAAAATGGAATAGCTGGTTCTCTCTTTATCCGACACATAAAAAACTTAACCTGAACTGCATGATTCTTCTATATCTTATTGTTTCTAAATGCTGTTTTGCAGGTGAAAATCCAAATAAAGAAGGAAAGAAAGAGAAGGATGTTTGTGAAGGGACAAAAGACAAACATAATATCGAGAAGCTTAAGCGCGCAGCCATCTCCGCTATCTCAGCCGCAGCAGTAAAGGCAAATAATCTTGCAAAACAAGAAGAAGATCAAATCAGACAACTTTCTGGATCATTGATAGAGAAGCAGGTAAGACATTGTTGATATTCTGTTTTGGTGCTTTATGATTCAGAGTTATATAGCATAATAATGAGGGTTTTTCCTTTTATATCTAAGCAGTTACGCAAACTAGAAGCAAAGCTATCTATCTTCAATGAAGCTGAAAGCTTGACAATGAGGGTAAGAGAGCAATTAGAAAGATCAAGGCAACGGCTATATCATGAAAGGGCTCAAATCATCGCAGCTCGACTCGGTGTTCCACCTTCAATGTCTTCAAAAGCATCGTTACCAACAAACAGAATCGCTGCAAATTTTGCTAATGTAGCTCCTAGGCCACCCTTGGGCATGGCATTTCCACGCCCACCAATGCCAAGGCCTCCTCCAGGTTTCACCATTCCTGGTTCTTTTGTAGCTGCTACAACAATGGCCGGAAGCTCAGATCCACCTCCAGGTTCAGAAAATGTTTCGTCGGTTTAGTGGTCCTTCATCATAGTATTCAGATTTGCGGGGTAGCTCTTCTTGATGTTCTATTTATAAGCCCAGGTACATTATCCCACCTTTTGCGGCTTCAACCTTTGAGCTTGGTTTCTTTTTCGGGAGATTTATCAGACTTATGTAGGAGATGGTGATATGGAGAAGTTAGTTAGGGGTTTTAGACCCATCAATTAATGTGTAATGTAACTGTCAAATGAAACTTTCGGAGATATGTGAATGTGTTTTTTTTATGATTACCTTGAACTTTAATGAATTGTAACGTTGAACAGAGATATATGATTCCGCAGAAGGTGGTGGGAATGTTTTATACCCAAACGCGTACATGTATTAAGACTCTAAAAGAGTGTCCGGTAATAAAATCAGGTTCTTGTTTCTTCGACAGGATCTCTTTTACAGACTTTATTTAGGTCACAGCGACACAGACAGAGTGAAATCAATTTTCCTTGGTTAACGCCCGCGTTTAAGAGTAACCCCGATTCAAACCCTGTTGGGTTATTTTCTAAACCAATCTTCAAACCCGGTTGGTCTCAATGTCCAAACTTCAAACGACACACATGCAAAAGTAGTAGGCGAAATTAGAGAGAGACTATGGTTTTCTTCAAACAGAGCAAATATAGATGATAAATGGTAGAGAAGAGACACGCTTTTGTCCTAATTATAGCAAAAGTTTACATTTTTGTCAGAAGAGAGATCTCCTCCTTCATCGGAGAAAGCTATTTCTTCAAACTGTTTCTTCAATTTCTCTCTCCCTTTTCATTCTCTTTCTTACCTTGTTCATCAGGTATCCATCAGTTTCCTCCAAAATTATTTTCTATTGTATAAAGATTCTGATTCTGAGTATTGGTTTTGCTTGCGAAACAAGGCTGTTGCCTCGAGGATCACCGGGGAGAAGGTTTCTCAACCGTTGAGAAACTCTTCACCGACCAATAATATTAGACGTTAACAATGGCGGACTCGCCGGTGAATTCACCTCCTGCTCCTGAAACCTCAAATGGCACATCGCCTTCAAAAGGGACAACACCGTCAGATGGGTCATCCCCGCCGACACCACCTTCTTCACCTCCACCCTCATCGATTTCTGCTCCTCCGCCAAATAACAACGATGGCTCAGCTTCTTCTTCACCTCCCCCTGCACCGCCAACTCAGGAAATCTCACCTCCTCCATCAGCGACATCGCCCCCCGTTGTAGCTAATCCGCCACCGAAAACCCCAGAGACTCCTCCTTCTCCACCTTCACCTGAAGGCTCAACTCCGGTAACGCCACCGGCGCCACCACAAACACCGTCGAACCAGTCACCCCCTATAGAAAGACCATCTCCTCCTTCTCCTGGTGCCAATGATGACCGTAACAGAACCAATGGTGGTGGTAACAGAGATGGTTCCACACCGTCACCACCATCTTCAGGGAACAGAACTTCCGGTGACGGTGGCTCACTTTCACCGCCTCGGTCAATAAGCCCTCCTCGGAATAGTGGAGATTCAGACTCATCACTGTTATCAGGAGATCATCATCCACAAGCCAACATTGGATTGATTATTGGAGTTCTTGTAGGAGCAGGGCTTTTGCTTCTACTTCTAGTGTGTATTTGCATCTGTTGCAACAAGAAGAAGAAGAAAAAATCCCCTCAGGTCAACCACATGCACTACTACAATAACAATCCTTATGGAGCACCCACAGGTAGACTAGAGTTTAGTATAACCGGAATTAATTAGTAGACTTATTTAACACAATCAATAGATAGAGTTCATAGTCTAGTGGTTTGTATTACGATTAGACGTTAGATGCTAAAGGAGATGTTGCATAGTGTAGGTAATGGTGGTTATTACAAGGGAACACCTCAAGATCATGTGGTGAATATGGCTGCTCAAGGAGGTGGGAATTGGAGACCACAGCAACCTGTATCTGGTCATCACAGTGACAGTTCAAACTTAACCGGGAGAAGTGCTACTCCGTCGCCTCAAGCTGCGACTCTTGGTCACAACCAAAGCACTTTCACATACGATGAACTGTCCATTGCAACAGAAGGTTTCACACAGTCCAATTTGCTGGGACAAGGAGGATTTGGGTATGTTCATAAAGGGGTTTTGCCTAGCGGAAAAGAAGTTGCAGTTAAGAGTCTTAAAGTTGGTAGTGGGCAAGGCGAACGCGAGTTTCAAGCAGAGGTTGATATCATCAGTCGTGTACATCATCGTCATCTCGTTTCTCTTGTTGGATATTGCATCTCTGGTGGTCAAAGGCTTTTGGTTTATGAGTTTATACCTAATAACACTCTTGAATTCCATCTTCACGGTACAAACATAATATTTGCTTGAATTAACACATATAAGTATGGTTTCTCTTTAACCAACAACTTGACTGGAATTTTAGGCAAGGGTCGTCCGGTTTTGGAGTGGTCTACACGAGTGAAGATTGCACTGGGATCAGCTAGAGGCCTTGCATATTTGCACGAAGACTGTAAGAACATATTTATCTCACACTGATGTTGTTACTATTTTGCTCTCTTTAAGAAACTTTAAGATTCTATATTTTACATCAATGGTAGGTCATCCTCGTATTATCCATAGAGATATCAAAGCTGCAAACATTCTTCTTGATTTCAGTTTTGAAACCAAGGTATATATACTTCTCTTTTAGGACTACTTCTACTTTCATTACCTTGTTATTGTTCGGAAGCTGTTTCAAAGTGTATTAATGTCTATTGTATATACTCAGGTGGCAGATTTTGGATTAGCTAAGCTATCTCAAGACAACTATACTCATGTCTCCACGCGTGTCATGGGAACTTTCGGGTAAATAGCTTTTGTGAACTGTCCTAATTTAATTGCTTATATAGAGCACTTTATTTATCTTTAACATGTTCTTTGATTCAGATACTTAGCTCCAGAGTATGCATCAAGTGGAAAGTTATCCGACAAGTCTGATGTTTTCTCATTTGGAGTAATGCTTCTTGAGCTCATTACAGGACGACCTCCAGTGGATCTAACTGGAGAAATGGAAGACAGTTTGGTAGATTGGGTGAGTTGGTCCACCTCTTTGGTTTACTTGTTTATCTCAAAACACTTGCAAAAACTAAAAAAAAATCTTAATATTGCTGTTGCAGGCAAGACCGTTGTGTTTGAAAGCAGCTCAAGATGGAGACTACAACCAGTTGGCAGATCCCCGTCTGGAGCTAAACTATGATCAACAAGAGATGGCTCGAATGGCTTCTTGTGCAGCTGCAGCAATCAGACACTCAGCAAGAAGACGACCTAAGATGAGCCAGGTTCAAAAACTTCTTTAATTCTTTTGTTATAAATCACAATCTTGATGATAAATGTGACATACTCACGAATCTTGAAACATGTGTGTATATATAAATGAAAGATTGTACGAGCACTAGAAGGAGATATGTCAATGGAGGATCTAAGTGAAGGAACAAGGCCAGGACAGAGCACGTATTTGAGCCCCGGAAGCGCGAGCTCGGAGTATGACGCTAGCTCGTACAGTGCAGACATGAAAAAGTTCAAGAAACTGGCGTTAGAGAATAAAGAGTATCAAAGCAGTGAATATGGTGGAACAAGTGAGTATGGCTTGAATCCTTCTGCTTCAAGTAGTGAAGAAATGCATAGAGGTTCAATGAAACGCAATACTCAGCTGTGAAGAGAACACACACATACACTTCTCATAATATTCACTTTCTTCCGTCTTCCTTAATTTGTCTCATTTTTTTACAATGTTTTTTTTTGTTCATTCTGCTTCAAAGATTTGCATTATGATGTTATTAGGAGTTATTTTTGACCAGAGAGATTAGTGTGGTTTTGTTGAATTGTATAGTACAAAGCCTTATTCCATACCTAAGTTATGGTTTTTATTGTAATAAAATCCAAAAAAATTGTAAAAATCATATCGAAGTACCAATTTTTTCTTTTTGAGTAAAATACGTATAAACCGATCATATTTTTTTATTGGGGTAAAAATTAAAATCGATTAATTAAAAATTTGACCCATTGGGCCGGCTCGAAAAGTTTGTCTTCTCAGTCGATCCTACAGTTTCTGAGTTGTTCTTCTGGGACGGACTCAAAAACATATAGAGTAGATCTTTCCTTCTTCTCCCGCATTTTGACTGAGCTAGCAAAAGCGAGATCTGATTGACGGAGTAAATTTCAAAGGGAGATTTTCGGAGATCAGCAATGGCGCAACCCCTCGTGAAGAAAGACGATGATCACGACGATGAGTGTATGTCATCCTTTCGCTTAATTTCCTTGTAACTTAAAAGATTCAATGTTGGAATCATCTGGTTTCTGCAAGCTGTAGATCCAGATATTAAGCTTCTAGATCTGTTCGATTTCAGATTTGTGATTTTGGTTGTGTAGATCTACAATCGCAAATGCCCACACTGTTGGTTTTCTGATGATTACAGATATTGTTTAGTTTCGATCAAGCTAGTTTCGTTACCACATTCGATTCCGGTTTTGAATTTTTTTCCTTTTTTCAATTTCTGATTTTTGTTGTTGGATCAGTGGAGTATTCTCCATTCATGGGAATTGAGAAGGGAGCGGTGCTTCAAGAAGCTAGAGTCTTTAATGACGCTCAGGTTGATCCTAGAAGATGCTCCCAGGTCATCACCAAACTTCTTTATTTGCTTAACCAAGGGGAGTCATTCACCAAGGTTAGTCATGCTTATGAAGCATTCTACGGTGCTCGTTTGTTTCTTATTGTACCACAAATGGTGTGAATACGGTGAAAGCATCAATTTTCTTTCTGTTTCATATGCAGGTCGAAGCAACTGAAGTATTCTTTTCAGTTACAAAGCTTTTCCAATCAAAAGACACAGGTTTGAGGAGAATGGTCTACTTGATCATAAAGGAGTTATCTCCATCATCAGATGAGGTCTGCATATCTTACTAAATTTTAACACGACGGTGCTTATTGTAGGTGTAACTTTAAGATAAGTTGTTTGGTCTTTCGCCCATAGGTTATCATTGTAACAAGCTCTCTGATGAAGGACATGAACAGTAAAATTGATATGTATCGAGCGAATGCTATCCGTGTCCTCTGCCGGATAATAGACGGAACACTTCTAACTCAAATTGAGCGATACCTGAAACAAGCCATTGTGGATAAGAATCCCGTTGTTTCAAGTGCAGCTTTAGTCAGTGGGCTTCACTTGCTAAAGGTACCTTTTACACACCAAAACTAAACTGTTGACTTGTAGTGTTATTAGGCTTATATTCTTATACTGTCTTTTACAGACAAACCCAGAAATTGTTAAAAGATGGAGCAATGAGGTTCAAGAAGGTATTCAGTCCAGATCAGCCCTTGTCCAGTTTCATGCCCTAGCTCTGCTCCATCAGGTAAGCTTGTTCCATTGGTATTACTGAAGTGAATTGGTTTATGTTTCTGCTTTTTGCTTTGTTAAATAGCTTCTGAGAAGAAATATCATGAAAAAGAGTGGTGTTACACAATAGAGGAATCATAACTCTTAATCATGATCATTTCCAGCTGCTTTATTTTCTTGTGAGGTTTAATCTGGTTTGGATTCTGTCTCTGATACTGCTGATTCTAGCAAATGTAACTTTTTAGACTGGAAGGACAACCTTATGTGTCTAAACTTTAAGTTTTACTAGTTAGCAAGTGATATGTGTCGGCTGTTGTTACAAAACTAATGCCAACATGATATGCTCTTCTTCTTTATTTATAAACGTAGTGACAATTAATGTAATAGTTGTTGACAATCAATTATCATATTCAGATACGCCAAAATGATCGCTTGGCTGTTAGCAAGTTGGTTGGTAGCTTAACCAGGGGATCTGTCCGCTCTCCCCTGGCTCAGTGTCTTTTAATACGTTACACCAGCCAGGTTTCTCTTCTCTTCTGTTTGATCATTTGATATGTTGGTGAAAATATTTGTGTCATTTAGCTCTAGTTTCTATTATTCAGGTTATCCGTGACATGGCCAACCACGGTCAGTCTGGAGAACGTCCGTTCTATGAGTTTCTGGAGAGTTGCCTGCGCCATAAAGCAGAAATGGTGATCCTTGAGGCTGCAAGGGCAATTACTGAGCTTGATGGTGTGACAAGCCGAGAATTGACTCCAGCTATTACTGTTCTCCAGCTCTTTTTAAGTTCCCCCAGACCAGTGTTGAGATTTGCTGCTGTTCGAACTCTGAACAAGGTTTACAATACTTTCTTAGATCAAAATCTTCATAAAGAAGAATTCCTTTCAACTCTTCTCTTTGTACATTGAGAAACACCGAAATGATATTATGTTTTTCTGGGTAGCTCCATCATTTAAGTGTACACTAAACGCAAATTTGAACCACAGGTTGCAATGACTCATCCTATGGCCGTCACCAACTGCAACATTGATATGGAGAGTTTAATTTCTGATCAGAATAGAAGCATTGCTACACTCGCAATAACCACACTCTTGAAAACAGGGAACGAATCAAGTGTAGAACGCTTGATGAAGCAGATAACTAATTTTATGTCAGATATTGCTGATGAGTTCAAAATTGTGGTCGTGGAAGCAATAAGATCGTTGTGTGTGAAATTTCCACTGAAATACAGATCCTTGTAAGTGAAGTTTTTGGGGTTTTTTTTTGGAGTTTTTGTCTCCAGCATTATTATTCTTTTGAATGATTTAAATATGTTACGGTGCCTTTATAGAAAATGGCTTATGATTAACCTGTCACCTTTTTATTTATAGGATGACCTTCTTAAGCAACATTCTTAGGGAAGAAGGTGGATTTGAGTATAAAAGAGCAATAGTAGATTCTATTGTGACCATTATCAGAGATATTCCTGATGCAAAGGAAAGTGGATTGCTTCATCTTTGTGAATTCATTGAAGATTGTGAATTCACATATCTTTCAACACAGGTAAACTATTTTATCTATCATCCATCTGTGGTTGCTACTAAAAACTATGTATGTTGTATTTAAATGTGTTTTGTCGAACAGATCCTTCATTTTCTGGGTATTGAGGGGCCTAACACCTCTGATCCAAGCAAGTACATACGATATATTTACAACCGTGTGCATCTCGAAAATGCCACTGTCCGGGCTGCTGCTGTTTCCACACTTGCAAAGTTTGGGTTTATGGTTGAATCCTTGAAGGTATGTGTAGTTATCTTGCTAACCATTTTTTCCTCGTTTTATCTTCTTTGACTGATGATAATGAGCATAATCAATGGATGCTTGGCAGCCCCGGATTACCGTTCTGTTGAAGCGTTGCATCTATGACAGTGATGATGAGGTGTGTTTCTATACATTGCTCTTTCTGTATGTCTTTTTGTGTCCCCTTGAGTCAGTTGCATAATTGAAAATGCATGCATGTGTTCCCTTTGTTAATATTTGCCGAGGAGAGATGTATGCAAGTTGTTTGATGATTCCCTCCTTGATCATGAGTTGCTACCTCTTTTTATCTTAAGGTCCGTGATAGAGCAACACTATTTTTGAGTGTTCTTGGTGGTGATGGTACTGTTGACAATGATAGAGAGACCAAGGACTTTTTGTTTGGTTCCCTGGAGGTTCCTCTAGTCAACTTGGAAACTAGTCTGAAGAATTATGTGAGTTATCCTTTTTTCAGTTTTCTAGTTTTAATATCCTTCTTAGGACATCAGTTATCTTATATCTTGATCCTGCAGGAGCCCTCTGAAGAAGCTTTTGATGTCAACTCCGTGTCTAAGGAAGTTAAATCCCAGCCCCTTGCAGAGAAGAAAGCCCAGGGTAAAAAGCCCACTGGTCTTGGTGCACCACCAGCTGCACCTGCTTCTGGTTTTGATGGCTACGAAAGACTTCTCTCATCTATTCCAGAGTTTGCCGCCTTTGGAAAACTCTTCAAGGTTAGGGCTGATTTTCTTCTGTTTCAATCTAATTTAATTGGCTTACCTTGTTTTGCTTTAATTTGTACTTCCTTTTTCCAGTCTTCTGCACCTGTGGAGCTAACTGAAGCAGAAACAGAATATGCCGTCAATGTTGTAAAGCATATCTTTGACAGTCATGTGGTGTTTCAGTACAACTGCACAAACACAATACCAGAGCAGTTGTTGGAGAGGGTACTGAACATTGGTTTAAAGCATATCTTACCGTTACTTTCCCCATTTCATTAACTTTGGTATGGGTTTGTAGGTCAATGTCATTGTAGATGCTTCAGAAGCAGAGGACTTCAATGAAGTAACTTCAAAGGCCCTAAACTCACTTCCATACGATACGCCTGCTCAAGCCTTTGTGGTTTTTGAGAAGCCAGCAGGGGTCCCTGCTGTTGGAAAATTCTCCAACACATTGACTTTCGTTGTTAAGGAGGTACATGTTGTAAAGGCGTTTCACTTCCATCTTTCTATTTTGCTAACTGTTGTTCAATTAAACTCATAATACTTTGTGGAGAACTCTGGTAACCACCGAATCATTTGGAGAGGAAATTCTAGAATGACTCTTAGCTAATCACGTAGAACAAAGATAACAATATGACTAGTTCGTTTGTGCTTTTATAAATGTATTGAAACAGGTTGACCCAAGCACAGGTGAAGCAGAAGATGATGGAGTAGAAGATGAGTACCAGCTGGAGGACCTTGAGGTTGTAGCTGGAGATTACATGGTGAAAGTGGGTGTCTCCAATTTCAGGAATGCATGGGAAGGCATGGATGAGGAAGATGAGCGTGTAGACGAATATGGCCTTGGCCAAAGAGACAGCTTGGGAGAAGCTGTAAATGCTGTAATCGATCTTCTTGGCATGCAGACTTGTGAGGTTAGTCTCTTCCACTTTTTTTCTCATAACCTGATGGAGAAACTACTAAACTTGACCCACTGAGACTTGAGGGATTAGACCATTTGTTGGTTCCCGAAATTGAAACTGACATTAGAGTTGCAAATGACAGGGGACGGAGACAATTCCGAGCAATGCAAGGTCACACACGTGCTTATTGTCAGGTGTTTACATAGGGAACGTGAAAGTGTTAGTGAGGGCACAGTTTGGAATGGACAGCTCAAAGGACATTGCAATGAAACTGACAGTTAGAGCTGAGGACGTTTCTGTCGCAGAGGCCATTCACGAGATTGTCGCCAGCGGCTAATAACTCTCGCCTATCTACTACAAGTTATCAGAGTGTTATTGTTCCTGCAGCTAAAATCCCCCAATAACTACTCATAATACATCAACTATTATATATAGTATAGTATTTCCCCTCTCTGTTTTACATCCACTTCTGTGGAAATTACCTTTTATAATTTGACGGTGCTTTTTGATTTATCATTTCTAAATTTTCTCTGTTACAGTTTATATTGATCAGATTTGGGAACCACTGAACCAGTACCGAGTCTAGGCAAATAAACTAGATTTTCTCCATTAGTTAAAAAAAAACAAATATAGTTTCTTCCAATTAACCAACTTGTAGAGTTCAATTTCAAAAGAGATGGTAGTTTACTAGTTTAATTGATTACAGAATACACATTGAAGAGCGAAATAAGTAAACGCGGTATCGGAGTTTGAAGTAAAGGAGAATGAAGAATAAATAAATCAAAGCACACACTACTACAACAAGGGAAGTTTGATTCTTCTAAAGCACTCCACTATTTCAAACCAAAACACCTTCCGTTCTTCCACAAACCGACCTTACCGGATTTTACTTCCGACTACAGAATATATTTTACTTCCAACCACCACAACTGGAGAGTGGAGACATGACTCCTACGTTTGTTAATCTTCTTTATATCACTCTTCTGTGCCCTCCAAATGCCCATATCTGTGTAATTCAATGAAAAATACACAAATTCTCAAACTTCCTCTCATCAGGGGTGATATTTCTTTTGTTGCTTATCTTATTTTCCATCTCATTCAAATCACAGGGACACTAACCTTTAGGTTTGAATCCCAACTTCCTGTACACAAGGCACTTCCATCTGCTGACAACCCCAAACAGCTTATCCGATTCCTGTGTGAATCCTGCTGTAATCCCAAATCCAATACAACCTGCCAGAAATGCTCCCCCCACGTTACAATCATAAACCTTACAATCAGTGAAAACAACTCTCACCACTATTCCTCAACATTCATAGCTTACCTCTCCCAAGAGAGTATCCCAAACGTAACAAGTGTTGTTGCTCGCGTAGCCAGCGAAAAGAAGTCTCCCAGAGGCTGAAAATGCAATGGAGGTGACTGGTACGTTCTCCCCATCACCATGTGGCTGATAAACCTGGAGTTGGTGACCAGTCCTGATGTCATACAGCCTGCATGTTCCATCGTCTGATCCAGTCCCAAATCTATTACCATCCGGAAAGAACTTGACAGTATTAACATCTCCCTCGTGCCCATGGAAGGTACGCACTGCTCGGCTTGCAGCACGACTATCCCACAAGCGTGCTGTGGAATCGCATGAACCAGATATGAACGAGTTTGGGTTTGATCCACTGATTGAGACACTGGCCGAAATAGGAAACAAATTCACCGTGTAAGAGGGGATAAGAGTTTAAACTGACCCATAATATATCAAACCTATAGGTTAAATCCAACGCTCAGTTCCAATAAAATAGTTACAGATGATCAAATAGGTAACAAATATATGCTACTTCATTGAACAAACTGATACAATAATCCAGGGAAATGAAAGCAACATCCATACCTTAGTACGTCAGCAGTATGTCCAGACTGAAATTCACCACCAAAAACAGAAGTTTTGAGACCAGTAGTCACATCCCATAAGATACATGTTTGATCACCTGAACTGGTGATTAGGTGGGTATCCTCATTTGGGACATACTGACAGCACGAAACATACCCCTTGTGACCAGTAAGCATTTTTGAAACTGGCACGGTCCCGTCCTTGTCCGCAGTTGAGGTAAGACTGAAGATAGAACATACACTGTCTAATCCACCACACGCAACCAACTGACCATTTGGAGAGAAAGCACATGTCATAACCCACGCACAGGGGAGTTTAATAGCATGAGTTTTCTGACTCGTTAGAGCATTCCACACGATTAATCTCCCATCTTGTGATGCACTGACAATCCGATTCCTCTCCGGTGTCCAATCCAATGAATAAACCTGTAAATTCCATATGTTAAGAATCTACAAGCTACCTCATCTGAATATGTTATTAAGTGTCAGCTAACATTCAGAATCAACTCTCATGTATCTACATTTCCGCAAACCAAACCCCTCTGCACTCCCCAAACATGATAACAAGTAACATCTTATATATAGCAGAAACTAAATAACAAACTAGTTCCAACCCAAAATTCTCCAAAATGGAAGCTTTAAGCTGCCCTTAGATCACACGCTACAAAACTCCATAAAGACGCATACTTGGAAGGATAAAGAACACGAGATACACAAAAGATCGAACTTTTGAGTCACCTTTCCGGTGTGTCCCTGAAGAGTACGACAGCAAACCAGATCCGTTGCTCCAAAGCTTACCGGAGTACGTCCTTGCGCCGCCGAATAACTCGCCACTGTTAAAATTTAATTTCAGTCAAAGAAGAAGACGAAGAAGAAGACGAAGACGAGAGAAGAAACACACAAAAAAAAAAAAAAAGTAAATCCCCAAACCATCGGTATCGAGGAGCTGGAGGCGTCTCTGTCTAAGCCTGTCACGAAGGTTATTAACGGTGTCCGTAGCGACGGCGTGGCGTTCTTTGAGCTCGGAGACAGACATTAACGCTTAGGCTTCTCCGTCGTCGATCAAAGAAAAAGGGGAAACCTTTTGAGGGGCTAGAAGAGAGGAAGGTTCATGATTAAGAGACAGAGATCGAAACCTAGAAAGAGTGGATTTGGTGAATTACGTGAGAAAGCTGAAGAGGAAGAAGAATCAGTCAAGACACAAACACGCTCTCGCTTGTTGAATGTTGTTTGCTTTGATGGCTCTCTGAGTCTGACCTCAAGACGAGTTTTTGAGAGAGAGAGATAGAGAGAGTCAATTTGACATTGACTGTTCCAATTTCACCAATGGACCACAAATAACAACTACTACACGGCGTCGTTTTACGAGCTTTTAGATTTTTTTTCCTTTTTTTTTTTTGTTGCTTCTTAATTCTCCATGTATGTAGTGTAGTTGTTAACTTCTTTGGTTTTGGAACTTTTGATTGATAAATAAGTAAATCGTCAACTCGATGGAAAGAATCTTGAAGTTCTTAACTGTATAAAAAACATACTATCTTACAAATAATTTCATGATTTATAATATTTGGTTCATTGAAAGAATAAGATATAGAATGGTATCATGAAAATATCCAAACACGATTGTAAATTTGATTGAGCAAACTAGTATCTAGCACAAACAAAAAGAAAAGATGATTCATAAAAAGAAGAAAGAGACACAAATCATAAGATAAAAGTAGAGACGAAGTCATCATCGTCTACATTGATCAAGAAACCGAAAACAAAAGAAAGCACACACCAAAGCAAGAAAGAGAGAAGAGAAAGCTACAAAGTTTATTGATTCATATCCGATCCGATGAGCTCATTCAAAAGCCCACTGATTCTCCCTACGAATCTCTTCTTCTTCCTCAGGCGTAAAATCATTCTCAATGTTGAAGTGTGCACGGATCTCGTCTAAAGTTTTGCCCGTGATCATATCCGCAACGGTTTGGCACGTTAGATCAAGCAAGCTTTTGATGTTTAGGTAGTTGGCACCGAGGATGAGCTCGAAGAGGGTGGGTTGATCTATCTCCAAGAACTTCTCGTCCCACTTCTTGAGTTCCTCTGCGGAGATAGGGTTAGCCTCATCGACGTTGTGCTTCTTGCAGTACTCGATCACTAGGGAAAGAATCTTGCCCGTCACGTTAGGAAGAGGGATCTCGCTATTGGCGCAGTCGTCTTCAACCATATGCGCTATGGTCTGCGATTGGATCGCCACCTTCTCTTCGACCTTGAACGTCTCACCATCGTTGCTCTTCAACTCGATGATCTTCGTCGACATGGTGGGTGGGGGAGAGATCTTTCTCTGTGACGCAAATTTTTGATGAGAAAAATGATTTTAAGAACTGCTTGAGAGAGCGTTGTGATTTGTGAACCCTAAGCGTCTTTGTATATTTATAAGCCCTAAGAGTCGGTTGGGGTCAACCATTCCCTTTTTGAGTAGGAAATAGTTTTCTTTACAGAAAAAGAAGGTAATCTTTATTTCGTACGTGTCCTTTTCAGAATAGGTAATTTGTGTGGAGTAAACCGGATATAAACCGGGTCAAATTTACAATATGGTAGGTTCGACAACTTTCAGATTAGGTTGTGATATGATCAAACAATTCTTTTTCTTATTAAGAAAACTTGGTCAACAATTCCTTTTCAGTAAAGGTAAATTCAGAGGCATGAACCACGCTAAACCGGGTTAAAATTACAGTGTTCGGCTCAATTATTTTCTTATGAACCAAGATCATAAAAGTACTAGCTCTAATTAAAGTATTCAGATTCATACGAAACCAAAAACAAGTCTTAAGTGGGAAATAGCCGTTATAGACTATAGAACACAATTTTATTATATATAGAATGAGTGTGTTAACTATTATATAAAACTAATAACACCTTGATTACAACGATAATACAAATGAAGGGAGAGGGAAAATAAGAAGTAGAAAAGAAGCAGAAGGGAGAGCTAATTGAGCCATTACATATTTACATGGAAGACTAGGAACATAAAGATGAGTAGACAAGATAGAGAAGAAGACAATTTTGTTTCCATTGCTCCATTCGTCTTCTCTACTTTGTCTGAGCTCACATACTTGTTCATTACTGCTTTACTTCCTGCTGCTCCTCCTCCTCCACCTCCGGGATAGACGCAACTGTTGTAACCTATAATCAAATTCAGGTTAAAAGTTTTGCTATTGGTCAATATGGTTGATATTAGAAACTAAAGAATACTCATCCTTATAACAAAACACAGTAGATGAAAATGGATCTTTGCCTTCAACAAACAGAAGCAATCAAGCAATTATCAATCACTAGGTCTTTGTTACAATTTTTAACATACACCAAGTCTAATAATGTATTGGTATATAAGGCTGGTGAGAGTTTAAGGGGAGAGAAAACTTACTAGGGTTTTGGGAAGTGACTGTTGCGGTTTTAGAGAAATCACAGTCTGTAGTCTGTTTAGGAGATTTCTGATAATACATATTCATGGCATAGGCTGCGTGGGAGGCCACATTGTTTGGCTCGAAACAAGCTCCTCCTGGCTGTATTGCACCACAGTCTATTCCTTGTCCACACGCCCAATCCAAGCTCGCCTGCAACTGCTCATTCGTCGCACCCTTCTTTGGTACACACCACCCTGTTGACGTCACTTTCCCGGATGGTGTCTAATTTTGTGATCAAAACATCATCTCATAAATTAAATCTTCTATTATATATCCGCATCTGCGTTACATGTCATAGTAACATATTTTTTTCCATATATTTAAAAACCACTACTTCTAGTATCTAACCTGACCACTACTGTTGCTGCCACTACTGCTACTCTTAGCAAGGCCTACATCGTAAGCCATGGAAAGATCAGTTTTAAAAAGTCCAAATGCACGTTCCGAAGATGGTCCAGGCTTTAGGTTCTCTTCGTAAAGTGCGAAAATGTAAGTGTCCACGGGCTTTCCAGGCATGAGAGGTGTGCCAATCATGGACTTTAGATGAGCTATTAGGTTTCCGTTGTAAGCTTTAGCGTTATCCACGCTCGTTCCAACCTCATTAGCATCCCCTCTTGACGCCCACCCTGTTTCCGCCACGACAATCTCCACCTTTTCGAATCCCATTGATTTCAAAGCCGAGTGAACCGCATCAACCTGTGAAACGATGGAAACAACTCAGAGAATATGACGTGTGTTGCAAGCACTGACAATGAACAAAGACTTCTTCTATTAAGAAAGAATAAGAGTCACCATTTTTTTGTCTTTCTTTCTTCTATTTTCCCGTTTATTTTATTGAATTTTTTTTTCAGTCGACATTGCTAACGTGGAATTAATGATGACGAGTACAAAACAACAAAACAAATGTTTCAAGAAGCATCTAAAATAAGTAAAACAACTAGTGCGAGTCCAGTCTGTCAGACAATCAGTAAACGAGTGACATGTCATCTCACGCATACTTATTCCCTGAGAAGATCATTCCTAGCATCGTATCAATATTGATAAATAAGTATAACAAGTACCAAATTATTAAGCAACTATTTTTATTTTATAGGTTTTGTGTATACGAAAGAAAGTGTAATTCAGACACCTACGTGAACAACTGTCTCTTGTGCTATATATAATAAGAGTATAAATTCCTTCTAAATCATAAAGTTGAGACAGAACAAGTTCCTTGCTACAATCTAGTGCAAAGAAAATTAGATATATACATATATTTCCATATATATAAAAAACCGAAAGTTCAAACTATAGATTCGCCCACGTGAATACAGCCAGTTTTTTTTTTTTTTTATTCTCATATTTTTGTGTCACAATGATAAATTACTAGAAACTAACCGACCCATATAAAAAGTTATAAACTATGCTTTTTGACGTTTAACTAAATCATTTAGATATAAACAGTCCACCAAATTCACAACCAGAGACTACGAACCTTTACTTTAGTAACAATTTAGTTAGCTACCAAAGACAGATGAATTGATTAGCTATGGACCCGACTTAAACCCGAAAAAAACTTGGGTGGAGCCAACTGGTAATAAATGTACCTGAGCATCGAACATGTTCGTATACTTTATTCCGGTTTTGGAGTCGACCCGTCCGGCGTTAGGCTGAAAGAGACAAAACGACAGCGTTTCTGGTCTCGGGTCACTTTGGTACGCGAAGAACGGGTACGGGTTAATTGCGAAAGGTGAACCAGTGTCGCTTAGGAATTGGAGGATCCCTTTTAAACCGGTTTGATAACCGGCCGCAAATGAACCGGACGATGGCGGGTCTGAACTGCCGAGCACCGTCATGGCATGAACCGTCGAGACCTTGATTTTACCGCCGAGAGAAACCGCTTCGAGGGCCTTTTGTACATTTTGCATCGCCGGGAGTAGCTGGTTCACCAGATTCGGATCGTTCGACATCAGAACCTGCGATGATCGGAACAGACTTTAAGAAAAATCTCTAAAGGTTGAAACTTTACAGTTGAATTGCGACGGACCTCGTTGCCGACGGTGATGAGGATGATTTTGGAGGCGGGATAGAAAGGTAGGACATTGGAGTTGATCCATTGAGTGGCGGCGTTTGGATCGGAGGCGAGTGAAGGAACGTCACCGTTAGCAGCGCCGATGAGGATGCCTACACCTGTTCCGGCCAAAGCTTTGATGATGGCGGGATCAGCGCCATAGAGTCTAACTTTCTGAATTGAGGTGGACTGGAGGAGCTTGGCTGTTTCAGAAGGCGGAGGGAGATTGTCGGCGACTTGACCGTAGTTAACTCCGATGAAAGGCTCTGCATCTGTTGGTAACAACAAAAAAACAGAGGAAGTAAAAAGGTTAGATTAAGAAAAAGAAACAGAGGAGACAAAAAAAAACGACGTCGTGTTTGGGCAGATACTTACGTGAGGAGGGGAAGTGAGAGATGAAGATGAAGATGAGGGTGAGAGAGATAAAGATGGAGAGAGCCATCATGATGATGAGTGAGAAGAAAGAGAGAGAGAGAGATGAGAGACTTGTGATGTTGCTTAAAGAAGAGGTTTTTACTGTAACGGTTATATATATACTCCACATTGGAAAGGGAAGAGAATTTTCCAAGACACGTTTGTGCTCATTTTTCCACACGACACGTGCTGACTTCTGTTGTTAGTTTGAGACTCTGAGGTAGTAATAATCATAAGTCTCCTTCCTTTAGGCCTTCGTCAGTCTTATTATATACTCCGGAGAGGAAACTTTTTTACAGAGAAATTTGTAAGTACAATGTCTTTTGAGTTTGCTTGAGTATTTTTCTAGGATGATGATATGTGTCATCATATACTCGTATGGTTTGAGACTTGAATGTTGAGTGTGTCTGTATATACACTACTACTATCTTATTGTCCGAAAACAATATCGTAAAATACGATTTGAAACTTCTGACATTGTTATTGGTTCTAAACTGATTAGATTATAGTTAGGATGTAGGAGTTAAAGTAGCCAAAAAAAGGTTGGACCATTTACTGATATCTTTTAGTTGAAGAGAAAGGATACTAAATGTATGAGCATACGCAATGAGGTATTTCCCTTCTCCATTTCCTTTTCTATTTCCCAACAGAGTAACTCACTCCTCACGTTTCACCGGTCCACCACCACCAATTTAACTTTGGTGAATTCTACAATGTTTAAAATCAATTATTATGTTGACTGACTTAAACTTCTATTCTGTATTTAAATGTCATACATGCTTTTCTCAAGACTTCTTTGCTATGTTCACATCAAAAACATAACGAAACAAAACCCAAAAAGGTTGAATAATCATATAAAGTAATTGCAAATTCCGAAAAATAGGATTTGCAACTTTTTTACTATTCATGGTTTGATTCTTGCGGAATGTCACCCGGAAATGACTCAGAACAAGCGCAGAAACAGAGAAACCCCAAATCCAAAACTCCAAAGACGAACAAAACACAGGATGATCAGATCACATAAATCAAAACGCCAACGAACCTCCAAACCCCAAAATTAGGGGATGTAGACACAGACAAAGCCAACAAACAAACAAACAAATTCTCTCCTCTATAATAATCTGAAGAAACCAAATATACTGAGTATGTAAAAAAGGTCAAGCAAAACCCAGAGTGAAAATAGATTCTCCTTGGCTTAGGCACCTGAGTGCGACACCGGTGTTGTCTCAAACTTCCCTTCCGTGAACACATGGTTGTACTGTTGAGGCAGCGCATGTTCCACCTACGATGTTGTAACAAGACAATATGAGAATAATTGCTTCAATAAACAGTTTCATACACATGAGTATCTAGGTTACATGATGGCTTCTGAATATTGGGATCAACCAACAGTCACCAGATTCCAGAAGTATTTCATTACTTGATGTATAAATTTGAAGAATACCAGAAAACCAAAATCTTTTCATGGTTACAAAGAGAGGAAAGCCATACCCAATCTCCATCAGGGGTAGCACCAGGCACCATTACATTGATCTCACTCGATTTAGCTGTTGTTATAGCTGTCTCTAATGAGTCTTTGTTTAGATATAACTGACAGCCAGTTGTGTTGTCCACAGAAACTGTGGGAGCTGAACCCTAGATTAGCCATAGATGAGCAAAGACAGAGAAGAGCAATCAGTTTCTTGACAAAAAAAAATTTGTTGCAAATGGTTAGCTACATCATAAGCTTGAGAAGCCAAATAGAGATAGTCCTTAAGAAGATACATCTGAAGTCATTAAGAAAACTTATAGATTATAGAAAACAAACCTGACATTGCACTTCTACGTTGGTGCAATTCACAATCTCAAATGCAGCAACAACATCCTATACATACATGTTACAGTTTACATTATTAGAAATCACATAACTGTATACTACTATACTGTATAAATGTAAGAGGAATGAGTATGATTCCACTCACCGTGAAAACAACACCCATTTTGGTGCATTTATCAATGGTGATGTTATTCACTTTTCCTACAGATTATGCAACAACAGTAAGGGCCTTAAAGATTTTTGAGATAGATATCTAAACTTTCGGTGAGGTTGGAATGCTGCAAAGTTACCTTGTATCTGCAAGACGGAATCTTTGCAACCAAATATGTACACCGACTGTTTGGAATCACACTCGCTGATAACCAAGTCCTTCTTCCCAATTTGGTTCTCAACAGCCCACCTAATTATACAGTATAAGCCAGCAATCAGTACTACAGCATTTCTATATCATAGTTTTATACCAAAATAGTTATTGTTAGTAAAACCCACTTGCGACCCATTTGAAGTTCCATTTTCGGTGGTCCAGTTTTTGAAAAGGCTGGTTTAGTGGCACGAGTTTCCTTCTCAATGGCACTAACAGCTCCAGATCTATCAGCACGGTTCTTTGTCTTCATATCATCCGTCACTTTTCTAAGACCTGGAAAGCAAAGCCCAAGAATTATAAGCTACTTGTGATTCACATTCCAAAATAGACACTACGCCAGAATATGAAGACATACAACATCAGACCTACCTGAGGTCACAGCACCCGAGCTGAGCTGCTGGAAAACAGCAGACATCCCTTGTTTCTGGTTCGACGAGGATGATGGCTTTGAAGATTCAGAAGTGAAGAGAGGAGCTGGTGGAGGAGCAGGAGCACCGGGTGGAGCCTTGGCAGGAGCACTAGCAGGTTTCCCTGATGCATTCCACACAGGTCCCAAGGGGTAGTGACTTTTAACATAATCCCTTAAACCAGGTAAGTAAAGTTCTTTTAAGGCTTTAGCCCATTCCACATGATCAGCGTCTTTGTTACGGTACTCCACCAGAACCTGACGAAGAAGATGGAGATCACAGAATTAACAATGTGCAAAGACCATCAAATAGCAATATAAGATTCTGCAACCTATTCAAGTAACTCTAAAGTCCTCGTTCCCTATTTTTTTGCCATAAGCCCCTAACATCATAACATATAAAAGCATAGAGCGACTGAAGATTAGCACCTTATTGTTGTAAAACTCGGCCATTTGCCAACTTTCTTCCACATGAGCAATAGGCATGCTCATACCTTGCAGGGAAAATAATCAAAGAAAGAATTATTGACATCATAAAATGCATAAATTCAAAAAATTTCCCAACATGATGGACGGCTCCCTCTGCTTACCACAATCTTTGCCAGTGAAAGCAATCCAAGCCAATGCAGATAAACTATCGGATGCAGCCTTCAAGTGATTGAAAAAATCCGACCTTTTTCCTTCAGTCATTGCATTAGCTTTCATTGTAACATCATTCAACGGCTTGAGAAATCCAGCCAATCCAGCAAGGTCAGGCTTCTGTTCAAATCAGAAAGATACACACGACCCAAAAAAACAATCAAAATCCAATTCACAAAGACGCACCAAAACTAAACGATCGATTAAACAAAAATTCAAAAACTTACCTGAGTTTGCTTGATGCGAACAAGCAGCTCCTTTTGCGAAGCAAATGCTTCGGCGACAACCTTCGTCACATCTAGAACAGGTCCACCGATCTTCTCAGCAGCACTCAAAGCCCTACCAACGCATTGAGAAATCAGATCTTCGTAAGCCAGAATCGAAGGATCGGATGAAGCGACATCGGTGGAGAAATCTCCTCCGCGGGAAAGAGAAACAACTCCTCCTCCTCCTCCTCCGTTGCTTGAGATCCCTTCAAGCCTCGTAACCGCAGCTTCAAGGCGCTTAATCAAATCCTCTTCCATTTTCGCTCAACAAAGCTCGAATCAGATCTGGTTTGAATCGATTTAAGAACGGATTTTGTTTTCCCTTTTTGCGTGGGGGCTATGTGGGTTTCATGATGATGGTGAGAAGTCAGGAGAATTTGTGATGACACGTGGCCATTCTTGGATAATTTCACTAATCGCAGGTAGTGGAGTGGTCGTGGATTGTCGGATCCGAATTCCGGCACATGTTTTTCAGTTTGACCCGAACCGGATCTAATTTGTCCGAATCCGGTTTTATTTTCGGCCTGAACTAAAACCAAAATAATTTCGATCTGAGATCGGTTCAGTTTTAAAGCAGAACCAGATTTTACACAATTCACATGGCTAGGCACCAAAAGAGAAGACATGTAACATTCTTATGAGTTTCACTATTTTATTATACATACATACATATATATATGATATATACAAATTACAAGCCTTAATCCTGAATTGCTCCCTCATATATCTAATCTCACTTTTCCAATTTTTCTTTTAGCATATCAATCATCAATATAAGAATTAACAAACATGGAAACATCTATCAATTTGTGGCCGTGGAATGTGAAAAGCATCAACTCTCAACCGTGATAGACATTCTTGTTTGCCATAGAAGCTTTCTCTGTCAATCTTTCCTGGTTTGATCTGTGTTCCTGTGAGAAACATACAACTTATTTTAAATCAGTGAATAGTATAAAGGATTGATTAAATCTCTTTCTAGCTTTTTTGATACTTACAGGACGGAAAGGGAAATCTTCAGCTTCAAGCATGTGAATGATTTGTCCCATCTTTGGTCGTTTACTAGCATCAAGGTCTATGCAACGCAAACAAACTAGCAAAGTTCTTTTCAGAGCTCTTGGAGGTGGTGCAGTCTTGATTTTAGGGTCTATAATTTCTTCTCCACGTCTACTTGCAACCATTCCTTTAAACCAATCCACCAAGTTCATCTGAAAAAAGTTTCAGTAAACAAATATTTGCGTATGTTATATTGGGAGGAAAAGTTTATTCGTCGAAAGTTCTCAGTATATAGTATGAGATTACCTCGCCAGGCGGTCTTGAATAATCGACCGGACTTCTTCCTGTAATCATCTCCATGAGCAAAACACCAAAGCTGTAGACATCACTACACTCATTGAGCATACCGGTACTTGCATATTCTGGTGAAACATATCTGTAGAATTTTTCACAAAAGAATGTAAGAAAAATCAGTGTGAAGTCACAATCTGCGTCTGATAATTGAAAGAAGAGAAGGTATATACCCAAAAGTTCCCATAACACGAGTTGTCACATAGCTTGCTTCAGATCCTAATAACTTGGCCAAACCAAAGTCAGACACTTTCGCGTTCCATTTCCTATCGAGCAAGATGTTACTAGACTTCACATCACGGTGCACAACCTTAGGTTCAAGCCCTTCATGCAAATAGGCTAATCTGTTCACCAAAAGACATGGTTTAAGTGCCTAATTGCAGATAGAATGCAAATTGAAAGAAGAAAAGAAACTGCACCCTTTTGCTGTTCCAATAGCAATCTTCATGCGGATATCCCATGTCAGAGGACTAACAGGACCTACATCACCGTGCAGCCACTGCTCCAAGTTTCCATTATCAATATATTCATACACAAGCATCCTAATCAAGAACAAAGAAAGAAGTGAATTTTGTTAGACTAAATACAAACTGGAGTTTACTAATTCATTTGAGTTGGAATGTTTTGGCACCTTTGAGCAGTGTCAGCACAATATCCCATCAGACCAACCAAGTTCTTATGTCTTACTTTTCCAATAGCTTCTACCTCAACTTTGAACTCTTTCTCTGCCTGACCCCTGAAGAGAGTTATGTTTTACCATCAGTTTAGCAGATTCATTTATTATATCTAAAATCATTTAAAATGTTAATAAAAATAATACAGTGAGAGTGAGTAAACAAGAAGCTAAAAAGTTTCATCCATGCCTCCTCAGGACCAAAAAGTTTTTTTTTTTTTTTTTATAATGGTATCAAACTTGCAGTGGTTGTCCTGCAACCAACAACCTGAATCTGCTCAACCTAACAATCAATATAATAGATTTCTGCAATCTTGCTACCTAAACGGAAGATTAATCCATTATATTAATCATAAAATCAACCAATAGACCTCAGGCTAAATCATACGTCATAACAAAGAGAAGTAACCAGTCCCAGAAAGCAAACACAGAAGGTTAATTTTCAGAGTAGTGGTTTCAAATGGTATCTCATTTTCCAGCAAGTTTTATACCAGTGAGACCATATCATTATCTAAAAGGTAACACAACTAAAACAAAAGAGGTCAAAAGAAAAAGAAAAGATTAAAGAAAGCATTAGTTAGTACTTAGTAGTAGAGAATAAAGAACAAAGCACAACTAATTCATTTTTTCCTTTTGATTTACTCTTTTAGCTTCACTACACCTACCTAAAAAACAGCAATTATATAGTTTAATGGTCGGAAATATATCTACTTTATTCTCTGAAATGCCTCTGGGACTGTAATTTAGATATTGAAGTTACTAATTCAGGAGATAAAAAAGGTTACAGTTGAACATACAAATGATAAATCAATCCAGAACGCAAGAATGTCATAGTTATATTAAAGTGAAAACCTCAAGTAGTCAAGTATATCTAAATAAACACTTGTCGGAGAAATATAGTTTAAAAAGTTTCGCCATTTTCTTGGGTTGGAAAGCAGCGAAGAAGACAACATTTAAAGCAATTTTTAAAAACCAAGTAGTAGCAGTAAGTGAGTACCAATGAAGCCTTGACCCAAGAATCACGGAGTCCGTGAATTAAAGTAAATGAATTTTTTGGTCAGAATGAGGAATGAATAATATTTATTGTAACCAGAGTTAAGATCCAAATTTCAAAAAACTGAACCTTTTTTAATTCAAAAATGATCTCATCTTAAATTAGCAAAACTTCTTACTTGTTGTTAAGGAGATTCTTGACAGCGGCGACGGAACCGTCGGAGAAATCAGCTCTATAAACGATACCGTAACCTCCTTCACCGATGACGTTCTCATCAGAGAAGCCACGCGTCGCAATCTCCAGATCTTTCAAGCTATACCATCTTCCCCATCCCATCACCTCGGGACCAACGTCACCGCTAGAAGCCACCGACAAAGTGTCAAACCCACCACTCGTCGCTTCTTTGCTTGATGCGGAAACCACGACAGCTTCGTTTACGATTTTACCCTTGGAATCGTCGGAGTTTATAAACTTTCCGACAGTCTTGATCTCCGATATCTCCTTGGAGACGAGCGGGATCGAGCCGGAGCTGTGTTTCACGCGCATTCTACGAGCGCGTGAGACGCGGTTCAAGCAGACGAAGAGGAAGACGAGGACTGAGATCAAGAGTACGAAAACAGAACAAATCGCGATGACTAAGTAGAGGTTTAGTCCGAAAAGGGAAGGTTTTGTGGCGGACTTGTGAGAACCAGAGTCCGACATCGCGACAACAAGACTAAAACTTCTCTCTAGGGGATAGTTTGGTTTTTTTTTTTTTTGCTGGTGAAAAAAAGAGTTTGGAGATTTGCTCGAAGGAAGAGAAACGTTAGGAGAAAACAAACAAAAGACGATGATGAATGATGATGACGATGAAATGAGAGAGACAAGACTAGGAGCTCAGCCTCAACGGGTATAAACTGAGTGTGTTTCTTATTTAAGGCATGCGATTACCTTTTTATTACGATAATGCCACCGAACGAGATTACTATTATTATTACATGTTAGTGATAGTCTAACTATATACAGTTTGGTTTTATTGAAATAAAGGAATTTTGTAAAGATTAATTAATGATCTGTAATAGCTGGATTTTTCATTATATCTTACGCCGTTGGTAATCAAAATTCGATTGAAATATGTTTTTTAGTATATAATGTTTGGTGCTCCCGACATGCTTGCTATTGGACAATAATACCAATATACTTTTTCTTTGGGATCTTAAAGAAAATTTACATAGAATAAGATAAAACATTATAATACAGATCCAGTGATCCTTGCTAAATTGAATAAACTATTGGGCCTAGCCCATGCCTATTTGCACGTCCATTCTCGTTTCTTGAGAAATCGATTCAAATCTACTCTTCTCTGTTTTCCCATTAATGCATCTGGAAATCAAAAAAATCCAAAAGCATCTTCATGACTCTTCCTCCTTACGCCTCCCAGTGAATTAGTTGGCCAAATGCACGTGATGCCAAAATACATCAATGGCGACTCGTCTCTGTTTTTTAGTTATATCAAACTCCACCCAACCAGGAGAAAATGGTGCTTGTCTGTCCTATAAGCACAATATATTCCCCTTACGATATTTCTTCTCTTCATCTCTCTCTCGCAGTGTCTATATATACGCACAACACACCCAGCTTCAGTTTCTCACCAGCATCAGCAACAAAGTTCCATGGACGCCCTAAACTACGTCAAGCGTGGTTATCACTACCTGATCACTCACTTTTTAAAGCTCATGCTCGTCCTTCTTGTAATGGCGGTTTTGTTCAAGAACGTCTCGTTACTAACCCTGAACCAGCTCCAGCTCCAGCTCGAATACAATCTCGTCGGAGCCATCTCCCTCATCACATTCACCATATTCGGATCCACAGTCTTCTTCATGTCACGACCTAGATCCGTTTACCTTGTCGATTACTCTTGCTACCTCCCACCGCCAAATCAAAAAGTTACCTACCAAATATTCATGAATAAGTCTAGATTGATACAAGATTTCAGCGAATCGTCCCTTGAGTTCCAACGAAAGATCTTGATCCGATCCGGTCTCGGAGAAGAGACTTATCTACCGGAGTCTATTCACTGCGTCCCTCCCCGTCCCACTATGGCTGCGGCGCGTGAGGAAGCAGAGCAGGTAATCTTCGGTGCAATCGATAACCTCTTCGACAATACCAAAATCAATCCTAGAGAGATTGGTGTTCTTGTTGTCAACTGTAGTTTGTTTAACCCTACGCCTTCTTTATCCGCCATGATTGTTAACAAATATAAACTTAGAGGAAACATCAAGAGCTTTAACCTTGGAGGAATGGGATGCAGCGCTGGCGTTATCGCCGTTGATCTCGCTAGTGACATGTTACAAATCCATAGGAACACTTTTGCTTTAGTGGTTAGTACTGAGAACATTACTCAGAACTGGTACTTTGGTAACAAAAGAGCGATGTTGATCCCTAATTGCTTGTTTAGAGTTGGTGGCTCCGCGGTTCTGCTTTCCAACAAGCCTTTGGATCGAAAGAGATCCAAGTATAAGCTTGTTCATACGGTGAGGACTCATAAAGGATCTGATGAGAAAGCATTCAATTGTGTGTACCAAGAACAAGACGAGTGTTTGAAGACCGGAGTTTCTTTGTCGAAAGATCTTATGTCTATAGCCGGAGAAGCTTTAAAGACGAATATAACCACTTTGGGTCCTCTGGTCCTTCCTATAAGCGAGCAGATTCTCTTCTTTGCGACTTTTGTTGCCAAGAGATTGTTCAATGCCAAGAAGCAGAAGCCTTACATACCAGATTTCAAGCTTGCTTTTGATCATTTCTGTATCCACGCGGGAGGTAGAGCCGTGATCGATGAACTAGAGAAGAGTTTAAAGCTTTCACCAAGACATGTCGAGGCGTCTAGAATGACATTGCATAGATTTGGAAACACTTCCTCGAGCTCGATATGGTATGAATTGGCTTACACGGAAGCTAAAGGAAGAGTGAGGAAAGGGAACAGAGTTTGGCAGATCGCTTTCGGGAGCGGGTTTAAATGCAACAGCGCGGTTTGGGTGGCTCTCCGAGATGTCAAGCCCTCGGTTAACAATCCTTGGCAACATTGCATCCATAGATATCCGGTTAAGATCAATCTTTGAACTCATAAGAACCGGTAGATTGGTCTTATAACATGGTTAATTAATGTATGTATATATTTTGTATATAAAGGTAACACTTAAATGACTAAGAATGGTTAGCAAGCCAATGAAAAGATAGAACCAAAAGTGTTAAACGTATTAAAATTTAAAATTTTAGATTTTCAAGAAAGAAAAATCATTTGTATAATGAACTTCTTTTACTGAGACTCGGGGACATGCTTAGCGAATAAACGCGTTCCCAAGAAACATTCATCCCATAATTAGTATTTAGTCAGAGGTTAACTCAGCCAATTAAAGCTACGAACACAAATTCCCTTAAAACATATTTATATCATACACATGTATCGTATTGAGCACCACTACTGATAAACTATTTTTCATACGTTTATTGTAGGCAACTAAGAAACAATACATTTTTTTTTTTTCAAATATGTTGCAGTGGACTATTTTCCTTATTTTGGCAACTTTCAGTGGACTAGTAATGTATTTCAATGTGTATGCATGCATGAGTGTGAATATACACATGTCTATATGCATGCCTGCAAATAGTAACGGACCACAAAAAGGATCCATACAAATATACCTTTCATCGGCTCTCCTCTATTATTACTCTCCGACACAAACTGAGCAATGACGTCCGTTAACGCAAAGCTCCTTTACCACTACGTCCTAACCAACTTTTTCAACCTCTGCTTGTTCCCGTTAACGGCGTTACTTGCCGGAAAAGCCTCTAGGCTTACCACAAACGATCTCTACCACTTCTATTCCCATCTCCAACACAACTTTATAACCGTGGTTCTACTCTTTGCTTTCTCCGGTTTCGGTTTGGTTCTCTACATTGTGACCCGACCCAAACCGGTTTACCTCGTTGACTACTCGTGCTACCTTCCACCACCGCATCTCAAAGTTAGTGTTTCTAAGGTCATGGATATTTTCTACCAAATAAGAAAAGCTGATACTTCACGGAACGTGGCATGCGATGATCCCTCCTCACTTGATTTCCTGAGGAAGATTCAAGAGCGTTCAGGTCTAGGTGATGAAACCTACAGTCCCCAGGGACTCATTAACGTGCCACCACAAAAGACCTTCGCAGCATCACGTGAAGAGACAGAGCAGGTGATCATCGGTGCGCTAGAAAACTTATTCGAGAACACCAAAGTTAACCCTAGAGAGATTGGTATACTTGTGGTTAACTCAAGCATGTTTAATCCAACTCCTTCGCTATCGGCGATGGTCGTGAATACGTTCAAGCTCCGAAGCAACATCAAAAGCTTTAGTCTTGGAGGAATGGGGTGTAGTGCTGGTGTTATCGCCATTGATCTTGCAAAGGACTTGTTGCATGTTCATAAAAACACTTATGCTCTTGTGGTGAGCACCGAGAACATCACTCAAGGCATTTATGCTGGCGAAAATAGATCCATGATGGTTAGCAATTGCTTGTTCCGTGTTGGTGGGGCAGCGATTCTGCTCTCCAACAAGCCTGGAGATCGGAGACGGTCCAAGTACAAGCTAGCTCACACGGTACGAACACATACTGGAGCTGATGATAAGTCTTTTCGATGTGTGCAACAAGGAGACGATGAGAGCGGTAAAGTTGGAGTTTGTCTATCAAAAGACATAACCGCTGTTGCCGGGACAGCGGTTAAGAAAAACATACAAACATTAGGTCCATTGATTCTTCCTTTAAGCGAAAAATTCCTGTTTTTCGTTACCTTCATCGCCAAGAAACTATTGAATGACAAGATCAAGCACTACTACGTCCCGGATTTCAAGCTTGCTATAGACCATTTCTGTATCCATGCCGGAGGCAGAGCCGTGATCGATGTACTTGAGAAGAGCTTAGGACTATCGCCAATGGATGTAGAGCCATCTAGATCAACGTTACATAGATTTGGGAATACTTCGTCTAGCTCAATTTGGTATGAATTGGCATACATAGAAGCAAAAGGAAGGATGAAGAAAGGGAATAGAGCTTGGCAGATTGCTTTAGGGTCAGGGTTTAAGTGTAACAGTGCGGTTTGGGTGGCTTTATGCAATGTCAAGGCTTCGGCAAATAGTCCTTGGGAACATTGCGTCGATAGATATCCGGTTAAAATTGATTCTGATTCATCAAAATCAGAGACTCATGTCGAAAACGTTCGGTCCTAATTCATGTAATATCTGAGTGTTAACGTTTACTTTCCTTCTTTTTTCATTTTTCTTTTATTGGTTATGATTTGATGTTTACGATGCTCTCTCTTTTCATTTTTTTTTTGTTATTAATAAAGAAACACATGGGAGTTTCCATTCTTCTATTTAAGTAGTGCTCTTTTTTTTAGATTTACATATATAAATAAATGCCCTGCAAATACATATCTTAGTTTATGTATGATTTTGAATTGTTTAGGTAGAGAAGCAAGGAAGCCCATATAATTCAGCTAATAGATGAATAATGAAAAATGATAAGTGTCAGAGATTTGGAGCAGTCCCCGATGAGCACCTACATCAGCAAAAACAAATCTCATACTACCATCTTTTTTTTTTCTTTTTTTGGCTAAAGTTCAACTTATCTATTTATGACTTTAGTTACATGCACATGTAATTCTCATATAATGACTTTAGTTACACACACATTCGTGTATTTCAAATTAATTCAGCTTTTTAAATAACGTGTTCTTTTCTCCATTAACCTTTGACGCATTGCTTTTGCAACATGAAAATTAATTTTGATATTATATATTCTTTATAGTTAATAATAGCTATGACAGTAAATTTGCATAGAAAATAAATTTATGTAAACATTTCTTCTTAGCAGTATAGTTTTATAACATAATATATACGAATGTTATTTAAACATCACAACTCTTCTAAATAGATATGGAATAAGATACGTCTAATGCACATGCATGCTACCTACACCATATAGAAGAAGAGATGTGGGAATTAGGATCCCATCATGTGATCATGACCATTGGATCTCCCCCCTCCCCTCATTATTATCCATTCTATGCATTGATGATTTCTAGGAACTTCCCCATATGCAATATATTTTTGTATTACATATTTTAAATTGATATGTCAATGTCATAGTAACAACACTTAACACACATATTTGTATGATAAATATAAAATAGAATAGAATTATCTCCAGATCAACACACCGAATCAAGTGTCAACATCTACATACATGTCGACACAGATATGCATGTATTTATGAGCATATACATACAAGAGGATGGGGAACCCACAAATTAGGTGTGTGACACTTGCTTTTATATAAACGTATGCATAATGCATGTATAGTATTGATGATAGGGAAATAGCTAGCCTTCATGATCTTCTATGGACTTAGTCCAAATTCATCACATCAAAAAGCAAAGACCATTTCCTTTGTTTCTAACAACTTTACACCCTCCCCTTTCCTTATCTACTAGCTCCATTTGCATTTGCTTAAAAAGCTTAATAAAGATTTGGAGCAAGCGAGAAAAATAATTCTAGACTCGAGAAGAACTCATGTCCTATATCAATCAGATAAAGTTTTTTATTTAATTTTTTTCCAATAACTAAAATAAGAAATAGGTTGGATAAATGAAAATATTTGAGAATCTAAACAATACCATACTTTAATTGGAGAGGTCATTTTCTTGGAAAATATGTTGCACACCGAAATCGGTGAAAGTGATCTAAGACTAAAACTAACTTGTGATGAGTAATTTTATGTGATGGGCCTTCTGCATACGAAGGGCATGGCGATCACGTGGCATTCGATCTCGTTCCGTCTCAGTATTAGCCTATCACAATAGAGAGTAAGCCAATACAAGCATGGCGATCAGACGCATGGATCGATCTGAATATTTAACAAGATTCATTATAAAACCTCTCTTGCGTAATAAATTCATGTGAACAGTGTGCATCGTAGCCAAATTAGGACCAGGGTTATTGAATGAGAGGTAAAGTGTCTTTTGTTACCCTTTTGAGCCTTTGAGGTGAGATGTCTAGTGCACCAAATTGGTGGTATAATCATATATTATCATGTAAAGATTATATATATGCCAAACTTTAAAGTTCATTTTCTTTGATTGTGTTACAATAAACAAGAGCACAACCATTCCCACGTGACGTTCATGTGCTCCTTTAACGAAAGAAATATTAGAAACCTAAAGAAGACGCACCAATTCGAATAGACATCTCGAGCTTATCCTTTCTTTAGTGAATCAAGATCCAAAAACATTATAATACATGCATATATTATGTCATAAATAACGATTACTATTTTTTCGTGTCATTACTATTTTTAGTTTTTTTTTTCTTTTTCTTATATTTCAATCATCACAAAACTCAATTATATGAAAAAAACATGTAAAGTTTCCAAATTTGTATTTGGGCCTACCTTATATGATGCGATGAATTTGGACTAAGTACAGAGCTGATGGGTTTTTCTTGCTATAAATATCCTTTCCTCTTATACCCTCACCTCACCTTACCTTTACTCTGTTTCTTTCTCACTCTCTTTCTCACTGCAACTTGCTTTCTGAATCCCAAGAAGAAGATGAAGATGAATGGAGGAGCTATAGAAGCTGATCTTTTGCTCAATTGTACAGACATGTCGGTCTTAGAGCGACAAAGGGCTCATCTCAAGTACCTCAATCCTGGCTTTGATTCTCCTCTCGCCGGCTTCTTCTCCGGTTCTTCAGTGATTGACGGCGGCGTGATTGACGGCTTTCTTGGGACGGACGGTTTGAATCTTCCGATGATCTACGGGGAGAACACGGTGGAAGGTGATCCAAGACTCTCTATTTCGCCGGAAACGATGACTGGGACTAGAAATTTCAAGAAAAGGAAGTTTGATACAGAGACCAAGGTTCGTTTATAGCTCTGTTTCTTGAAGTAGATAAACTAAAGTTTTGAGTTCTTAAAAACGAAACAGAAAGCAGATCTTACTTTGAGGTTTCACTTATCTGTTTCTGTGTGTGTTTAAAGGATTGTGATGGGAAGAAGAAGATGATGATGAACAGACATGAAGAAGAAGTAGAAGAAGAAGAGAAGTCGAAAATAACAGAACAAAACAATGGGAGCACAAAAAGCATCAAGAAGATGAAAAACAAAGCCAAGAAAGAAGAAAACAGTTGCTCTAACGATTCATCAAAAGTGACGAAGGAGTTGCAGAAAACGGATTATATTCATGTTCGTGCACGACGAGGCCAAGCCACTGATAGTCACAGCATAGCAGAAAGAGTAAGATTAAGAAAGACTCATTCTATTAAGACAATAGTTGTCTCTCTGTTACCGACTGATGAGACTAATTATTCATTACTAAAAAATTGTGTAGGTTAGAAGAGAAAAGATAAGTGAGAGGATGAAGTTTCTACAAGATTTGGTTCCTGGATGCGACAAGATCACAGGCAAAGCAGGGATGCTTGATGAAATCATTAACTATGTTCAGTCACTCCAGAGACAGATTGAGGTATCAAATTCTTTAATTTTCTTGTAAATAGAAAACACATACTCTAATCTTGCATTAAGTTAGTTTTTAATTTGTTACTCTAATATAATCTGATATTGTTTGAAACAGTTCTTATCAATGAAACTAGCAGTTGTGAATCCAAGGCCAGATTTTGATATCGATGACATTTTTGCCAAAGAGGTTAGTCATTGATTAGTTGGTGTTTAAATGAAGGAAAAAAAAAAAAAAAAAAACTTTAAAGGTTATAATTAGATGAGCTAAAACGTGTGCCTCATAACCAGGTTGCCTCAACTCCAATGACAGTAGTGCCATCTCCTGAAATGGTTAATTCCGGTTATTCTCATGAGATGGTAAATTCCGGATATTCTAATGAGATGGCTAGTTCTGGTTATCTTCATTTCAACCCAATGCAGCAAGTGGATACCACCACTTCTGATCCACTGTCATGCTTCAACGTACGTCATGATATTTTAGTTACTCTCTCCTTTCATTATTGTCCATCATTTAATTTAACTTTGGTTTAATAATCTTGTATTAAATACATTTTTGATTATGTTACAGAATGGCCAAGCTCCTTCGATGTGGGACTCTCACGTGCAGAATCTTTATGGCAGTTTATGAGTTTGATCAAGACACCATCCACACACCTTAACAACGTTCCCTAGTTCTTAGGTACAATAGTGATGTTTTATATAAGACTAGCTCAAATACTCTTGACTTTTTATTCAAAAACTTACAGATGCAATATTTTTATCTGTGCAGGTTACAACTTATTTTTCAAGTGGCAGGATCAAATATTGATATTATTTATCGGAAGAGAGAGCAAACTTGTAGCTGTTATTTACTAGTTTTTAGTAGATTGACTTAAGGCTTCCCCCTCATTATTTTATATGTATCAAAAAGAGTGTATACAGTATTGTGTATAATTGCATACTAGTAATATATTTCTTATTAGTGGACGTCGTCTTCCAATGTGTGTTCTCTCGTCTTCTTGTATCCATAGATTCTTTTGGATACACAATGCCACACGAGTCCTATATGCCACCATAAAACGAACAAAACAAAAAAGATACAAGAAGCAAGTCGTTTTAAGTTATTTCTTACATATTTTGTTCTTGTTTTACCGTTTTATATTTCTAGGAATTATTACCGACTGGACCTATCATAAAATTTAAAATAAATCTAAATTAAATATTTTGTGGAAGGTAAAATGTTCAACAATGCCAACAATTTGGTGTGCGTTCAAATAATAAAATCTAGTGAATATTATTTTATAGAAAATAATCTTAGCAGGCAAAAGATAAAAAAAATAATCAATTAACAAATCTTCATGATTTTATGTTTTAATTGACAAAAAAAGAAAAAAATATATGTTTTGCTTACCTAAAATTAATTTGGGACTAAACTACAAAGTTAAAAGCAATACACCTGTTTGTTATATCAGCGAGGAAGTGTGGCGCGGACAAAACGATGTTGTGTCTGGTTTTTGTCAAGTGCGAGAACTGAGTAGTGAGATTCCCCCGTAAAGCCTATGACCAACCAAACCCGTTGCAACTTAAATACCCTAAATCCTCCATACCACGAAATCGTACGGATAATATAAATGGAGGATGATGAGAAGAAGAAGAAGAAGAGCAGAGTTCTGATCATCGGAGCAACAGGACGATTAGGCTACTCTTTGACCCGTTTCAGCATCGAATCGGGTCACCCGACTTTCGCCCTCATTAGAAACCCCACTCTCTCCGATAGCCTCAAATCTCTCTCCGACGCCGGCGTTACTCTCCTCAAAGTATATCTCTTTTAAATATATTTTCTGTAATTTCATCATTAGGGGAATGTTACTCTCCTCAAATCTCAAAGTTTTGGCCTTTATTAATTTATTTGAATTTCGTTTTCTATAATGGGTTTAGGGTTCATTGGAGGATGAAGGAAGCTTAGCAGAAGCAGTGAGTAAAGTAGATGTGGTGATCTCTGCAATTCCATCAAAACATGTTCTCGATCAGAAACTCCTCATTAAAGTCATCAAACAAGCTGGTTCAATCAAGGTCTCTTCTTCGCATCTTTTAGTCATTCATTTATTTATTATGCCAATTCGATCATGTCGGGGGGATTTGAATAGCATTGTTTGAGCGTGTATAAGCAATGAGAAAACATAAACTGATTCTTGAATTTGTTATTTAGCTGATGATGATATAGAATAGATCTCTCTGACTAGAGCAGGACATTGTGGTTACGTTCTGCAGAGGTTTATTCCTGCTGAGTATGGAGCAAATCCGGATAAAACACAAGTCTCAGATCTTGATCACGGGTTCTATTCAAAGAAATCTGAGATCAAGCGTATGATAGAATCAGAGGGCATTCCATATACATACATTTGCTGCGGATTGTTCATGAGAATTCTACTTCCATCGCTTGTGCAACCGGGCCTTCAATCGCCTCCAATGGACAAAGTCACAGTTTTTGGAGATGGAAACGTTAAAGGTTTGTCCTTTTTTCTTGAATCCATAACTTCTGCAAATATAAAAACCTTGTGGTCTGAAACTGAGTGTTTCTGTATGTTTTTGTGTATAGCTGTTTTCGTGAATGACGTTGATGTTGCAGCATTTACCATCAAAACGATAGATGATCCACGAACACTGAATAAGACCTTGTACCTTAGACCCCCCGGAAACATATGTTCCATGAATGATCTTGTTCATCTCTGGGAGGGAAAGATTGGGAAGAAGCTTGAGAAAACTTTTGTTACAGAAGATCAAGTTCTCAAGAAGATCAAAGGTACATCATCATGACATCCATCTACTACCAACATTTCGATTTGCAAATCTGATTGACTTCAGCTTTCTCCTTCTGTGATGCAGAAACTCTGTATCCAGATAACATGGAGATGGTCTTCATATACTCTGTCTTTATCAAGGGGGATCATACATACTTCGATATTGAGTCTTCAGGTGGAATGAATGGTACTGAGCTTTACCCTGATGTCAAATACATGACCGTGAGCGAGTTTCTTGATACTCTGCTCTAAGGATTATTATAACCAAACAGCACAGGGATCACACTTTGTCTCACTATTCAGAGATCTCTTTACACTTCCGTAACATCTCTGTTTTTTTTTATTGAGGAACCCATCTCTTTAGTAGTATTTTTAGCCAACTGATATGTGCTTGAAAAGAGTGTGAGACAGTTGCTTATGAAGTTTTAATGATGATTAAAAAGATCCAAATTTACCAGTTACATGGTATCAAAATCATAGGTTCAAGCCTCCATAACGCCACCACAAGAAAATCACAAATTATAGAAATAATAACTCGCAACAAGATGTATGTGCTGTGTGAACTAAGAGTGGTAAAGGGTTCAGTTTGAGAATGAAACTTCAAATAGAGTTGAAACCAACTTTAACTTAACGTACGACAGAAACAGCGCGAAAAGGAAGCAACTATGGCAGACAATGGAACACGTCAAATACGTAATTAAAAGAAATGGTTTTATTAAAAGAATGTGATTCTTAGAGCGTATCCAAAATACGAGGTTTAGAGAGAGAATGGAGTGAATGAGTGATCCAAGTTCTGTATATCCCCGACAAGACTAATCTTTATTTCTCGGCCTCTTCTTTATTTTCTAACACAGCCTCTTCTTTTTTTAATAAGACCTCTCGTTTTCGTTTTCTTCCAACCTTAACACAGACAGACATATTTGCTTGAAGACAAAATCAAACCTCGTCTTCGAGTTTCGTTCTGGTCTTCCACGTATGAGCCACTTGCATTGTAACATCTCTTTCCACTCCGCTTCAGTTTCAAACATTCTTAATTTTTCGACGGACTTAGTTTTGTTATTACTTTTTTCTACTTGTTTGCCTCGATTTCTTTAAACAATTATAGTAATGTGATCTAAATTGCTTTATGTTCCTTTATTTTGTGAATCTTGATCGTAACCAGAGCTAATCTAGACCTTTTGTTTGGGCATTAAGTGGTGATAATGTTTGACAAGAACAATTCTGAGATGTTGGAGTATCTGACTATAGAGTTCTGTACTGACTCAGACTGAGTCAAACCTTTGAAAATTTGGGTGAAAGACTTGAATGTATCATTGAGGATAAATGAAACCAGTATCTATTTGTTGTCTATCATATTACTTTCTGATGATTGGCTGGAGAGATTTAAATGGTGACTCAGTGAAATCCAATGCTTCTTTTTTTTCTTTTATTGCAGAGTATATCTTTTAGGTACAAATGTCTGAACATGTTATGCGCTTCAGAAAAGTTAAAACAGAGATTTGTATTGATGGTTATGAATCTGTCTGGTTGAGTCGTTGGACTCGTAGAGACAGAGATGGGATGTGCTCGAAGAAGAATAACGTACTGGAAGATGGTCAACTGCTGAAAGCGTCAACAGGTTCCATGAAACTAAAAGGAAAAATGTTTACTGGAGTTCTTGATCTATTTCCTAATCCTGATTCAGCTGTTCCAAGTGTCGAAATAGTACCTGACATGAACAAAGCACCGCGTATTGTTGCTGACAGAGAAGACTCAGTAGAAGAGGATGAAGGGGAAACAAGCAGTCGAGCTACTCAAAGTATGAATGTGGAACACTTTCACAACAACCCCAAAACCAAGTTGCTTCGCGAGTGCAAGCGTATATGGTCGGACTCTGAAACCAATAGTCGATCACAGGTCAAACGTTTGAAGACAAACGCATCGGATGATAGTGGAAATGAAACCAAGAGCATGATGGTTGTTGAAGATGGGCCATCAGGGATGAAGGTGAATTACTTCCACAGAATACTCGGAATCAACAAACCCGGATCCAGAAGATATCAAAATCCCTCCACATCACAAATCAAGAATCTTAATATGGAAGAAGACGTTAACCCATGGATTCAGAGATGGTGTAAGAAAAAAGCTGCAGAGACTCATGTACCAAGAGGAGGGAAAGAAGTCTACCCAAAGGGCACTGCGCTAGAGAAGCAGTTTCCAAGTATTGCAGCAATGGCAATGATGAAGAAGGCTCTGAACGGTTTAAACCCGACCAGCTGTAGAAAGACCAACTCCCTCTTCGTCTGGGATGCTGAGGATTTAAGGTGAATATTTTCTGTATTGCCAATCTACCTACTTCAAATAAACTTGGAATTGTGTCTGCAATAACTAAAAGTACTTGCAATACTGGTGTAATCATTTCTACCATTTGAGATATAAGTAAAATTTTAAGGCCTTGTTTCAACACAATGTTTTGAATGCCCCAAAACAATCTTTTGATCTCCAAAATCTCATCAGATTAAAGTAGTATACTCCAATGTCAGCAAAAAAAGGTGCACTCTAGAAAGATAATGGTCCATAGAGACATTGGATAAAAGATAGATAAACAGCAACAACATTCTTGGGAAGCTAGCCGTGGGTTGCCCTAGTGTAGATCTGTTGGCTTGAGTGAGCAGAGACCATCCTGATCGTTCCCTTAGCCATCAATTCTCTAATTGCCCTCCTAGCAAGCGATCCATTGATCTGTACCAATCACACGAGCTTATGTCAAAACTAGCAGAAATCTAAAATCCATGTATGTTCGAACTGATCAGGGCAATTCACCAACTCAGGAAGAAGTACTAACACACCTTTCAACTAATGTGTCACCAATGCCATATTTTATCAGACAAAAGTTTACAACATTGAGAAAGGAACTAAAGATTTACCCTCAAACGGTCAGAGAGGATAGAAGGAGTGATCAATTTGAACTTGGGAGCTTCAGAGAGAAGCTTGTCGTAAGTTGCTTGGTCGAACAGAACCATGTTGTTCACTTTCTCCTTTTGCTTTCCTTTGCTCCACTTCTGTTATTTCCCAACAAAAGTAGAAATCAGTATTTAGTTTAGACTAAAACAGAGGAAAAGGGATCATAATGAGATATAACCCAGATCAAAAGGATCCACATTTATGATTCAGAATTGGTAATTACGAGACAAAAGATGGGATTTTTAGAAGAAAAAAAAAAGTGACCTTCTTCTTTTGCTTGCCGCCACCAGATTTGGCGGGCTTGGAGGAAGGAGGAGGAACTTTGTCTTTCTTGGGTGCCTAGAATCAGACACAAAACAAAAGCCATTGTAAGTAAAGATCATCAGACAAAGAATGAGAAAGAGAGAGAACTGGACAGTGAGGAGAGTGAGAGAGCAAACACACCATTGTTGGATCTGGACAAGAGAGGAGCGGCGCTACGATGAAGAAGTTTAAACAATAAAATTGAATAAAACCCTAGTCGATGATGAGTCTCTTCTCCACGGGAAAATAAATTTATTTTGTTTTATTAATTAAATTACTCTCTCAAAATTCTATATTTCCGTTTTTGTAATTCGTATTAGGGACTATGCTTTTTTTTTTCCACAATGCCTACGTTTTTTTTTAGTCACAAATTCACTCTTATCATTTTGTTATGTGATTTGGCAAAATTAATGAAAACTTATAAGGATTTGTGCAATTATTATGTGAGTCAAGCTAAGTTATAGACTTGTATATGTTTTGTTCCTGTAATTTTGTACTAGCTGAAGAAGCTATGTTGAACTCATCATCTGGGCTCATGTTTTACTAACGTAACGGTTCAACTCTTGTTGGACCTTTTTTAAGTGGACTTGTTACTTGGGTTACTTATACAAGACAAAGTTAGCAGAAGAGAGTTAATGTATAGTATCTCTTAAGAACGATCAATTAGTACATCCAATCCATGGGTAGATAGATTAGTTGTTATTTTTTTAATGTAAATATCTCTTATGAACGATAAATATAGTATATTTACTTATTTAGCACAAAATCATCAAGTGTCCAAAATATACTGTGTTTTGTTTAATTACACAATGGATCGAGTAAGTAAACAATGAATATGTAGCTCTCTAGCTATAATGTGTTTCACTAGAAACACATATTCCAGAATCAAATAAAAAGTTAATTGCTCAAGGACCATACGTATATGACCTTTTTCTTTTACAAGGGACCATACGTATACTAGTTCCACCTTTTGACATTTTAAAACTGTATTCAGGGTAAAGTTTCCATAAGCGCAAGAATTCTTAAGAAAAAGAAAAGGTGAGAAGATTTTTGGATACTACAAAGTCTACGAAAACCAAATGGATAATCTAAAGAAATTGGAGAGTTGTATCTCAACTTATAGCAGCCAGCACCATTATAAATTAAAAAATATTCATTTATGAATCAATCATGTCCATAACGGAAAGTTTAAGTGACTCAAAAACTCTACAAAAAAAAAAGTTAATTGCATTGTTTTTTCTCAAGATGGGGTCTTTCATATTACGGAAAAGCAAAGTTTAAAGTTCATAAAATTATTAAAGTGAGAGAGAGACCCCGAAAAAAAAGAAGGCATAAAAAGTGTATAATGTTTGAGTATGTCTTAGTGAAGAAGGAAATCACTCTCATTCAAGTGTTCCATATTGTCAAATGAGCTTTCTGCTAGAGAAGATAATCTTCTAATTAAATCCATTGGGAAAAATCTGTATAATTATTTGTGGAAATGGATATTATTCTAATGTTCAATTTAATGACTTATCAATCTCCGAAACAATAAATAGGCTTTGAAGAGACAGATGTTTACTTTAGTTTTCGGTTTTCAGCAATTAAGAGTTAAATTGATTATATCAATAATTCGAGTATGATAGTGTGTTTTGTATTAACTAAAGAGCTTCTTATTAGTAACCTAAAACAAAAAGAGCTTCTTACTACATTCAAATACGTACCAATCCGCAATGGCCTTTCAGCTTTTTTTTGGGGGGTTAATTGTGGCCTTTCAGTGTGCGCTTTAATTTTCTCCTTTACAAAGACTACAGTATTAGAGCAAAGAAAAATAGATTATGACTGTTAATTCCTTTTTCTTATCAACCAAAACTTGCATGCGACAACGCCTATTGGTTATATATATAGTTTTTACAGTTGCATGTGTACACGTACGTACGTAGCTAGGCAGACATCGATAGTGTGATATACGTACAAGTGGATTTGTATATATATTACAGTATGATTTATGACTAACTTATTTATAATTTAGAGGATTAACCATCTTAATCCTACCAACATTTTTCTAAATTGTGACGATTAAAATCGAGAAAAAAAAAACCGTCATAGGTGATCAGGTATTCAGGGATAGTAGGATTCTTGTCAGTCTTGAATTAAGTAACATATATCTTTTGTACCAAAGAACTCTTTACATTAGCTTTCCAATTGTATTCTCCACGTTTAATAGAAGGCTTGTTTTCTCTTTTTAATTAGTAACTGCATCTACTTGTAAATTTGTAACTGCATCTACTCTTTACATTACATTATTTTTATTTTTTTTTAATATATACATTGGTTATGTATTCAGATTGAAAAGCTCAACATTTAAGCGTTACGTTATTGCAGAAGATGTGATTAGGCTTGGCCACGACAAAGTAGCTCTATATTTGCATCTCATATTACACACATGTTGTGTATTACGCACATATTAGTCTAACATAAATGTCAAAAAATAATAATAGTCTAAGTGGCCCTTAAGCACGACAGATCTTCTGGTAAATTTTTGTATGAACCTCATTATATTTTAATAAAGTTTTGTAATAAGCATCTTCAGATTTATCTATAGAAGATAGATGCACATTATGTTTTTGTATGTAAAACATTATATGAAGAAAATACCGAATAAAAATGATGAAAACAGATCAGGGAATAAGAAGAAGAAGATGTGATTGGTCATGATCTTATGGGCGATGAAAAATAGCAAGGACAGCTTTTGGGAGCATTGAGAATAATTTTGTGGATAAAGTTATAAAAAAAAAAAAAGCAAGCAAATGCTGTTCACAATTAAAAGTAAAAACAAATAAATAGTATTTTCTTACAATATATTGCAATAAAATAGATTAAAATAATTTTTTGTTAATAATGGATATATCCTTTAGTCTATAAATAATAAGTATAACCAACTCAATTCAACACTTCCAAGACAAACACAAGAGAGAAAAAACACAACATAATAAAAACTAGGTGTTTGTCCAAAAAAAAAAAAAACAAGGTGTAACGGAAACGGAGATCATCAAATAAAATACTCTGTTTATTCTTTCGTAATGAAACATAACTGCACAAACTGGTCATTGTTCACTATGTCTATTGTTGTTCTTCCTCTGTTTCATCTTCTCATGGCAAAACTCTCTGCTTCTCACTTTGTTTCCGTAAGCATGACTTCTTCCGAGTGACCTAAACCAAACCACACTCCCAAGATCCCTTTTAAACCTCTCCTTCTTTGGTTTTTTCCTGTGTTTTTCTTTTTTTGTAAGAAACCATATTTGATGGATTCAGTTAAGTTTCAACACTTGAAGATGGAGAAAACCAGAGGAATCTTGAATTTTCAAGCAATAAGATCGTTCGCGAACTTGTTCAGAGTGATCGAGCTTCTTTTTCTTCTAATCTTGATCTCCAAACTCTCTTTCCCTTCTGTGAAACTCTCTGGTGACATTTTCAGGGAAGCAGCAGTGTTTCTCGTCAGCCCGAGATTCGTTTTCTTCGTCGGTAACGCGATTGTAATTACTCTTTTTGCGAAATCCGGACGATACAGCTCGACTCGCGAGCCTTCGAAGACGACAACGGAAGCTGCAAGCAACGATCTTTACCAAGAGTTTCTTCACAAGAGCGAGAAGAAGAGATCCGAAGTATACGATACGAAAACAGAACAGCTAAAGAAGCCGAGTGGAGTGAAAAGGGTTACTTTCGAGAGAAGCCAATCGCAGAAAGCGTTTGAGGCGGTTCAGCCGCTGGAGAGTAGCAATGGTGGGAAAGTCATGAAGAGGTATGTGTCGGAGAAGCATATGAGGATTTGTGACTCCGACAAGAAAGTAGTGGTGAAGGTTAAGAAACCAGAAGATGGAATGAGCAACGAGCAGTTTAGGACAAAGATCGAAGCTTTCATCGCGAGACAAAAGAAGATTCAAAAGGATGAAGAACACTTGATAATCTAGATCCTCTTGTTAGTAAATGTTTGTTTTTATTTTCCTTTCTGTTGTTTCAGTTTCGTAATGTTGTAACTTCGTTGCCTTAGGAAAATCTCTTTATCTTTAAGACTTTATTAACCCTTGTAATCAACCCATGTAATCCTTTAAGGATGTTTAAGTAAATACAACAAATGGGGTATTGGATCATGTTGCTCCTGCTTTTTAATTGTAGCTAGGTTTAAATTTGAGATAGGCTACTTGATAATGAGTTACATTGGTAGATCATATGCGGGATAGTGAAATTCTATAGTTTGAAAATTGAAAACACTCAACGAACTAAAATATCTGCATGTAAAAATTTAATTAAAATGAAGATTCATTTTTGTCCATTGTCAAATTCATTCCTAGAATATAAAATTTACCAACAAGTGCCTAACTTGTAGAGAATTTACAGAGAAAGGTAAACAGGAAAGCATATAAATGGTGTTCCCAAATGCTGGATAGCATTAGGGTTGTATATGCCGTTATGGATAAAAGGGAATAGAAAGCATTATATAGATCGAGGAGGGAATTGGTCTTGTCATCGATCTAGGTCTCAGTTTTTCTTGGGTATTTAGATCCCATTGTGAGCCAACACTAGAGTATTTGATTCTTTGATGTTTGAATTATTTTACCCCATTTATACTATATAATATATATTAATCCTGCTTGGCTGCTTTCTTAGTGGTAAAAGATTTTGTTTTTGGGTTTCAAATCGCTTAAGTAAAGATCAATATGAGAACAATATACTTTAGTGACGGAATGAGGTGAAATTATGTGACGTGTAGGAGGAACCAAATATCTGGAAAGGTGAAGGAGACAAGATACGCTTTGGATGAGAAAGATTGATGCCAATCTACGACGGATACACGTGAGATAGGCATAAGCATAATCCTGTTAGGACACATATCGTATAAATTATACAATACTTGCACTTTGCTTAAATATTGTATTATATATCTATACGTTTTACTTACATGTGACTTAAGTTGATTATTGGAAATACGTTAAAAGGTTATGAATACCCTATTTTAATTGTTACCTTTAATTACTCATCTTGTTTTTCTTTTGCTTGTCGATAACATCTATTATATGGATTGAATCTGATATGATGAGGTCTCCATCGACGGTAATAGTACTTTACACGTTATATAATTTCTATTTAAACATGATGATGAGTTAAATATATACGTTTTGAACTTGAGAGTATTTTGTATAAATATTTGTATTGACCAAGACATTTCAAATCGAACTTGCTTTCATAGTAACCACCGTATATTATATAAAGTGACAAAAAAAGAAGAGTATCCAGTATATATGCATAGTATACATAGACAACATGACAAGATTGGGGAGGCAGAATTTATACCATAACGTATTGTCCATTTTAGGGTCATCAGCATCCCATTCATCTGCTCATGTTTACTTAGGCAGAACAACACGTAGAATCTCTCCTTTGGCATGATATTTTCTATTGTTAACCGAATCAACTAGAATTGTCTCATTAGAATTGTCTGGATATTTTGGTAGAGGAAATATATACCCTTTAGGATTCTTCGATGTAGACTATCTCAACTAATTAAGTAAATAAAAAAATATCTTCAAGTCGGCAGTGCATCTTTCTGAAAACCAAGGCATATAGTTTATGAGTAACCTTTGGTAAGCTATACTTATTTTCAAATTAAACCACATATTACAAAATCGTAATAAGAAGTCATCACATCAAGAATAGCTTGAGTCTAATTCTACTATAATATCATTCCGCTGTTAATTGTTCTACAGCGTCTCAATCTATTATAAGCGAGACCCCTTTCATACAAGTAAAGTACTAATGGTAAGGATATAGGAATCAAGTTTCTTTTCAGCGAAAATTCAAGAAAGTCATCTCATGACAAAATATTGAGTTGTTCACGAAGGGATTTTTTTTTCTTGAGTTTAATTCTAACTTTACTTTGTTCATGCTAGATTTATTCTTATTCTCTAAACTAATTGATTCTCCCACTTCGTAAAAAGAAATAACTTTGTCGTTCCGAATGAATAGCACCAGAAAAATTTAGAGGCTAAACAGCCATTTGCATATCTATTTTCTTGTGAGGATCATAGCCAATGAGCTCAAAGTCATCCGCAACAAAAGAATCTATATGTTTCTTCTCCGGATTTATCTTCAAAACCTGTAAATATCCCAAAAGATATATAAGGATTTAGTTGCAAAGAACTATTTGGTCGATCATGCATTCATAAAACTCAAACAACACTAAGAATTTAGTGATCATGTGTCTATTTATACTCACAGGAAAAGGTTTTGGTGGGTTCTCAAGTTGCTCTTGCAGAGGCCTGACATGGTTTTTGTAAACATGAGCATCTCCAATCACATGGATAAAATCACCAGGAACAAGATCTGCATAATGTCAACAATATATCAATAGATGACAGATATTGGGAATCATAGGTTTGCCCTCTTGTAGAGAAAATTTGACCATTACCACAGACGTGAGCCAGAATGCATGTAAGAAGAGAGTATGAGGCAATGTTAAATGGTACACCGAGACCCATATCGGCTGAGCGCTGATACATTTGACATGAAAGTTCTCCATTTGCAACATAAAACTGAGCAAACATGTGGCATGGAGGAAGTGCCATCAACTTCAGATCAGGAGGGTTCCAAGCTGACATTATGATTCGTCTATCATCAGGATTGTTCTTGATTTTGTTAATTACATCTAAGAGCTGATCAAATCCTTGGCCAGTATAATCAGCATGCATATCTGTGTACCTGTAGAAAGAGATTCACGAAATGGCTAAAACAGAGAAATATGTTTTGCTAAAACTTAGAAAAGTCAAGATATAACAGACTAGCTACTGACTTAGCACCAAAGTGTCTCCACTGAAATCCATAAACGGGTCCAAGGTCACCTTCCTCTCTCTCAGTTAGTCCAATACTGAAATCAAAAGTGTTCAATATATCAGTGTAGTGGCCAAAAAATTTCAAGTTCTGAGAGGAAAAAAAGCCGAATTAAAGTTTACCCATCAAGATAGGCTCTAGACGCATTCCCATCCCATATACGGATACCCTTTTCTTGAAGTACCTGCCACTTACACAAACTTCTCAGAGAGAAAATATAGTTCATTTGTATACGCTCCAAATGTGATTAAGGCATGAAGATCACGATTAAATATATGTTTTCTTACCTTTGCATTCGTTGAACCGCTTATGAACCATAGAAGTTCCTCAACAACACCTCTCCAGAAAACTCTCTTTTAAGTAAAATGCAAACAGATCTTGTAAACTTGGATATGTGGGGAAGACAAAGCAAACTCTCTTTGGGTTAAAAAAATGAAAAGTCAATGTCAAGGTGACAAACCTTAGTCGTCAGAAGAGGAAAATTCCTGCGTAAGTTGAATTTCATCTGTGGTTCCAAAGATATGGAGATTAGTTAACCTTAATAAGCAAACCAGAAGAAGACACTCAGATACATATTAAGAAAAAGGGTAGTAACTCACCTGACAGCCGAATTTAGAAAATGTGCCAGTCCCTGTTCTGTCGTTCTTCAAGTTTCCATTTGATATTATCTCTTTGACCAGATTCAAGTAGAGGAGTTCCTCATGCCGGTCAAAAATCATTTTAGGGAGAAAAGATGAAAACTTCTTCCAATCAACTAGGGCATGTGATTCAGCACGTTCCTTAAAAGATTCACCAGCAGAAGAACTCTTTACACGAACAAAAGTTGTGAAGGAATATCGAAGTCCATTTTCACATATTGGGAATGACGAATACCAAGGTTGATATGCAGAAGTGTCAATTGGGGGAATAAATGTATCACAGTCAATACTTTTATCAATCTCAGTTAAGTGGATGGCTTCACAGCGCGGTCTGTTCAATGATTCCCTACGATACAACAATTTTCAAGAAAATCAAAGAAAAAGGAAACCACGGAAAAAAAATGAGAATCTTGAGAAAAGAACACACACCTCAATATGTCACCACCTCCTATTACAAACACCTTATCAATGGACATACTGTATGGAGGAGCAGCTAATAAATCTAGTGCAGAATCTATGCTACTGCAAGTTACAACATTTTCAGTGTTGGCTATATTGGACCCGCTAGAACGAGTTAAGACAATGTTGAGGCGACCACAGAGTGGTCTATACTTTGAGGGAATAGACTCCCACGTTTTCCTACCCATTACAACAGCGTTCTTCTTAGCGGAATCCGAAGTGGTTAGAGTTAAATCCTTGAAGAATTTGAGGTCGGAAGGCAAATTCCAGGGAAGTTTTCCATCTTTACCAATACCCATTTCCTTGGTTGCAGCTACCACAACTTGGTAAGTTCTCTGAAGCTCTGAAGTCATGATCACATTTCCATTGAGAGAGGTTGCCATGGTTGAGATTGAAATCTTGAAGATGTTTGCCAATGAGGATGGCTTGGGAGAAACTTTACAGAGCCACCTTTGAGACAAAGGCTGCAAAGCCTGAGAGTTGAACACATAGAGAAGTTGAGAAGATTAACAAGTAATAAGCAATAAAATTGCAACAGAAGCTCGACAAATCCGTCAAAGATAGACTTGGATTGCATATCTTTCAAGACACATCATTCTAAATAGAACCAAGTACATTTTTCACTTCTAATAAACGCCTAAGAGGACTAATTGCAAACAGTTGATAGTAACAACACACTTATGCATAAACAGTTATTTAACTATAATTCAAAAAAAGTAAAGGTAGACATAGAGAAATCGAACAAAGAAAACAAGTAAAATGCGAAAAATTCAAGTTTACCACTGACCGATTTGAACGCTAAAGGTAGAATCTTTGCGGGATTTGGCAAACACCTAATCAGAAAAAAAACAAAAATTTCAGAAACTTATAGAATTTCAAAAACCAAATCAGTTAAAAGTGGGTAAGCTTCGAACTCTGATAGCTGAAGCCTGAACGCCAACACGTGAAAACTTGAGGAAGGAAAAAACAAAAAGACAAAAGGCTCAAGAACAAACTCATATAAACGTGTCTGAGTAATGGGATAAGTCCTCGAACCAGTTTCCATATTTTCCACAGAGAAGTAAGCATTTAAGCATATAAGTCAAATCTTTCTATTCATAAATCAATTACTAAAAAGAGCATCTCCATAACTAACCTCATTGTAATTCAGAGTGAATCTACACATTCAT